TCACCTAAAAAATATATATATATATATAAAAAAAAAACATTATTTTTTCTTTTGCCCCCCCCCCCCCCCCCCCCTTCAAAATGAACAACAAAGCCAACCTCACAAAGAAGTATTTGTAGTTTTTAAGACTGACCTTCCAAAAGTCCTACCCTCTCCTCGGCTTGCTCGTCTTGCGGACAGCAACATCGAGAAGCAACATCGAGAAGCATCGAGAGCAAGGGACTTTGCTCAATTGAAACGCGTGAGGTTGCTGTAAAACGCTCTTACAATGTTGGGTAAAAGTACATTCGGCTCGTCTGAATCGTCCACTTTACAAACATGTATATGGTTAACAGCTGAGATTTTTAACTTGAATATATCAACCAATGAAACCCTGCTTCCGCTCGTTTTCTTCTGTTGCCCTTCCATAACGACATACAAACTCGTATGTTGACTACTAATGATATAGATAAAAAAAAAACTCTGCTTGATTAAACTAAATATAGTAATTAGCAAAATACAAATGTAACGTATATGTAACGATACGTTCCATTTTTCAAACTGTAACGGGAACGAGTTCCTTTTTCACAGATGTAACTTGTAACGGGAACGCGTTCCGAAAATCAGAAGGAACGAGGAACGAGCTTTCGTTCCTTTTTTTGAGGAACGTGTACAACACTGCTAGCTGGTACCTACCGATTAACACTGAAACAGGACGAAAAGCACACACGTGCGACACGGGCAAGCGCCAACTTCATCGACAGTTTGACGATGTTTAATGTTACATGAAACCAGTTAGAAGTTGGTGCTTGTCCGTGTCGTATGTGTGTCTTTTTCCGTCCTCTTTCAGTAATCGAAACACTGGCGGCCGCTTAAACCAGAGAAACGTGTCAAGTCAGAAAAGAAGCCACCACCGCGTGCGTTTACTTGCCGAATGGCGCGCACTTGTGACGTGCTTGAAAAAAGGCCAATCAGGGACGCGGAATAAACCGCGGGTTTATTCCGCGAGGAAATCCCAAGACGCCGCCGGCACAACGATAGTCCGCGGAAATGCGTTCGTCATCTGTGGTTTCTCCGCAATACACACAAGCGAGAGGAGAAACATCCCTTCCAGGGGCTCAACGGCGGGAGCATGTTTGGGATTTAAAAGCATCGTACCGATACTGTACCCAGTTTTAAAGGGATATCTTGACGGGCGACACTTTGCAGAGATTTCGAGCTCGTGGTCCGTCGTCGCCGCTATGGAAAAGAAACCCTTCTCGTCTCCCCTCTTGGCGCGAGGAGAGGGAAGTCGGGACTTCCCGTCAGCCGTGCAGAGCGAAGAGAACGAAGAGGGCAGCCCTGGCGTCCCGACAAGGCTGCGACGAAGGGAGAATCTTCGTGTCGTCTGCCTCAAACAGTTGTTTCCAAACGTTCCTCGCGTTATGCGAAATCCCACTTTGGCAGTATCCAGCTGTTACGCGTAATGTTGGATGGTTTTAGAAACTTCCACCGCGTTTACCCACTTCACGGATAACCGAGCACTCGTGGCAGCCGTTCGTGGCATCCACGACGCTAACCACGACGGCTATCAGAATTAACCACGTAGCACTTCCACCCTCGGGCGAAAAATACGACTTTTTTCCCAAGTAATGATTACCAACACGCATGACGGAGCACACTTTGCGCTGCTGGATATATCCGGATCCAGGTGGGACCAGTTTCATAATCAAACTGGGAAAGCTGGGAAGGTACTGCACTCAGTTTGAAGATATGAACACAGCTTTCACTAATAAGTTAAACGTGAAACATTTTTCGTGAAAAACATTTTGTCAGACAGAAAGAATATTATATCATCGTTTTTCTCGCTGAAAAGATTTCTTCACTGCAATTAATGCGACAGGCGCCCACAATGACATCTTTTGACTCTATGAATATTAGGCTTAAGGGGACGTCAGCCCATATAAAAATTTTGCTTTTTCATATTTTGATCTAGGTAACGCCACATTCTAAAACTTCCACATTTTGTCACGACTGCCAGCGACACATCCTCACGGAGTTTCGGCTTTCTGCCATACGTAGTTCATTTTTGCGGGCGGAAAAACTGTTTTATTCTCTCGACTGGGCCCTATAGATTGCTCGTGACGACTGGGCAAAAACCATGCTGGGCAGTTTTCAAGGTCCGACTTTACTGTATCCGGTGCAGCAAAAATAAAACTTACCACACGCGCGATGAACCATCGGCAGATCTAGTGAAAGATATCTGAAAACCCAGCTAAAAATTCCCATTAGAGCCCATTGAAATTCCAACTGGTTTTAATTGGAACCAATTGGTTTTAGTAGGTTCCAACTGGAAGCATACTGGCCAATGGGTCTCACTAATTGGAATTAGTTTTTCACTTGGAACGTGAATGGGCTCCAAATGGTTCCCATTGGCAGTGACCAACTAGATATCCAAAAACCTAATTGGTACCAATGGGTGAGACCGATTGGCCAGTGTCCTTCCCATTGGAACCCATCGGGAATTTTCAAATAGGAAAGAATGTGCTGTTGCGCGTTTCTTTCCAACAAATCGTCAAGAATCCAGTATGTGTACGGTGTACCCCATGGCACCCGTCGTTCCTCTTCCAGTCCCTTCAGCAATCCGGCTCCACTACCGACTTCACCTTTTCTTACCTGTGTCAGGGTATTGCACTATAGCTGAAAGCCAAAAGGCTGTGTGCCCAGTAAAACAAAGGGGCATCGAACACAGTCAGTCTGATTAACGCACCTTCAGCAACGCGGCTGAACTACCGACTTGACCTTTTATTGCCCATGTCGGGGCATTGCACTAGAGCCGGGAGCCAAAAGGACGCGAGTTTAGTAATGCAAAGGGGCATTGAGAACAGACTGGTGAATTAACCATCATCCGGAATGTTCCATATTGCTAGGGCCTCCTCTCCCCCCTCCCCCTCATACAGCATTTTGTCATGGGTAGGGGAGGAGGGGAGGGGAATCAAAATCCTGGCTACGTGCCTGCATTGAACACCTCCTCTTTCACACAGAATGTGCTATATGCTTGGCACTTAACAGTTTCCGACTTTGCACCCCTGAAATGGAAAAAAAGAAGACACAAGTGCCAAGTCAGTGTTCGGCTGAACATCGCGTCCTCACCGAGTGAACACCAGTCCAAGACGAATGCTGAGGCAACACAAATCCGGCACTACGGGCTAAGGCCCATTCACAGTGCTGCGTGTGACTACATTACGTTGGCTAAGCGTTCCAAACCTGAACCCTTAGTCCCTCCCTTCTTGAGTTGGAAGAATCGGCACCTGCACATAGAAAGTTCACACTTTCACCGAATATGCACTGAGCAGGTCAGTCTAAAGGCCCGTTAACATGCTTGCGACCTCTTAAAACTGGGTTCCTCAAAACCTCTTAGAACGAGAGGACACACTGGCGCCATCTATTGGGTAGTAGTGTAAACTTGGCGGTCCGGCATAATTTCTATTTCTCTCGCGCATTATCCTTTCTTTCTTGGCTCAAAAAACTTTTGTCAACGTTATAAACGAGCCTTTCTTACAGATATTACGCCCATTTGACCTCGGAAATGCTGCAAAACCTTTGCTCTTGTGAAATGCAGTTCCAGGATCACCGCATAGATGGCACCAGCGTGTTTTCTCGTCCTAAGAAATTTTAAGAGCTTTTAACAAGTCTCGTCTCTCTCGGTCCTACTCGGTTGCAAAAGTGTGAACGGGCCTTTACTCCGTGTGAAACCTCAAGGCATAGTAGTTCTCATTTTGTAAAAGGTGAGAGCAAAAATTTGCCAAAGTTCATGCTAAACCCGCTCCCAAATGACCAAGTTATCGACGCAATTCACTGGTGGCGCCATCTCTTGATAAGCACAGCGAGCACATGACGCATTCTGTTGTCTGCTTGCTGCGCCTATCGGGAGATGGTGCCACAAGAAAATAGCATTGCTTACTCGGTTGTCTGCAAACACGCCCAGCCTTAACTTTGGCAAACTTTTAGAGCGCAGCTCTTAGGCGCCCGATTCCGGGTTTCGTGGATTCGGCGTAACTGCGCTAAATTTAGCGGGAAAATTGACGTCACGTGACTTTAACACCAATTCAATCCCCCACTAAATTTAGCGGGGAAATTCAGTTTCTCCGCTAGATTTAGTGGAAACATGACGTCACGTGACCTCAACACCAATTCAATTACTTAGCGGGGAATTGAATTGGTGTTGGGGGTCACATGATGTCAATTTCCTGCTAAATCTAGCGGGAAAACTGTCGGAGGAGGTGAGGGTATGGAGGAAGAGGATGGAAGGATATGCAGGAGGAGGAAAGGAGGGTACAAAGAAGTAGGAGAAGGAGAGGAGAAGAGGAAATGAGGAGGAAGAGGGGAGAGACAAAGCAGGAGAGGAAGAAGAGAGAATAAAGGAGGAGGAGAGGTACAGAGGAGGGGCATACCCTCCCCTCCGCCTTCTCAAGAGCTGCGCTCCAATTTCGTATTACAAGGATTTGTAAACGTCTTTCATTCTTATACAGCCCGAAATCCCTGGTCTTAGTTTTTCATTCTAATTTTTTACGGAAAGAGAACTACGCCTTGAAATTTCACACGGTAAAAATGACCTGCCCGTTCACATTCAGTGAAAGTGTGAGCTTTCTATGTACAGGTGGCAATTCTTCTGGAGAGTTCTACAGCGGAAGGTCCGCTTGGGACACCTATAGTTACACAGTATGTGCATTCTGGTTTACAAGGTCTGCAGGCTTTTGTTCTGCTTTACGGCATCAATGACTGGGAGGAGTTCCTCAACTATTGATCAAGAACAACATGCGTTCCAGCAGATGGTTTGAGGACCCCTCGCTGTGTGGAAGAAAGCCTGCAAGCGTGGGCGCAAGAGCGCTCGAGACTCAACCTCACGTGCCACTTTGCTCGTGCGCTAACTTTGGCATTGCTTTCTTTCACACAGCCTCGGCTAAGACGCCGATTCTAGGAAGCCGGCCCAGAACCTCCTGAACCAACGATTTCCACAATTGGTCTATAGTGCAACAAAGGGAGAAAATACATTTTTGTTTTCTTAACAATCTTGTTTTTAAATATATGACGGATGATACGCCATTATGCCAAGGACAAGAGACCCGCAAATGGAGTGTTGGAAACGCGTGACACGGTCCCCGTCGGTCTACCAGGAGATCAGCTGGGGGGCGCCTCGTCCGGGTGGTCCAAGAGCAGCTGAACCTCCTCGAGTGGCGCCCGCAGCCGGATTCCTTTCTCTAGCAACATGTCGGCCACCTCCTGTAGGCACTCCGGGAAATGGTGCACGCCGTCCATGTACAGCGTCTGCACGTTCGGGCGACTTGTCAAGGAGCTGCACGCTTAGAACGAGCTGGCTTGCCTCAAGGGTCGTAGCAAGCTGGCTACCAAGATTCACTTCGACTTATGTTCACCCATTTGTCATCACTACCATCATTGCCCTCAGTAATAATTTAAAAAAAGGGACCACGGGGTGCCTACCAAATCACGCCTCTCAAATTCCCTCACTTTCCCAGGTTTTCCCCGAATATTTTTATTAAATTCTCCCGACCATTACGAAGAAGAAATGCAGAGGATGGCACTGCAGCGGCTGTTCAAGCTACTCCCATTTAATCCGGTGAATCGAGTAGTGGCTCACGCTGCCCAGCGATGCCTCGGGGCAACTGTCAATTGGCACAAAGGCCGTCCATGCTACCACTTGCTGCACACTCCCACTTTGCCACGTGCCACTGCGCCTCCGGCGTTAGTCTTTCTCCCCGACCCTGACAATTCCAGATGCTTTGAAATTCCCTGACAATTCCAGGCTTTCCAGGTTGGTAGTCACCCTAGACCACTACTGGTCCTGCTTGGGAGACCAGAGACATGTGCGCTAGCTAAAAGCACTCCTCGTCCCTCGTTTTCCCAAACCTGAACACGAAACGGGGCTGGCACAGACTGCACGTCGCAACACCAAATGCAACCAGTGCCCAGAGGCAGTGAGTGGCACTTGCCTTGGCCCATGGGCAGTTCTGCAGGGCCCGGTAGAAGATGGCCTTGGCAGAGTCCCTGGTCCCAAACCGCATCTGGTCGAGAGAGCATCTCGCGTGAGCGTGCCGCACCAAACGCCCTGGCTGCCACCTTGACGGCGACACTATGGTGTCTGCAACACGCCTCCGACCGGCGTGTTTATGGCGTCCTCATTTGTGGTCCTTTGATTTCTATCCGGTGAGTTGTTTGTTGCCTGTTGCAATCCTGGCAATGGCGCAGCAACAGACGTGGATGCAGCGGATGCCTGTTCTGTATAGGTAGCTCGCCAGCTTGACAGCCTACAGAAGCTTCAGCACCCACGAGTTGGGATGTCGCAACAACAGTGACGCTTGCGTTCGTTCCCCTTTTGTGCCAGAACTCGTACGATCAACTTCCAGGATCGGGACATCCGACGACACGAGACGCTAGTTCCCGCGACGTAATTTGTCGCCATTTCGAGACCTCTTTCGTTGTATCGGCAGGATAGACCTATTGCTATATTACCCAAGCATCAAGGAGAATGCAGGAACTGGTGTTCCACGCGCCATACGCGCACGCCTTCTTCGTATAAAAGATTCGAAGAAAATAACCAAAATAAAGCGTTGACAAACGCACGTGCAAGGTGCCATTTGTTTTAAGTATTTTCTTTAGAAAAGTTACTACTGCTGAGGCCAGCACATGCAGCGCGTGGAACACCAATCCCTGCATTCTCCTTGATGCTTGGGTAATATAGCAAGAGGTCTATTGGACACCAAACACACCAGTCAAAGACGTTGTCTAGGCGCCATAGCGGCACCTGTAAAAGCGTACAACGCACCATACCACCGAACTTTCGGCATGCATCGCCGACAACTAACTTGCGGCCGTGGACCTAACGATAGGCAAAAAATTTTGCTTAATGTTGCGGGGAAGGAGTACTCACTTCGAGATGGACGTACAGCCTCCACAGCAGGGGGCAGCGACGGTGGGACACGGACTCTAAGGCCCGTTCCAGAACACGCCTCAGGTGGTTGCAAAGATGGGGCAGCGTGAAAGAGGCACCTGCAACGGGCACAAGCGGTAAGTCACTCCGCAGCTCTGTTGAGCACCCAAGGGGTGACACCACCAACTGCTGGTCAGGCAGAAACACTCTTAAAACGTGCTCCTTCCAACTCATCCAATTGAAGTACCAACAATGCCCCAGCACCTCCTTGATCTCAGAAGTAAAAAAAAAAAAAATACACACGTTCGGATTTTTTTTTTGGGGGGAGGGGGGGGGGGAGTATTTCTCAAGAGATGTATCGCAATACATTTTACCCTGATTGTATCGCGATACAAAGAAACATTCCAAATGTATTTCGATATAGGAATAAAATACTGGTGAAAACAATGTATCGCGATACAGAAATACAGATAAGAAATGTATTTCTAAAATACTATCGCCATACATTTGTATCGCGATACTGCCCAACCCTGCTTTCCAAATTGTCTGTTCCGACATTTCGAGTGTCCAGTTGACCTTGCACAAACTTGTGAATAGATTCTTCCTCGCAAGTCACGACCTGAATATAGCCACGTGTAGATCTGATGAAACAAATCTAGGTATCTTTACGCACGCAATTGTACTTTGTGACTGAACACCTACATCTTAGTATCTTGAAGCACTATGTTGTGGTTTTTCTTTTTTCCACGCAAACACTTTTTAATCGGGTGAATCGACCGTGAAACGACAATACACACAGGGCCATCAAACGAGAGAAACTTTCAGACACTAATTTTGAGAAGCAACTGCTGCTAAGTTACAATATGAAGTAAAATGCATACTTTTTAATTTTATGCAATAAAACTTGGCGAGGGGTGTTTTCTAATCCTTCCAAAATTTTTTGTGTTATAGAAAACTAACGTCGTTACTTTTTAAAAGTAACTGTAACGAGTTACTCTTTTGTTGTAGTAACTGTAACAGTAGCTTCGCTACTTTTTTCTGAAAGTAACTGTAACTGTAACAAATTACTCTTTAAAAGTACCTTGTCCAAGACCGAGTATATGCCCTCTCCTATCCAAGTCCCACGAGGAAGTGATAGTATTTTGAACTAAAAAATAAAAAGCATGCGCAAGGGTACAAAGCTTCATAGAGTGCTGCAACCATACACGGGCCTTCCCGACGATAGTTTTGTTCCCTGGCAGAGGACAGGCTTACCGGCTGCCCTGTGAGTGTCCAGTTGCTGCGCTCTGGCTAGCTCAAAGCAGAGGGCCACCAGCCAGGCCAGGGGGCAGTGCTGCTTCTGAACCAGCCCGTCTAGCAACCTGCATCACGAAAGGAAATGGCATCACGAAATGTCTCACTTTTGCAGCCCTTGTTTCGTGGGATTCGGCTGTTGCACATTACTACATTTGTCACCCCTAATTGATGAGAGTCTCATACAAATTTTATTTGCATGCAGAAAAACATTCAGATATATCGGAAGAAAAAAAAAGCTACACGAAAGAACAAAATACACGAGACAATCTTCCGATTTCCAACAGACAGTTTGTTGCAGGTTGGAAGGGTTTTTCATCCATATAATACTTTGTGTCATCTTATATTCCATTTTTCCCAAGAGAGCGCTGTTTGCTTAAGGCAAGTCTTTTCAATTAGTCAAATTTAATGAATTCAGCCCTTTCTGGAATTCATAAGAAAACAAATAATATCAACAATCACAATAATATTAGTAGTAGTAGCAGCAGCAGCAGCAGTAGTAGTAGCAGTAGTGTAGTAGTAGTGGTAGTAGTAGTAGAATTATTCCTAAGTTCCTTGATGAAAGTGCCATTTTTTTCAGGAAACATATGTGCTTTGTCCTGGAATGCAATCTTTTCAATTTTGTTTAAGTATACTTTAGGTCGTTCACTAAGTTCTGCATAAGCTACTTTAAAATATGTCTTTTTTTGTCTGTGTATATATCTTAAATACCACCTACACCTGCTATGGCTCTCAAATGTGAGCCAGCAGTATGTCTGAAAAATGAATAATAATAATGATGATGAAGATAATAATAATAACTCCTTTATTTTTCAACAAAATTAACGTTGATGGAAACAACGGGAAAAAGCTGTTAGCAACCGCTTGACTGCCCCCAACCCCCCCGAAAAAAATGGCAGTAGAGCAAATATAAAAATGTAGCCTCATGCATTTTGATACATTTTGGCTTTGAAGTCAGTGCTTGCAACCACTGCAGCCTAACACCAGCAAAGAGAAAAAAAAAAAAGGTGAGAAGAATGTGAAAAGACTTCCGGCATTTTCTTTTTCCCGTTACGGGTGCACTTGCCTGCGAGTGCTGAGTGCTCCCAATGCTCCGGCCTGCAGACTCGCCCAGTGCCACAGGAGACTGGCAGAGCGCGGCACCTCCTGAAGAGCCTGGTGCAAGGCCGCACGCAGCGCCCTCTGGGAGCCACCCTGGGACACCTCGTGGGTGCAGAGGCGCACATACGCCTCATGCGCCTCTTCCAGCCCCTTCCTGCATACAGTCAGCCACCGCCAGGCCCAATAAACTCTTTCCAAAAGTCCGTCTGTCCACTCTGTGTTAAGCCGAACCACCAAACCATTACGTAGCTTCTCAACACCAGGAGAAACGAACGTCGGCAAAAGTATTAAGCAGAAAGCGGAGAATCGATCTTAACAAGTTGGTCCTTGTACGTCGCTTTCGATTCACGAAGTCAGTGGCGCTCGACTTGGTGAGCTTGCTCTCTTATCCCCACCATTATTCTAGCTTTTTAGACTGCCCCTAGACGACTTAGACCAGTGGTTCTCAACCACTGATGTTGCGGGGTTTTCTTCTGGATCAGCGGAAGTGATGGGGGACCCGATTGATCGGGGAGGAGGGGGATAATAGACAATTACAATGACAAAATGGTGAATAAAGAGAACTAAATGCCTGCAAGCCAACTTTCAAGCTCTTAAACATAGACTAATCAACCCTACACACTTGGTGAGTATGTAAGACGGTCAGCACCAATTTAATATATATATATATATATATATATATATATATATATATATATATATATATATATAAAAAGTGGTAATGGTTTACAAATGCTTCCGTTGATATGTAGGCAGAAGTAAGGTGTGCAGACACAGCAACCATAGGATGATAAAAATAAAAATCTAATAGTGAAAAAAGTCACGCGAGAAAGAAGAGTTAAGTGTAGAAAAAAAAAGTTGCATTATAGTTTACAAGAATAATCAAGGCTAGGCACAAGAAAGCTAGATATCCAGATAATACACTTAAAAATGACTGAATAAAAGTCAAAGTTAAACAGAAGAACTTACAAATATAAATTAAATGAAAAATAAAATAAAAATCTGAAGTAAAAAAATAAAAAGAGGCCTGTTGTCAGTCCCTTTTTTATTTTTATTTTTAATTCTTTATTCTATTTTCCGTTTAACAATTTATTTTCTTGCACTTTTCACCACACTTGCGCTTAAAGTGAAACAAAGTATAGTATCCAACTTTTGACCCCTATATTTCGGCAGTTTAAAAAGTCTAGGAAATACCGAAAGTTTCTTGTCCGTGCTGATTCTGTTGCACCCTAAAACCACACCTCCCCGACTCACGCATTGTCCCGTGCCCGCTCCAGCCACTGCCGAGCGAGAGCCGCCGCAGCCTTGAACCCGGCAGTGAGGGCCTTGCCCCAGAGCGCCGCCCTGAGTGCACCTGAAGAGCACTCCGGGTCTGCCACTTGAACGTCGAGGGTGGCCACTGCCCTGACCAGGGCGCTGGGACGCAGGGGACCCTTCAGGGCCTCCGAGATGCGGAGGCTTCCCCCGGCACACGAGAGAACGAGGAGGGCACGCTCCCGAGTGGTCGACGTGCCGTGCTCGCCGAGACAGAGGTCCAGGTAGGCAGACAAGAGACGCCAGCGGTCACCGCGGCACTCGGAGAGTACCTCGGGCTGCCACACCTGCAGCGTAGAGTTCCAGCATTGGGATGTTGAAACAGCTAGATGACGCCTTGAACATCATCACAAAGACAATGTTCCGTTTTGCCACTCTAAATCATTTCTTGCATCATTTATTCCTAGAACTGGAACCTATATAGCTAACATCAGTCGTCGATTACACTCCTTTTAGAGCACAGCTTTTAGGTGCCCGTTTCCGGGTTGAGCGGCGTCACTGTCGGCGTAAACACGCGTGCTGCGTTACGGGAATAAAGAAACCAGGCGTAAATATGCATTACATTATGGAAAAACTTAGCAGTGAAATTGTCCCGCTAAATTTAGAGGGGAAATTGAGAAAACAGGGCCGCAACACCAATTCAGTTTCTCCGTTAAATTTAGCGAGGAAAAGGATGTCACAACTTCGTGTCACATCACCCATGAACAAATTCAGCGGCAGGAAGAGTGGAGCAGAAAGGAGGAGGAAGAGGGAAGGAGGCTCAGGAGTGGGGAGGGAAAAGGAGGAGGAGAAGGGGCATATTCTCCTCTCCATGCCCTCCCCATTTCCTCCTCTGGAGCTGCACTCTCATTCGGCATTACAGAAAATTGTAAACATCTTTCATTTTATGTGCAACTCTTGATAATCACCAGTTCCCTATTGTTTAGGTATTTTTCTGTCGTTGCTATTGCATTAAGTTTGTTGCGCTTTTATCTTTCTCTCCCCTCCGTAATGCCTCTGTGCCCCGAGGGACAAACAGTAAACCAAAAAAATGCATTAATGTATTTCCTTCACCTCTTCACTAAAGTTGCGCTTCTGACATTAAAAGCAAAAAATTTCTCATGCATAGTACACAAATTTGATCTCGCGAGAACACGAAGACCTTATCAGTTTCTTTATTTTGGGGCGAAGGGAAAGGAGGGAGGCAGGAGACGAGCGGACCTCCAGTCAGGAACAAGTCACTAGCTTCGGTCCAGTTATACTTATACGTGTACCAGAAGTGTTCCATGGCTCCCTGAAAGATGACGCCAGTGTTTTCTCTCGTCATGAATGATTATGTAAAACCACATAAGCCCACTAAAATGCGAATGTGTGAACCAGCCTTTACACTACACTACAGTCCAAACGTGGAGCCGCTCAGCGAGGTGTGGAAGTCGGGCTGACCGTGTCCAGAGCCCTCTCGTAGAGCGTGGCGGCCTCCTGCGAAAGGTCCATGTCGAGCAGCAGCTGCCCGTACTCGGTCCACAGGTCCAGATGGCGCTCCCTGCGGGGCTCCGAGAGCAGAGCCTTGGCTGCCTTCTTGCGCTGCCGGGCGGTCCAGTCGTCCGCACGGCGGAACACCTTCATCCACAGCAGGCTGTGCTCGTCCCACAGGAGCGGCTCCTTGGAGAACAGCTCCTGCTCACAAATCGCACGAGGGGAGAGGATCCGTTTGAACAACGAGGCTGCTACAGTTCAGCATGTAGCAGCATTCAAAATAAGGGTAGAAACTGAGGGAGGGGAGAACACGAGAGCATGCGGGTGGGTGGGTACGCCAGAGCGCCAAGCTCACTGTGCAAATGCTACCTGTGTGAATGCTCACTGTGCGAACACTCACTGTGCGAACGCTGACTGTGCAAATGCTCCCTGTGCAAACACGCACTGTGCGAACGCTCACTGTGCGAACACTCATTGTGCGAACGCATTCGAACAGTAAGGCAGCTAATTTTACAGTTACCCACTAATAATTCAAACCAGAGCTTGGGGTTCTGATGTCCCCGCAGGCATAGAGGTACTGCAGGCCCCCTGGTATGGGCGTAACGCCTGACTGCAGCTGCCTTACTGTTCTAAGATGAATCAATAAACAAACAAGCAAACACACCGGAAAACCTTGAAGACAAGGGGAGTCAAAAAGGGGGACAAACACAACACCATATCAAACAACGATGTTGAGTTTCTCCCCCTTCTTTTCGTGTGCTCCCTCATCTCCTGGGTTTTTCAAATAATAAATACATGTTTGAGTCAGTAAATAACGAAAAAAAGTCCTCTTCATATGGAATCTTTTTTGCAAGGCAACTGGAATCTTTTAATCAAAGCAAGTCACAACAAAAATTAAAATATAAAGAAATGCCTTTATTTTTGTGGGCTTGATATTTTTTGCAAACTTCACGAATTGAGGGTTTCAAAAATATTTTTTGAGGGCACAAAATCTTCTAAATGGGAGTGGTACGCTATGTATTTGTTACTACAAGGTGAAATGTTTGCGTGAGCTATTTTAAGTTGTTTAAAACAGAGTGAAGCAAAGCTGAAGGATGTTTGCAATATGTACTGGTACACATCGATTTGGGATACTGATAAACGTAAAGATACCACTCTGGCAAAACTTGTTCCTGAAAAAAGTGGAGATACAACAGAGAGGTTCTACTGTAAATGCCTTAAACAAGCCACTCAAAGGCAAACGGCCACTTCGGTTTAACCATTATTGATGCAGTCTTGCCTGACAGTCCAACAGAACAAAAAGCTGAAGACAATAACAAGTCTGCTTCATGAAACATAGAGCCATTTTTCTTTCAGAACGCTTTTATGCACGCACAGACTGAAGGATCCAAACTGGGGACCCCAAAGATACGACCAGTTTAGAAAAAGATGGCTGCCATTCCTAAACTCTGCCTCAAGGAGTGCCACCACCAACGATTCCCGCTGGTGTCATCATGTTTTTCGTATCTGTTGCAGCTTAAAAAGAGAAGGACAAGCCCCTCCCACCATAACCAAGCAGTTTCCTCCTCTCCCACATTTGCTCTGTAAAAGTGGAAGGAGTGGACAGCTGCCATTCTTAATTAACCTACAACACCATACAACACTATACTATACCAGAGGACCCAAACAATTACAGCACTGTCCCGTCACGTTCTTGGCATGGTCCCGTCACAACGGCCAAACGGCATTTACGCCAATAACAGAGAGCACGCCACCTGCCTGGGACTGGGCGAGCAGACGATGGACGAAGTCGGTGGTCCCGGCACGCTGGCTCCAGCCCGAGGGGAATCCCAGAGAGTCCCTGAAGCGCCTCGCCATGGTCAAGTCCACCCCTGGCAGCCGCTGGAAGCAGTCCGCCTCCACCAGAGAGCTGTCCGCACCCCCACCACCACCTGCACCGCAAGGCAGGTGGTGGTGGACCTTGTCTTATAGGTGTTATACAGGGTGTTTCCGAGTGGTATTCAAGCATAAAACAATTAAATATAAACAAACCAATGAAGTGCCATAAAAATTTTCAGAAAAGTGTCTTTAGGTGGCGCACTTATCGTATTCAAATTCCTTAAGTGCGAGCTTTTAAAAAAATCTTTCAGCCTAAAAAAAAAATTTCTTTTCCTATGCACAGGAATGAAAATGGTAAAAACGGTCTGGTTGCACCGCTACTCACAAATGGCACAACATAAAGGAAAAACGTGAGAGCTTTTTCGAGACGAACAGCTGAAAGCAGATCCAGCAAATCCGAGCACGTGTGGTACCATCTGTGAGCAGCAGCATACACCAGACGGTTTTTACAGTTTTCCTCCTTGTACATAGGAAAAAAAACATACTTTTTATGCTTAACTTGTTTTCCTGAAACCCATACTCATGATATTCAAGTATGGTGAATTCACCACCTAAAGATATCCGAGAAACGTTTCGATGCACTCCATTCGTCAGTTTATTTATACATGCTTTTTTTTCACCCTAATGGCACTCAGAAACACCCCGAAGACGCAAAGGGGCAGTTCTGACCGAGCAGAACGTCGACGGTAGCCCTGAGCAGGTGCATCTGGGAGGCCGGGAGGCGTAGCCGGAACAGGGCACTCGTCAGGTCCTCGAGCATCACCATGCGCTCGGGGTCGTCGCAGCCCTCGTCGCCGGACGACAGGTCCGGACGGTACGGCAGCCAGTGGTGCCGCTCCCTGTGGCACTCGAGGGAGAGCCAGGCCTCGCGCAAGTCCTGGCCTTCGCCCACTGTCGGCTCGGACACCGCTTCATCGTCTGCAAGAGGATGTCAGCAAGCGGTGAACAAGTCGTCTGCAAGAGGATGTCAGCAACCAGTGCCGACAACGCTGCTATGTTCGTTAACAATGTAAGAATGACAGAGAGGCGACTCGGTTGCCCCACCTCTGGCACAACCTTGATAACTTCGGCAATGCTTCATCGTCTCGTGCACCTCGAACACGCGCGCGCGCAGCTAAAAGAAGGCACGAAGTATGTGCTGGAGGCCTGACATTCGAAAAACATGCCTTGCTGTTCTTATTCCGTGAGTGACTATAGTAACAATTTCTGTCGGTGACAGGCAGCTGTTCTAAGCATTGAAAGAAAGGGAATAACGGGAACCAGAAAAAGATAACCACTCCTACTTTCTTAACCGGTGACGGTGCCAAGGTGTGGCAGCTTCTTTTGAAGCTGCAGGGCAGAGGACGTAGGGTGGAACCTCCATTATAGTAAAGTCAGACTTTTTCAGAACACACGATTCACTAGGTCGTTATGCATGTTTCTTCACTAAAATACCAGTACCTCATGCTTCAATTATGCCTTATTAAATTCGTATCCTCATTATATCATTAATTTACATCGAGAGGTTTTACCTGAATTCAAAAGTGACGCGTCTTCCCAAAAATATCCAATAACAGTCTATGCTTTGCCAGCGGAACTAAACTGCTTCTTGCTTCTGAAGCATCTAACTTCGTTGGAAAACATACAGCGTCACTGTAAAGCACTCCTAGACAGTGCTCTTCAACCAATGACTTCCTGTCTCTATCCCTTCCAGGTTTGTTTAAAAGGCAAAACAAGAAACATAAACACAGCCATGGAGCTGGCGACAACTTGTAATTGCTAGTTGAAAGACTAGAAAACATGACAGATAAGCATTCAAAAAGGCAAATCCAATTGCCATTAGTTGGTTCTATGGAGATAACAAAATGAAAACAGATTGATTCCTTAAAATCCAGGTAGATCAGGAAAAAAGGGTAAAAGCACAGGCGAGCTGGTGAAGAACTTCCATCGTAAACCGGAGACACGGAAAAATAAAAAAAAACGGACAAAACAACAACAACAAAAATCTTGTTGTTGTTTTGTCCGTTTTTTTTTATTTTTCCGTGTCTCCGGTTTACGATGGTAGATCAGGAAGCTAGTAGACTGATACAACAATATGTCTAACTTTGAAATGCCTGGACGTCACATTGCAGCAGATGATGCCATAAATGAACTGATAATAATCGAGCTATCGATACATGAACCAGATGCAACAATTGGGCACCACGCGGTAACGCCAGCTACCGAGCGGATGTCCCGTATAGATTGGGGGAGAAAGCCGACCCTTGCTGGACTGCTGGGCGAGCAGGCGCTCTGGCTGCTCCATGAGGTGCGCCCAGCCCTGGGAATCGGACTCTCCAAAGCGGGGCGCCCCACTGTCCCAGAAGGGTTCCAGCAGGGTGAGCCACTGGTCCAGGGGAAGGGACTCCACCCGGGGTGGCCGGCGCAGGCTCAGCTCCAGCAGTGCCTGGAGGAGCCCCACCGCACGCTCCCACTGGCCACACTGGCACAGGAACACCGCATACTGGCGACACACCTCTGAAACACACGGGAGAATCGGGTCTTGTAGGGGCATGGATGCTGCGACGCACGGCTGCGACTGAAGCATCGTGGAGTGATATACTATGGTGTCTGGAGCGTGTCTCCTAATGTCCGTCCATGTTGGGCAAAAGAGTAGGCTCGCAATAATTCAAACTTGGATATTTCATAATTTTGGTTAATTCAAACCAATTTCAAAATTTTGCTTGTTCTGCTAGGTTTCTAATGTACTTATAAGCCACTTAACTCGAATGGTGTTTTCGTGTAATTTATACTTTTTGTTCCAGCTACCCCGTCGAGTGCGCTTCTTATCGAGCACCGATGCACTGCGGAGAAGCAACACCCGCGGAGCTCAAGCACGTTCAACGGGGCTGCCATAACAAAAGGTAATGACTATCTTGATGTCCACCGTCAAAATACCTAAAAAATTATTTCGACATCTGCGACGTCACTGTCGTAAAACGTCAAAATAGTGGCTTTATTATTTCGACGTCCTCCTTCAATGCAGCCGTCGCACTGGTAGCCGTTTTGTGGTTTTGTTTTGTTTAGTTTCTGATGGTGTTGAGTTGCCGTTTTGATGGATTTATGTGTTTCATGCCTAAAATGTTTCGCTCCTAGTTGGCAGTGGAAATGTGTCTTATTCAGCGTGTGTGAAAGACTGGCTCGACAGTTAATCCTTTCGGATGTGACACGCCCGCTGGCGATGTTCCGAGCCTTCTGAGCTCGCATCTCGGCACGCGTTTCACTTAAAATTTTTAATCCACAACAAAGGCAAGCTGGATATCCCTCTGTCTTGCCTGCATATAACAAACGTAAGTGCAAAGCTATATTGATGTAGTACTTCATCAAATTGAAACAGATGCCACTTTTCAGCTTATATATGCGAGGACTGCAAGAACAGCTTCCGCTCATTTTTGATTCTTTCTTCGATAGACAGAATGATAGAGAATGAGTAAATAAATATATTTGGAATCATTTCGGTGGGAAAAGTTTGATTTAAATCGTCGCAGTAAAATCGGCGCGATTTCAATGACAATTTCAATCATCTCGATTGTCATTTTCCACTCTGGTTGTGGTGCTCACCGACGAGGTGCCGCTCAATGTCCTCGGGGGCGAGGGAGGAGGACCGCCGTCCCTCCTGCATGTCCCTGAAGCAGGCCAGGGCCCGGAGGTAGGCGTGACCCGCGGCAGCCACTTCGAACCCCGACAGGGTCGTCTCCGCCTGGAGGAAGCGGGCACGCTCCAGCCACAGGCGCCAGTTGCCCGGCTGCAGGCGCAGGAGTTCCTCCCAGGCCTGGGATGCGCGCGCCTCCTCTCCCAGCTCCAGCAGAACCTGCGCGGAGGGCACACCATACTGAGTCGCCCACCTCCCCGATGACTCGGCGGATTTAACTCCGACGCAGACCCGACGGTTTGCAAGCGGCGGTCCGACATGCGCGACAATTCGAGCAGTTCTCAACTCGCAGTCGGCTCGGCGGCGCAGACAATCGAGAAAAGGCAAAAGCGATGGTGCCACAGTCGCCGTTGCCTACGCTCATACAGTGAAACACCAAAAATGCTGCTTGCAAAAGACGGCCAAAGCCAGTTTCTTTTAAATTTTGAATTTGCCATATTTGGCAGTATTCAATATAACGTAAAATCCCGAGTCATCGCCCACTTCACTTTTCGGACGAATGTTGATTTCCAAATAATCACAGAGTGATTGCCCACCTTTACAAATATCCCAACGTGGACACTGCGATCCGCAGACAATCATCCTACCCGAATGATGCGGCATCAGACCTTACGGTTGGAGGACGTTCCTGACAAAGTAAAACGAAGGAGGTAAAAACACTGCACTTTGCTTACGCATTTCCTCCTTGGTTTGCAAGACCCTGAAGTCGGACTACATGCGTGTGAAAAGAAAACAATGGTGATAATAAAATGAAACATCAGTTTGCATAGAAAAAGTTTGTTAAAAAAAGAATCGGAAAGATAACACAAGCAGTAACCCAATCAGAGATCGCCGAGGTAAGTAAACGCCCCATACAGTGATGTGATTGGCCTAAGCCATTTTGGAGCACCTTTTGGAGCAGCAAAAACAGTGTTTTGGAGCAGAAAAGGCGGCCTTTGGCGCAGCCAAAACAGTGTTTCGGTGCAGAAAAAGTGGCTTTTGGAGCAGATATTCTTAGAAAAATAAATATTTGTTTTCCAAGTGCTGGACAAACCAAGGGCACTTTGTGTTGTGTTGTGACGTGTTGTGATGGAACTCGCTGCTTGTGTTTTTACTGCTGAGACATCTCGCAAGTATACAGTGCTGTAAGCGTTGCCGAGCAATTCCGAAAAAATACTTGCCAACGTTTTAGTGGCTCCCGATGCGCCAGATTTTTATAAAAGGTAAGCAAACGTAAAACAATGGATTGCGAACATTCCGGATAGTGCCTCTGTCGTGCAATCATGTTCACATGCATGTGAGGTCAACTTCGGCAGGCTTGCAATTGCACGTGCTTCGTCGCGCGCGCGGAGGCAACGGCTGCTCAATTGAAACCAAAGCCATGCCACTCCACTACGTCGCCAACTGATTCCCAAAATAGTATGCAAAATGTAACTGTCCAGCACATGGCTATAAACAGTCCAGCGGCGCGTGCTTGCCAGACCGGCAGGCGAGGTACAGGCTAAACACACAGAAAAAAAGAACCTGGGCGCATCGGTGTATGACATCGCGAGCCAGGGTCAAAAAGTTCTTGGAACGCTTCGTGCAACGACTGAACTCATAACAAATAAGCGCGCTGTGCGGGTTCAGCGTGCAGATATTATCTTCTTTGCTTTAGCTCACTTCACCAACTTTCTGTCACGGCAGATTTTTCACGTACCGGGGTCCCTCTCGAAAGAAAGCCCGCCGAAAGAAACCTAAATAATCAATACTGAGCCAAGCAGTCTTTGAGTTAAATAGGGATTTTTGTAGCAGCGTCTGATTTAAACAACAACAGGAATGTTGATGCGTTTCAGTTTAGAAAGCGCCATATCTGCAGCGATGCGGGGACGGCAACACACGACGTAGCGCGACCAAGGCGACTGTGGTCGCGCGAGCGCTTCAGCTCACAAAGTAACTCTCACCGCGCAAAAACGTGGTTTTGTTTCACAGCATGACGGCATGTCCGGCACCCGGCACACTAACGTCGGAGCGTCCTCGCACACGCCCACGTCTATCGTTGAAATGTTTTTAAAAAGACGCGAAACGAGATTCTTGGGACGAAACGCGAGACGGCGGGAAAAGCCATGCAAGACCGGATAGACGGTTGATGCAGTATGCGCTGTGTTGGGCGGCCGCTTGCGCTACCTAGCTCACGCATGCTCAATTACGGTTGTCAGTTTAGTTTCAGTTTTGAAAGGCGACCAAAATGGTCCTTTGGCGCAACCTTGGCGCAGATTACCCATATTTTGGCAAAATGTAGCAGGATGTAGCAGGGTTAGCTCCTTGGCGCAGTTTGGCGCAATTGGCGCAGCAATCACATCACTGCCCATATCCTGGAATGTAACCGCGCTGTGTAAAATCAAAGTCCGTCTCCACCGAAATAAGATCACCACGAACCTGCTCTTTCTTTCAGAACGTAATGACTGCGGTTGGTAAAGTTGCGCAATGTTTGAGACAAAGCCAACGGGTAAATAAAGGTCTGCTAGAAAGCCGCAAATAGACGTTTGTAAAGCGCCCCATTTCGAGCTCCGTGTTCATGGTGCCGTCCAGGCCACGCAACAACGCCACCTCAACCCGCGTTGATAGCACGCCACGCACGGATGCACGCACGTATGCACCAAACAATAAATTTGCTCATGAGACTCCTTGTGATTGACAAAGTGCCCGACTAGGCATGACGCCAAAGTATTCGCCAACGCGTTTGCCGGCTTCCCCACGTTTCCAGTATCGCTCTTCATCACTTCTGAAGAGGGTGGCTACAAAGGTCTAGACAAACAAAAGAAAAAATGAATGCTCTTATCGTTTGAAAGATTTGAAGTTCATCTTTAACCCTGTGGCTTTCCTTGGTTCCCAACTTCTGGGACAGAATAGGGGCAAAAGTGGTCCATTATCTATCAGTGCTGTTCTCTTACAAATGTAAAAAAGAAAAAAAAAAAAAAAAAGCACAGGCGGTGACACACACATCTCTTTCCAGATCAACAGCATTCCTCCACACCTTTATGGTCACCTCTTCAGTTCCTTCGGCTCCTTCTCTGATCTGTGCTGGCCGGCAGCGACGATGGCTGACAGCACCAGGCAACGGTAGGACGCGGCCACTCACCTGAATCTTGAGCAGGTGCAAAGAGACGCAGCCGTGGGTGCGAAGTAGCGCCTGCTCCAACACTGCTAGCTTCTTGTCCCTTATCGCCCGGGCTCGTCTGAAACAGAGACGCCGCCGTGAGCGGTCCTCAACAACCACGCGCTGCAGTACAGCTCGGGTGCGCCGACGAATAACAACGAAAAGACTGCAGTCCCGACGTCAGATAAAGACTGCACCACAACAGCTTCTACAAAAGTTGGGGTGGTCCTTGCACTTTTGAGAACACATGCTAGTCAAACCATCTGTTCACCAGATAGACACCCACACCTCTATTCTCTGGCACGGCTTAAGCTCTGGCTCGGGCATTCACGGCACGGCTATAGAGCATATTTATGTAGAGGCATTGCTCAGTGATAGGACGGTCCTTAGACAGCCCAGTCTTTTCGTCCAGTTTTCCCTAGGGATCTGAATGAGTGCCGTACCAGCATACGACCGTGTGTCCCCGCCGCGTGATGCGCGTTAAAGATCCCAAGCTAGCGGCTGTACCGTGCCAGCTAAACTTCTCATTTACAGCAGAGACACCGGATGTCCACTGGGGCAGACTAACCTCCCGCCGTCTAAACAAACACGCAACACGATTAGTGCCGTCCTCGCTCACCCGTGGGTCCTGTGTATGCCCGAGGCCTCCTCTAGTGCCGCCACATACTCCTCCTGGAAGGCCACCAGGTCCAGCCAGGCCTGCTCGTCCCCGGGCACCAGGCGCAGCCGCTCCTGCAGCTCCGCGTGTCTCGCCAGGGCCTCGGGGCACAGCTGGGACAGCACCTCCTCCTCCTCCTTCTCCTCCTTGCCCTTCCCTGGACAGGCAACATCGATTCCCCTTACCCTCTTAATGCACACAAAAGAATCGTACCCAAAGAAACGGGACAAGACAAAATTTTAAGGCAAATTGCTACGCAATCGTGTTGCATATGTGAAGCATTCTAGCATCAAATGTTTAGGAATGCTCCGAGTTTCGAGATGCTAGACGCCTGCGTCTACAACACTGTTCAGCGGATAGTTTAATGCGTACCATGTGTACACTTGCACTAATCGGGCCGATAAACCTGGCAATCTTCCAGAGCTTTCCACACTCTCGAGCTGCTCTCCCTCAGTGCACAGAGGTTGTCGAGCTCCTCCTCGCTTGCCCATCAACCAATCAGTGTTGAGCCTCGCGGCCATTTTTTTACCTGGGCTTCACGCAATGCCGAACACCTAGCCCAAAGAATGTTTTACGTTAAAAATAGAGGGAGAGAAGACGTCGAAATGGCTCGGGAGGTCAAGCTCTTGATAAATTGATTTCTGCTGGGACACGTTACTTGTTTACTGCCACTGCCCCACAATCAGTGCGGATCTTTGTCACTAGTTTATTCAATGCTTTGTATCATTCTAAAGGGGCCTTAAATGCTTTTTTTCAACCTGGTCGTGAAAGAAGGTGAAGCAGGAACACTTCACATTCTTGAAGCATGGGACAGAAATCTGTGTATTTATAGGGCTCACACTCTTTTTCCTCCTTAACTTACCATTTATCGCCGGCAAAAAGGCCCTGCTTCTTAAATTACCGAAACAAACAAGAAAATATTTATGAAAAAAAAAAAACTTTTAGCATTTTCACTTTGGTGAAGGAAGAGCAGCGGAGCTGTAGCTTCTGTTCTCGGCGGTGGCTTTCTAGGCGAGCGATCTGCTCTTTCGCAAGAAAATCTGAAGCGCTCAACGCAGTAGAACTTTAGGCGATAGGGGCCTCGCGGCAATTGTGAAACCATTTGCGCTGCTGCGGACATTGCTGCTCGTTCCGTTGCCGCTCTTCTTCCTTCGAAGAAATGTTGCCGCCTTCTATGAGCGACGGCGGTAAGCAGACAACCGGCAAACACAACACTCTGGACAGCTACCGCCATCTATGAGCGACGGCGGCAACCAGAGTGTTGTGTCGGCCACGGATGTCGACATTTGTATGGTACCGGACACGATCCTGGGGAAATTAGCCCTTAACAGCTCCGCTGTAAAATAATTTACTTTGTTGAGCTTGCTGGAGGTCGAACACAGAGGGACTGTAAGCAACGGGAGTAGCACAAACAAAAAAGCTGCAGTAGCCAATAGTCGCTTCTGGAGATGACATCATGAGGTGGACCTGGTGTCACCCAGACGAAAAACTCGCTGTCAGCTCCCGTTTCACACTCACTTCAATGCCCGACATAATCATGTCTACTCTACTGAAACCAAGCGAGCCAGCCGATTGCTAGCCTTTCAACCACCTACAGAAACAGAGCCCCCCGAGGCAAAAAAGTATTCCACCGGTCCCCCGAGGCAAAAAAGGGAGGGGCCCACCTTGGATGTAGTTACGGGTGGCCGCGTCCATGACCCCCAGGGGGTCTACGACGCACTTCCCGGTCGCGGCGGGGTTTCTCGAGGCCTGGCCCCCTTCCAGGGGCACGTACTCCTGGCCGGCCGCAAAGGGCACGCTCGCACGGGCCACGCCCGACGCGCAGGTCTTGGACGCCTGCCAGAAGCGCACGACCTTCTTGCGAGCCACCCTGCCGGACAAGTCGGGGCAGCTTAGCACACCGCGTGTCACTTGGATGCGCTCTCACGCACTACTATAGCCGCCAACCTTGGCTGACCGCCAGCACCCGTTTCACACCCTCCGCCGTGCCTCGGCTGCGCATGCAACTCAAGCACTTGCCAGGCGGCAGTGTCTTCTACTTCTACAGTTGGTGAGGGACGTCACCAGACATTCCTCACCATGGAACTCGATTTCCGTGTACTACCGAATGTAAAGCAATTCGCCACTTGTAGCGGTACCTGTCTTGATTCAGTCTTAGGCTGGGACGTTGATTCGTGTGAGAGTGTGTTCCCTTTCCTACACACTTCAGTGACCACAAGGCTGTGTTGCATGTGAACGAGTAAAGAAGGAGTGGATAGGCATTGAAGTGTGTGTTATTATAGTGAGTCTGACACAGTGGATCTGACACTGTAAAAAGAACCGCAAGAAAGATTGGTGCTAGCACATAGAAAGCCCGAATCTGCATTGAGGTAGTCAGTTTTACATTGTGAAGTTTCGAGGCATAGTTCTCTTTTTATAAAAAAAAATGAGACCCACAATCTTTCCACAGTAAACGGTGGAGATGTTCACGGACGACCGAATTAGCGATGAACGTAACTTGTGGCGACATCGCCCGACAGGCGCACCTAGCAGACGACGCACTCTGTCGTCTGCTTGCAGCGCATATCGAGAGATGGCGCCACGAGATACCTACATTTATCAATAATTCGGTCATCCGCGGACGCGGTTGACTTTGCCAAGTTTGTCACCTCCTTGCACATTCAGTGAAAGCTCAAGCCTTCTATGCGGAGGCACCAACTTTTCTGGCTCGTCTTACGGCATAAAATTCACCATGTGCGCTCCATACGTGCAATAACAGCTATCGCTGCCACCTTTGCACACGGTGGCGAAAATCTGAGGAATTCTTGTGTCGACGACCGAAAGCCAAATACAGCAATCTCTGAATGGAGTTGAGGCCAAAGGGCTAGCAGCAGGGTCCCACCGTTCTCGGGGCAGCAGGTCGCAGCGCCAGCCCTTGGGGTAGACTGCCAGCTGGGTCGGAGGGAGGCCGTTCATGGCCAGGTTGGATCGGTCCGGCACAGGGTCTATAAAAAAGCGGTCTTCCCCCCACGGACCCAGGAGGAACCGGAACTTCCTGCAGCGAACATCAGATACATCACAAACGACCCGAAACCTTTTCCAGTGAAAGTATGATAAGGGTGCAGGAGAGCTGGTGAATATTAACCATGCTGAATCAACCTGAGACTAGTGTAGAGAAGAAATATCATAATGTAGAAGAGACAGAAAATAGACAGGACTACGTCTCAAACTCAGCTGACTCGTTTATTTAGTTCACCTCTTTATATAGTCTGAACCTCAAGGTCATCACCACCAACACAAAACGATAAATTCTACGGCAATAGTGAGAAGATATGTAGATGACATCCTGGTATGTACGTTTATGAAAGGTCTATCAGAAAGCACAGGTGTGATAAGGTCAACGGCTCCCGAATTGAAGTTTACAGTGGAAAAACCGGAGGAAGATGTTCTGCAGTTTTCTAGATTTACATATTCACGTGAATCAAGGGTTATGTTGGGAATACGGAAACGGAAATTCAATACTGCTTTTGCCAAGAATGAGTTGCCATTTGGAGACCGTAAAGACCGGGATTGTAAAGTCATTGGTCAGGAGCGCGTTAGAAAGGTTGTGTGTCCATCATATCACTGAATCGGTAGAAAGGCAGTGGAAAAGGATGATTAGTGTAGGATATGATGGCAGTTTTGTCAAACGGCAGTTAGAATTGTTTATCAAAGGCAGGAGAAAATGAGATTAGAAATCAAGGAACTGCTTTGCTGTAATTCCACATTTTCATGAGATATCTCACAACCTGAAGGCATGTGCAAGGCAGTTTGGAGTGGACACAGTCTTTAATTCAGATGTTAGGTTAAGTAAATTGATGCCATTTCAAACAGGTGAAAGTAAGTGCTAGAAGGCCCGTTGGGAAAAACCGGAATGTTGCAAAACTGGTGTTGTGAATGAAATACCATTGAAGTGTGGGCTTAAGTACATAGGACGGACGTCATGCTGCATCAATGACAGATTAAACGAGCATATAAGAAATGGGAAGAACAATGCACAAAACTCGAAAATTGTAGAAACATATCCATGAACGTAACAACTGCGCTGGTCGCAGAATGAAATCATATAGAAAGAGAGGAACGATGTAAAGAGAGTAGTAAGGGAGACGGTGCGAATAAAATATCTAGGCAATTGTATAACTCAGGCTTTGCTACAGTTCGGAAGTAATTCAAAAAGCTTGTTGACAATGTAATGTAATTTTCTTTTGTGAGTGTTTTGAAGTGCGAATTGGGAACCTTCTGATTGTGTTTGTATGAAATGGCTCTAAAACACACTTTTGTTTGCTGTTTTTTGGGGGTTTGTTTTATGTGAGTTGGCCTGAAGGCTGTTCAGTGTTTTTTTGAGGGTAGTAGGTGGAGGGAGCATCCTTTTAATGAGATGTGGGAACTGTGTTTAAAATAGAAGGAGAAAGATATACTTTTGTACAGGTTTGAAGGAGGATGAATGTTGCCTTATCGTGTCGATCTGTAAGGTTGTCCACATTCTTACATTGTGTGATGGAGACTGGCGGTTTAACTGTAGAGACATCATTCTTTTGTGTCGGTGGTGATGACCAAGATATTGAGACTATACAAAGAGGTGGACTAAATAAACAAGTTATCCGAGTTGGAGATGTTGCCCTTTCTATTTTCTGTCTTTTCTACATTTTGACGTTTCTTCTCTACCCCAGTCTCAGGTTAATTCAACATGGCTTCTCCAGCATTCCTCAATGGCTCAATGCACAACCGAACTGAGCTTATGTTGCTAGAAGAAGCAACAATAAGAAAATGATTTGCTACATTAGGTGTGCAACTTTTTCAAGAAAATTAAATGCGCTAACAGGAATGAAACCTAACGAACACAATTCTTTTTATTGAGGAAAGTAAAAAAAGGGGTCAGATTTTGTAATGATGCAGTCAGTGAGATCATTCTAACAGATTATTTTTTCAAAGAAAAGAAAGTACAGAAATGAAGAAGTGCCAAAAGTGAAATGGTCAATCTTGCACGAGTGATTAAGATGAGCCGTGACCAAAGATGGCTGGGTTAGGAGACCTTGACAAAGAGAATGGGAAAATAGGTATTTGTAAGGTGACCTGTCAAATCACAGATAGAAAGGTTGAAGCATTCTTTATAAAAACATGAGAGGATGAAGCGATCCACTATTAATACAAACTTTTTGATAGCAGAAAAAAACTTGGGAAATTGAGAGTTACATGGCATTTCCTTCCTGCTTGTGGCAGTAAGGCAAAATTATACCTTACAGAAAGAGCCCAAAACAGTAAAGATGTTCACTAACCAGAATAGACCATACAGCAAGCTGACCAGTACAACATCCAAACCAGTGATAATGCAAAAAGAAAAAAAAAAAAGAAAATCGAAAGAAAGTCAGACATGACAGGCATCTCAAACATAAACCGTGGTCAAGACTGTTTATGCCCTGAACCATAGTGTTTTTGTTCTGCGTCTTGGTTCTTGGTATGGTCGTGCCAGATAAACAGGGACTGCCTCATCTCTGTGTGCCAGTCCGAGATAAAGGGAAGCTGAAGTGCTTTTGAATTTGATTAAAAACACTCGATTCTTTTTAATCCAACTTCAAGCATCGCGAATATCACAAAAAGTAGGTTATTTCATGCCCATATTAACTAAAAAGATGCCTTTGAAGTTGCGTTGAAACCACGCCCTTTTGCAGCAGCAGGGAGAGGGGAGTAAAAGGAGAAGGGGAAAACATGATGTCACAAAAGGTTGCCCCCACATGCTCCTTGGCTCCCAGAGCCAGCGTTGTGCGTCGTCGATACTGAGCTAGTCGATGATTCATGCTTCTGAAAGATGCCAGCTGAACGCAGGGAGATACACAAAGTGAGAGAGATAGAAAAGAGGACAAACACACTGCTGGACTAGCAACCATTTACTGAGAGTGAGGATCTTCTTCTACACCCATTAGTTTCATATCCCGGAACTAATCGGTGTGGAAGAGGAGGTGTATCTTCAGTAAATGGTTGCTAGTCCGGCAGTTCCGAGCATCTTTCTACAGAAGGGGCAGGCACATCAGCAAATACGAGGAGCTTACGTGATGCGGAGACAAAAAGAGGTAAGGATTGCCTGTTGATCGTTGTGCGAAAAGTACAATTAGAATCGCGCCAGGTCATTTTATGACATCACAGCTCGACCAACCAATGACGTTAGGCAGCAACGAGCGGCTGCATGCTTTTCAATTTTTTTTCGTGTTTAGTGTTGTTTTCAGGACAAGATTATCTAAAAACTACGCCAAAGAAAAGCATTAGCCCTTTTTCTTTTTTTTTTTAAACCGTTCCAGCTTCTCTTTAAAGCAACATGATATAAAGTTCAGAGTGGCCCAGGGTTTGTGCCAGTAAAGAATGGTAAAACGCCATTCGAACACCATGATTTCGGCACACAAAGTTGGCTTGAGAACGAACAGCACAGCCAGAGGCAGACAACCGACCTCCGCACGATGGGAGTGGCAGCCTGCTGCGTTTGCACTGGCTGCTCCTTGGCCTTCTTCCTCTTCCTGGGTGCATCCAAAACCACCTCTTCCACCACAGTGAAGGTCTCCTGCTCCTCTTCCTCCTCCTCCTCTGGCTCTCTGCAAGATTTCTTGCCAGTCAGCACAACCACACAGCCATCAGCAGATACATCTAGTGAACCTAGCCTGGCATAACCACACCAAACACGTAAAAAACTTTAGACAGAACAGCTACTACTCAGTTTTCTCTGTGCTGCCGTTAATCAATTTCTCAACTTCAAACACACAAAATTCTACGGCCACTTTGGCCAACGAGTAAAGTGAGCACATGTCCAACTCCTGTTACCCCACTTTTTAGAGACTATTGACACTATTCTAAGGTGGCAAATTAGGCGAGTCAGTAAACATTGCACATAATCGGAATGAACAACTCAAAGAATGCGGACGAAGAAGAGACGCAGCAGTTGCCTGTAGTGTCCTTGTCTTTCTTTGTCAGCATTCTTTGAGCGGTTCATCCCCATAATATTAGAGACCACTTTGTTTTACAACTACACAGAACCCCTCTGGCTCAAGAGCCTGTTTGAGGTATGGGGGACCCAAATCCATAAGACAACTTTTCAACTTGTCGATGCCCTGGCAAAGAAATACCCGGATAGGGACGGTGTCCTTGCCTCTCTGGGAGCACGACAGCAGGATCATAGCTTGGGTTGCACAGCCAACTGGGTACCTCAGCCGCAGCAGCTGTAACAGGGGACAACAAACATGAATAGATGAATGTATGTACTGGTTGGCTAAATCCTTTGAATCAGGCAGTGGCTTGCATTACGTAACCAGTATTTTTAATGTCAGCGGGTAAGATACATATTAAGGTTAAAGGCCGACAACCAGACTTCAGATTCTGCAAGGCAGAAGATCCTAATCAACACATGGGAAAAGGAAAAAGGTAAAAATGGACAGGGTTGAAGGAGGAGAGGAGGAAGTGAAGGAAAGTGGAAAGCACGAACTGGTTGTCGGTCTTTAAGCCTTTTGAAATTACTATTTAAATAATAAGAGCAGTTGAGTGTTAGCTCTGGCTGTTTATAGTGGTAACGGCTGTATATGATGATACTGTTTAAGATTTCCCTTGGCTGAGCGATCAGAATGTCTAGAACGAGCCATGACGTGTAAAGTATAACATTGGCTGCTATCCTTGCTAGATTCAGATCCCACCACTAATGCGAAAGCATTAACTGTCCCATGGAGCGAGCTGACAACATCAGCCGCGCCAAACGGCAGATAAATTCCCGAAGCCGCGATCCGAGGCATCCCAGCTTTGAAACCACGCAGAAAGCCATGCAAAACGGCAATGATATGAAGCCGTGCGTGTCAGTTTCAATAGCGCCTCCCCCTGGCGCTGCGTGTTCGCGAGGCAGCGGCTCCATTGCTCCACGCCCAAGGTCAGCGCGGCGAGGACAGTGCGCGTGCTCGATTGTCGACGCAAGTACGCCGCAGACAAAATAAGGAAGCGGAGGAACAGCACGTATGCTTTCAGATTCACAACTTATTAGAAGTGCTCAGGTGTACCTCAAGCCTTTTTCGTGATCACCAAAGGGGAAGTTAGAAGAATTCAAGCCATTTGTTGCAGTCAAGATATTTAAAGCTTCTGCACATCCTGTGGCCCTCCCGAGTCTAAAATAGATACTGTTGCCACTGGCATCATTTATGACATTTGATTGACTGATAATCACTAGTCGTCTCAAAAGGAGATTTAGGAGAACCTATTTTCAATGATTTTCTGAGTTGTCGCTGTTCCTTAATTGCTCCGACGTTCAAACGCTCACTACTCATCAACAACTTCACGCTCTGCAGTTGAACCTACACAATTAAAACAGTCTCGATGCTTACTTGCTTTTGAAATTTGGCTTGATATTTGAACCTTTCAGGTAAGGTTAGCATACGAGTTCACCCTAGAATAGCTCAAAGCATTCTCTACAGGAGAGTCGTTCACAAACTTGCATTTGCTTACGACCGAGTTCTTGTGATCTCTTACGTCGAGAAAACTTACTGGCACGCTGGCGCCATCTATGAGGTGGTCCTGGAACTGCACTACACTAGAGCGAAGGTTTTTCAGTATTGGCGTGATCAAATGTACTGACAAATAGTCGTTTATAGCATTGCCAAACGTTTTTGAAAAGAAAGAATAATGCGCAAAAAGGAAGGGAAAGAAAGGGAACGGAAATGCCAAATGTTCTGCGGCTACCCGATATGTGACGCCAGTGTGTTATCTCGTCGTAAGATACTTTAAAATGTTTTAAGAGTAAAACTATACGCACAACTATATACGCAGCAGTCGCAGGCTGGTTCACACTTGCGACTGCTTACAACCGGACTGTTTTTAAACAGCTTGCGACTTCTTACGACCGGCGTAGTGGTCCTAAACAGTCGCAAGATGTTTAAAATCATGTTTCTGGCCTCACTGGCCATGAGCAGTCGCAAGTTTGCGAACCAGAGACCACAACAACGTCCGCCAAAGGCAGCACTAAGCGCCCACGGAGGATCTTTAAATCCACCGCTCGGCGGATTCGGCTCACCATTCGGAGGCTCCGCGGGTGGTGCACTGTACGCTGGAAAAAGCGACGGCTGGCTCGCACGGGCCGCGGAGGACACAGTTGTCTGTGGCGCTTCGGTCAAAGAGATCGGAAACAACGGAGCACCCTGCGTCATTTCGCGTCTGCTGCCGAGAGTCGCACGAAGAGCGAATCTCACTGCCACGTCAAATAAGACAGCGAAGGATCAACGGTATGCTAGTTTAAGCGATTGACCTTCTCATTTTTTGCAGGTTTCACGCGAGAGGCATGCTTAAAAACAGGTTGTTACTTCGCATGCTTGAAATTACAGCAACGCAGGTCCGACGACACCCTTAATTTCAAGCGCAGCGCCATGTTGGATCGGATTGGCTCCGAGGTTGGATTCTAAGTACAGGGTTGTCAAACTTGTTGCGCCGATGACGCTGCAACATGACGAGACGGGCGAGACGCAGCTTACCGGAAGTGAACAGGTGTTTCATGAATTCGCCCTGTATGGCGGTTTCACGTGACGTACTTCCCGCTCACCCTGGCCAGACTCCATGTTGATGAACTGATGTACTCCTATGTGCTTCTATGCACAGGGGCGGCGTTTTCCAGCTCACTCTGGGAACCACTGTGTGGGAATCAGTGGCCGAGTGGGCTAGCGCTCACCAGCTCGGTGCACGTGGAGCGAAAGCTCGCGTTGCAGAACCCAGGGATTCTGGGTTCAGTCAGTTCAACCCTCACCCCCGCTGGTTTCGATCTGGATGAGCATCGTATCGACGTGTGGTCGTGTTTCACTTCTGCGTGGTGCTTGTTAAGGATGGCAGGCTAGCAGCTGTACTGCACTGGTTAAATTTCACATCTACAGAGTAACTATGTCGCCATGTTCAGGCAGATAATCTCCCTCTATATAAACAACTATCCAGTAATCCGTTGGCAGTGTGTGCAAAGCCGGGATCACACTGCTCGTACGTCATACAAAAGACAGTCTCCGAACACAAGTTGCAATATCTGCGGTTCGAATGCCGCATACCAGTTGCTCCTTGAACTCTTTGCCATGCGGCATTCAAGCACGAATCTCGTGGCAATTCGCGTTCAAATCTGTATGCAGACTGTCTTTTGTATAGGGGGTATTCTGGATACCATATATGGGGGCGCTGTTTACGCATGCTCGGTACAAGCTCACATTAATAGCACGTTGCAAAACAACTCTGGAACGTCGCCATTAGCATGCATACCAGTCGCGCCATAGTTCAGAACACATGGAGCGAAAGCACACGCTGCAGAACCCAGGGATCCTGGGTTCAATTTCCACCCCTGCCCATTTCAATCTGGATGAGCATCGTAACGGTGTTTGGTCATGTATCACTACTGCGTGATGACCCTATTTAGCATGGTACTGCACTGGCTAAATGTTTCATCTACAGTGTAAACCGGTGTCACCGCAGTTCAAAGGCAGACTGACATCTCTGGAGGTCTTGTAAATGTGCAAATACAGAGTCTTGTTCATACCTCCGGCGTGGTCAAACGTGTCCTTCCCTGTGTGCCAGCAGGTCCCAGGCCACGTGATCGTTTTCCACATTTCAAGGTGCAACTGAAAGCATCAGCGGAGCTTATAGCTCGTCCCACTCGTACCTTCTAGTACACTCTAACCGTGGTGCTGTGGTACTTGGCACATCCAATCAACTGCAGCTCCACCACGTGATGAGGGTGCTGCGCTGGTGTTCCTTGACAAAAAGCTAACCCGCTTGCCGCCCGCTAAAGAGCAGATGGTCGCATTTAATTGTGAAAGCATTAACTGTCCTATGGAGTGAACTGACGTCATCAGCTTTTCAAGCCGCACCAAACAGCGCCTATCCGTCCTAATAAAGCAAAGCGTGTCGTCTGTAGCAGAAATCTGATGGATAGGCTCCCATTGGCTGGCATAGTCCTAATAGAGCGAAGCCCATCATCTGTAGCAGAAATTTGATGGATAGGCTCCCATCGGTCATCAAGGAACAAGGTATAGTTCCAAGGGACACCACCAAAGAAGCCCTCTCCAAATGCGGCGGTGCGAGCCTGGCCGCACAGCCCGCTCGTGCAGACTCCGGAGAGGATGTATGGCAGAGCTCAGCCACTTCACGAAAGCGCACACTCGGCTGCTTGCTGCTACTTTGGCGGTAGCGAAACGTGGCTGTCCACGCCACTACGCCGCAGACAAACTAAAGGAGCAGAAGAATGACGTTCATGCTTTCGCATTCACAACCTATAAGAAGTGCTTAAATGTCCTCAGACTTTTAGAGCGCAGCTCTTAGGGGCCCGTTTCCAGCCTGAGCGGCGTCGGCGTAACCGGGGGGGGGGGGGGTCACGTGACCCCCCCCCCCCCCCCCCCCGGTTACGCCGACGCCGAGATCACGTGACCCCCCCGGGGTCACGTGACTACCCGCAGGTGACGTGACCCCCCTCAGTACCCTTCCCTACTCCTCCTCAAGAGCTGCGCTCCAATTCGGCGTTACAGGGATTTGTAAACGGCTTTCATTTTTTTAAATTGGTTTTAGCAGAGTATGCAGCTTCACTTCGACGTTGCAGTTGCGAGCAGCTGTACCCATAACATAGCAAATGCTGCGCACGGCCAAAAAGAAAGGCTCAAAGTACACCTAAGTACTTCTTACGAGTTGTGAATGCGAAAGCATGCACGCTGCTCTTCCGCTTCCTTATTCCGTCTGCGGCGTACTTGCGTCGATGGCCGAGCGCACGCGCTAGCTCTCCTCGACGCACTGACCTCAGGCGTGGAGCCACTTCCTTGCGGACACGCAGCGCCATGGGGTGGTGGTTGTTGAAACCGACGCGCAGCAGCCACTGGGTGCCTCATTTCTTGATACTATAACACGCACCAGCCAATGGTACTGAAGCCGGAATCCACCAGCTTCACTCCGCTCCTTTGTGATCGGGAAAACTATGTGCCATTTGGCTAGGCTTTTTGCATAATTTCAAAGCTGGGAGCCGGCTTCACTTGGAGAAAGGAGTTTAGGTGCTGTTTGGCATGGCTTCAAAGCTGATGACGTCAGCTCGCTCCATGAAACAGTTAATGCTTTCGTTGTTTTTTTTCGTCTGCTGCATACTTTTTGTCGCCGGTCAGCACACGTGCTTCCCTGGACACGCTCACCTTGGACGCTCAGTGTTAACCAACATCGGTGTTAACGGCGCGCAAATGGACACACAGCACCATGGGGTGAGCAGTTGTAGAAACTGACGAGCACAGCGGCCAATGGGAGCCCTGTCGACGCATGCCAGGCAATGGAATTGAAGGCGATATCCATCAGCTTTACTTCGCTCCTTTGGGATCGGGGCCAAACTAGGTGCTGTTTTCACGCTTCAAACTGACGACCTAGCTCGCTCCACAAAACAGTTAATGCTTTCGCATTAATAACTTTGTGGCCCGATGCGGTACAGCATCAAGTCATAAAGTTGGGACTCCCAAGGTTTAAGCTATTGGAACAATCCCATAATATACCAAATCGTTAGCGAGATCTACAGCTCACTAGCGACTCGCAAAGTAGTGAGGAGCCCGTAGGTTTAATTCAAACACTCATTACCTGATCTCCGTTCACGGTCCTCTTCAAACAGTTAGTGTTATCCAATTGAGCCTTGGACACTTACCAGGGAACCTGATGAAGATGGTCGACACTAGAGGTAATCAGTTCGTTGAACGCAGTTTTGTCGAAAGGTTCCTGCATTTGTTTCGACACGCCTTGCAACGTTTTGCCGAAAGGGTCTTTCCAAGCACATCGCCTCATCGCCAACATGCTGAGGGTGGCCTAGCTTCCCAAAAACTTGTTGGTTCCGGTGAAACCTGGCGCAAGCTCAGGTGCGAGATGATTTTAAATTTTCCCCAAGCGGAGCGATAGGTGACTGCGTGTAGTGCAGTCTGATTGGAAGCCTAGGATTAGGGATCGCATATTTGTGCTTGTTTTATCAGAGCTGCCTTGGTGAGGATGACCTCAAGGACAACTTCTAGGATGACTTCTAGGACGACCTTGAGGACAACCTTGAGGATGACGTCTAGGACGACCTCAAGGATGACTTCAAGGACGACCTCGAGGACAACCTCTCGGACGAAATCTAGGACAACCTCAAGGACGACTACTAGGACGACTTCTAGAACAACCTCGAGGAGACGCCTAGAAAACGTCTTCTAGGTGTCGTCCTCGAGGACGACATCTGGAACGACGCCTAGAGAAATTCAGCCGCGCCAGAGTGGAAAGGCTGGAAAGGTGGCCGCCATCTATGAGCGAAGGCAGCAGCTAGCGCCATCTATGAGTGACAGCGACAACCAGACAACCGGCAAGCCGGTTGTCTGGTTGCCGCTGTAGCTCATAGATGGCGGTAGCTGTCCAGAGTTTTGTGTCGACATTCGTCTGTCCGCGGACACAATACTGGGAAAACTAGCCCTTAACAGCTCCGCTCTAAAAAGGATTTCCTAATGCCATTGTGAAATTCTTGCCGTTTTCACAATGCCATTGGACGACCTCGATTTTCTTTGCCTCTGTAAGAATGCATAGCTGACCTGACACCCCCCCCCCCCCCAAACAAAGCGACAATGGCGCGTGGCAACCGGCTAATCGGGCTGCAAAGTAGGATTGGATTGGATTGGATTCTTGGACTGAATTTCGCAGGCCAGTGTTGCTTGGGCGCGGCCAGTGCGGTGCGTGAAACGGGTGCAGAGCGGGGAGGGGGGCGCTTTCCTGGAACGGCGCGGAAATGTGAAAGCAGTGAAGTTGGGGGGGGTTCTTGCTCGGAATTTTACGGTATGTTGTCTATGAAACGTCGCAGGAGCCTGTGTCCATGGAACGTTGCAGTGTTGACAAAACATGTGTCCATGTAAAGTCCACGAAACAGTCCTCCCCTGGGTCAGTATTGTTTCCAAGAAACGATACTGACCCAGTCGACAGATCCACTCGTCCCAGTTCTGCACCCTCCAAAGAATTCACGAGGCAGGCTTGGAAAACATGATTATTATTGTTCGAGGACACCAGAAAGCGTGTTTTATTTACAGAAAATACTATATAGGGGCTCGGGAGAGACCTCGTAAAGCACATACAAAGCACCAACGTTTTTTGCACAGGAGCTAACGACAAGAATGCTGCTACCCGGAACTACGTGGAAAGAAATGCCCAAAGGAGGGCGGAGAGAGAGAAGACTGAGAACGGTGGCATGCAAACACCACGGCGCCTAAATGCTTCGGGGTTCGAACGCAGCTCCGACACACCCGGGTAGTTCTGCCGGCAACCTCTCGTAAAAACGGAGAGACTCGCAGTCTCCACGAACGTACAGGCTCGAAAAATACTCTCGCTAAATGCTCGTAAAAAAGATCTCTCTTTATAGCTGTGTCGGAAGCTACAGTGTGCCTAATTAAATTTGTCTAAAATTATTGGGGCACACTGGCGTTCCCGGCCACTATGTTTGTCTAGCCTGGTCCACATGGTTTAGCTTTGTCGCGGTAGACGGCATGTTCGTGTTTCTAGGGACATTCCTTCGTGTTCGTGCATGTGTGATTTTTGTATGTCGCGCCTCGTGAATCGTGTCGTTTCTCGTAAAGACGTCGGAACACTTCCCCGGTTGATTCGTCGTGAAGGTACCGGTGTTAAAAAAATATCCGCAAATACACCGCAACTTCGGTCTCTGCGCCTCTTTGTGCCTCGAGGTGTTCTCATGCATGCGCGGCACGTTATCATGCGGCGAAAGGTGCAACAAAGACTTCTGATCTCTGAAACACTGCTCCACTTTCTACTCCAAAATGATTCACAAACCAAAATTCTCAAATGAAGAGTAGACCATACATAGTAAAACATACTGCTAGCATGTCAAAAAGCCTGCACACACTGAGATGTAACGTTATCATGGCAATGAGATCTATTAAAACAATAGGTTGCACTTGATTGTTTGACAACAAACTGAAACACTAAGAATGAGGTATTACAACATTAATTTGTTTGCTGTAAACCTCCCTCATTAAATTACACAATTCTGAACTCTCCGATTGACGTACGACAGTGACGCACTTGTTGCTCATGGGTCAAAAGACTACAACTGACAATGAAATATAAATTCCCCGGTGGACACGCTTTTTGTTACCAAATGCGGTTTTGGCAAGCATGTAGACTAGTTTATACCTGAACAAAAAAAAAAAGCTGGTTTCTTCCATTTTCAGAGGAACCAGTAAACAGTTGGAAACATGGCACAGAAAAGTTAACATTCCAGCGAGCAACAGTTAAACCTCGATAAGTAAACTTTACATTGCAACTAGATTTTTTTGTCTCCATTAAAGAATATGCCTTTTTTTTTTTTTGTATTTGGTGATATAGTTTTGGGCTGCTGTTTCAATTTAATTTCCTACCATTACATATGCACATATCTGCTGCCTCTATAAGAAAGAACTGTCTGAAAGACGTTTTGATGCCTGCCCTTGAGCAATTAATACAATAGCTCAACAGCTATCATATTTTGCTTAAAGGGGTACGAAAACGAACTTCCAGCGCTCATTTTTTAGGTTTAATATGTTGCATGTTGCAGCATAACCTCAAAAACACCAGTCTTTCATTGATAGGTACAAGAAAACTAAATTTAAAGCTCATTAAACAATCTTTCAATGCGCACCTGGTGGATGCCTGTAGAGCGAATTAGGAAGGTAATCTAGCAACGTTGGAAATCTTGCTATGTAGTCATGACGTAGCAAGAACTGTTGCATACTCGCACTAAACATCGGAGCAGCGCCGCTCTTTGGAAGTATGCTCAACTGTTTAAAGCGGTCATGCAACGGTTTTTCAACTTTTTCCTTTTTACCTTTCCTCCTCAACTCACAAATCGCGCATTGTACCAAAGAGTTCAAGAAGATCGAAAGGAGGGACTCCCCTCTTGCTCGGACACTCGTTTGTGTACCCGGACGCCGCTATTCTCCTCCTAGAAGATTAGCCCGTCACTCGAAACTCCGACAAAAGTTGCTTTCCCTACCCCGTTCACCCCTAAGCCGACAGTGCTGTGGAAGCTACGTGCTCGTTGGGCCAGCTACACTTTTGCCATGTTATCACGCTTCCTCGCGCATACCCACGCGCAGAGAATGTGGTCAGGTGATGAAAGGGAGGCGGCTGATTGGTCCCGCAAGCATACAGCTTCCACCGCACTGTCAGCTTAGGGGTGAACGGGGTGGGGGAAGTAATTTTTGTGTGAGTTTTGAGTGACGGTCTAATCTTTTAGGGAGAGGATCGGCCACACAAACACGACGTGCGCGACGCTCGTCACCCCGAGGGTACTTCGAACGGCTCAATTGTAACGCGTTGACGCCACCCCAATGCCAGCAACGGCAAAGCGCATAACCACGTCGGCCTTGCTACGTCACGAATGCGGGGAATCTTTTTTTTCTTTTTGTTTGCGCCGGATATCTCATGACGCATCGTGCTCTCCGTTCGATTCTCTTTGAGCGCTTGCACGAGTGCACTGTTTGGAACGAAAAATAGGGCCAGTCATTCGAAAAGCAAACGTGCGATTATCATTTACGGTTAATATCCGTCATGCTTTGCTCAATTCCAAACAAAATTTGTATATTTCAATTTTTGTTTTCGTACCCCTTAAAAGTCACAATGTAATAGGTCTGGTTCTGCAGTAAGACATTTCGCTTCCACCAACATTCTCATACCCACTACAGAAACTTCTACCTAAGTTGTTTCTGATGCATAAAAGTGTGAATGTAATGAACCTGCCTAGGAGAAAATTACAGGAAAGAAGACACAGGCTCAATAATTGCAGCTGGCAGAATTCAATTAACTTCGCTATACCTTTTTAGGAGACAATGACAAATACTTTCCAAAGCCAAAACAAGACACCTTTCCAGTCTTCACACACAGTAACAACACTGCCAAACGAATGTCAGCTCTAAGCCTTGAAAGGCACACATCATTCTTTCAGTCTTTTTGGATCGAGGAGTCCAGTAGCCTAACAGATGACACTCACAACCTCATTAATTCTGACAAAAACACAATAGTAGTTCCTATTGTACACTGTGCACATGATATTAACTTACATGCTGGACAGGCCATTGCATGGCATCTATAGATAACCCACAATCTATGACTGGTTTCTCGGAATACTGGCTTGTTTCCACGAGCAAACAAACCTTATGAAACAAAAAGACACAAAAAAAAACATAATAAAACATTGGGGAAACAGACAATTTTCCATCCACACTCCTAAACCCAGCATACTGTACAGTATAGAGAGAAAAATACTTCCTCCAAACACATTCTAACCACTAACAGATTGAAAAACATCAGTAAAGTGACAGAGTAAAGAATAAATTGCCATGAATTTGGCTTCTGACGGTGCATTAACTCAAACTCAAATCTTGTAGTAGTTTCCAAGTTTGAAATAAGAGTTATTCTTCCTATGGTCTGGGTGGCAGTAGGAACAAACAGCTTAGCTGCAAGTGGCAACCAAAGGTGACAGGACAGTTGGCCCTCCAACTTATGCTTGAACCCAACAGCTCGCATTACACAAACAAAACAAATTAGTTGTGCCACATGTATCTACCAAGTGAAAACTCTTATTTTTGAAAACCCTGTGCATCACTGATTCATTAAAGTCACACAAATAGTTTCATACAGCAATAGCACTTGGAGCAAACTTACAGAGGACTATGGTTCTGTCCAAGTTCGTACGCTAGACATTTTTAAGACTTGCAGGAACATTTCAGAGAAAGCCGAGATCGGAAATTACATCACCTCTTAGTACAGCAAAGCCGCAAAACATGACGGTCATCATCAACAGAGGCCCAAAACGGACGAAGCCAATAATACACAATGCCTTAAAGGGACAATGACACCCCCCCCCCCCCCCCCCCCCATTTTTTAAAAAGTTTTTGCCACGCAATTTAATATGGTGTTCAATATTTTTCTGCAGTCACATACATTTTTAATAAAGCCAAAAAACTCAACTCCTCGAAACCAAAACCAAAACACGAGCAAGGAAGCTCATGGCTGGAAGTCGCACTGCTACACCTGACTGCATTTCTTTTTCTACGATTGTTTGGCGTGTGAAGCAAACGATGATGACGACGAACTTGCGTGCACCGTTTGTCCTGCAATTGTTTCACACTTATATCCCTTCCGCTCTATGTTCTGCACTTGAAGATCGATTGGCCGGTACCCCGAATGACAGTTCCGAAGTAGCGGCCCTACGTCTGTCGCAATGTTGGTCTGTCATGCACTGCCAGCCCGCAATAGGTACATCGCCATATTGAGAGTGACGTGTACATGTACTTTCTGTAATCTGTGCAACATTTTTTTTTAGATCAACATATTTGCAGTTTTTTGGAAACCACATAAATGGGGTTCATATTCTTTTCTCTCTTTCATATTGAATGTGTGCCTTACATGACCCACAACTTTGAATATATTTGGCACAGATAGTTTGAATGTCACATGACCATAAAACAGAGAGTGAGCGTGACTGGAACCGGCCAATCTTGACCGGCTGTTTTCGGGCGGAAAGAAAAAGAATTTCGAGTTACAAATTGTGTTCTGGGTAGTTGGGCTCTTGTAGGTCAAGTTCAAATAGAAACTGCGAGAATAAATAGCCTGTCAGTGTCCCTTTAAGATTAAACGAAACACATAAATCAGCGTCACATTTCCAATAGGAAACAGTCCGACAATATACAGTCCTTCCGCAACTTTCCAAGTGAATCTGCCTAATCACTCCGACGTTGACGTGCCTATCGCCACGTAAGGTCAACAAATTGGAAGGCTTATACGCAGGATTTTATAAATTGCAAAAGAAAAACAATTGCAGCGAGCCATGCAGGCAGGCTTGAGTGTGCCTAAAGTGTTCAAAAAGTAAGACAATTAGAGTGTGCCATTGTTTGTTGCTCCAGGCTTTTTAATTTTTTACACATGCACATGAAAAAAGTGGCAGGGATGTTTGATCTCGACGGCCAGGTTCCCTTTTCCGCAGGGTTGGCGTGCACCCTCGGTGTCTATAAACGCAGCATGCACGTTCACACTCTCTAAATGCATCCTAAGCATTGCCTCTATAGACAGACTTACTGAAACTATAGGAATATTTGCCTCGGGGCTTAATTGACAACTGAGGACGTCACTGTCTCTCTAGTGCATGCGGAAAGTCAACAAGTGCAAGTAACGAAACTGCTGTCAATATTCGAAAGATTGTCAAGACTAAGATTAGTTTGATGCGTGTTGGCAAATTTTGCCGGGTAGGAATGTTTTAAAAATAGGATCGCTCAGAGGCAAGTAGCACTTGGCTACTCGGCTGGTAACAAGTCGGGTGTTTTGTGCCACTAGCTTAGCCTCAGTGGCCGTAGTTAACTGCAAGGTTAAGGACTTTGATACTGACGTGGACAAATGGCGCACCCTCCCCTTGACGACGTAACCAAGCTCCCAGCTGCTGCTAAAAGTCATGCTAAGAACCCTAAAACAAAGTTCTAGCATAGCCATCAGATTAGATTAGTATCTGAAGCATACAGTGTATGTACTTCCAACTCAACTCCATCAAAACTACAGCAAACCTATGAATATACATTACACAATACAAAATAAGACAAGTAAACAAAAACAAAATTCACAGAGGTATTTCTATGCTACCAGAAGTTTGATTATGCCTTTAAGTAGTGTAAACTACTTACTTTAAATGAACTCTAAAGGATAAGAAAATAATGGATAAACAGACAAGATATGTACAACCAACAATGTCAATGTTAAAGCTAAAGATATTATCAAGTCCAATGAAAAACCTGGAACAACTCATCTTGCTAGTCAAATGCTGTCTAGACTGACCACAACTGCACCTGACTTCTTCTAGAATTGCTAAAGACAACAAGAGTAGCAAATACTACCACAATTGTAAACTCAGCCATGACTTGAGAACTGGCATGCCTTAAAATATGCCATGATTGCGTCTCAAACACTCTGGGAATCAAAGAAAAATGGTTTAAGTAGGGGTTCTACAAATTTACAAAGATTAACCTGAAAAATAAAGTAGTAAATTAAGGCTTCTTTAAGCTCTGTTGCCATTGTAATAAAGTTTGCAGTTGCTAATGAGTCAAGTAGTTAATCCATCCGACAAACATAATTCATGAAACTCATTACAAAAGTTCAAGGATGACTTACTAAAATCTAAAATGAAAAAGTATGTTCAATTTCATGGCCACAAGCACTGCCTCAACACTAAAAATTTCCAATGCCAGTGACTGCTCAAGTAAAGCAGGCATCTGCAGATATCAGTACAAATTTGAACTCGCAACAATATATCCTCTTGCACAAAAGTTTATGGAAACTTCTGGACAAGCAAACAAATTTTGCTGAACATGAAGCACCTTTGTGATGCAGTGAAGCCGCTCACAACTTTATTGCATGCACCTGTGCCGCATGACATGCGTGGACTCGTGCAGCATTGTAGAAGTTGTGTCTCAGCGAACACATTTTTTCGTGTTTTGAAGCTAAATTCTCCCTTGTGGAGATAGATTCCTTTGTTAGATAATAGATCTATATTTATTTATACATAGCTATTTACAGGATAGTATATATCTATTACACAAATAGAACACACCATGTGAAATTTCTGATTTTGTTTTAAATCAGTTCAGCTTTACAAAAGTTAGAACTGGTTAGCTTGCAGCAGATACAGAAACATGCATTATATATCAAAATTTTCTCTTCTTATCAACTCAAATTCTTTGATGCAGCCGATGTCTGCATCAACTGCTGTGATTATCTGTTTACTTAGAGTAACAGGTAGGAAATTCCTCATGCCAAACAAACTTGATGTTTTGCTTATGTTACCAGGGTTTAACATTATGGGATTAAGGATTAGTTAGTATATGATATTTCTCGTACTGACTTTATCATGCTGCCTCAAAAATATTTTCTTGCTATATTGTTACTGAGGACTAGATTGTTACTTTACAGTTCCACTGATGTCAAAACCAGACAAGAAGGAAATCGGTTTGAAACCGAACTCCAGAAAGGTCGTAGATTTGCAATTGCTTATGTGCCTTTGCTACATCTCATAATATCTGAAGGCCCTCGAGTAAATTACATTCAACGCCACATGTCAATCAGACCAGCATTCCCAATCTACATATATTGAACTCAAACTGCAAAATAAGTATTTACACATTCAAAAGCTCATGATTATGACATGTTCTGAAATGTTCTCTTCAAAAGTATGTTTCCTCAAAAAAACTGACTAGATAAACAAACCTTCAGCCAAAAGGTTAAAATTTACTGTCCAGCTCAGTTTATAAATAAGCAGTAAAAGCTTACAACCCCAGGCAAAAATCAGTCCACTTCCAGCTGGATTATGGAACTGGAAATGAGGCAGTTCAGCTGAATTCCAGCTGGGTTCCAGCTGGGTTCCAGCTGGGTTCCAGCTGGACTGCCTCATTTCCAGTTTCATAATCCAGCTGGAAGTGGACTGATTTTTGCTGAGCCGTAGCTTCATCCGACATGCGGCAAACCCCAGGATAAAATTACTAAAAACGCAGCCAGAAAAAAAAAAAAAAGTGTTTATGCGACATTGTTAGATGAATTACGGCATGGGTGCTTTTCCGCATTTTACTCGGACGGGTAATGACGAACATCAGATCTCGCCGATTAGGGTTGCGACCCGTGAGGGCATTTTTCACCGTGTTACAGTGGAACCTCAGCATAAGACTGCTCCATTGTTTACAAAAAGTAATTGTTCGGCACCCAATAAAAAGGGAACGGCGTTGCAAGTCCGTCACTTTGGCGAGCAAAGGTAGCACATGGCAAATGCACCAACATCTAGAACAAAAGCTGCCAGAAGTATCTTCTGGAACGGTGTATGCAAAACCCATTTTTTTCCCCAAGGTAAATTTTCACTACAACAGTGTGTTCACTATACCACTACATCAGGTGCCTATAACTTCTCACTTCCCTCGCTTACTAGATCCACTATATAAATACAGGGGATCTATGCAGTAATTTTTATAACAAACAGGATACTAAGTTTCTAAAAGAAAAGCATAAAGAACCAGCAATCGCTTGTTTGTGCTCTGCCGCTGTCTGTACGTAAAAACGGAAATGAAATCAACAACCACAGATGCACCAACTCGAGAGAGTAAAAGTTTGTGCTCAGTTTTCCTTTAGAAAAAAAAAGACTTAAAAAAAAACAAAGCTTTGGCAAAGCGTGCATCGATCCGAAGCACTCGTTAGGGCGAAAACAAATGCCACGGTTTCCCCTCGGGTTCCCCCCAAAAAATCTTTGGCTTGAGAAGAGGTGGAACGGTTCCAGGGTGGAGTCAGCCGCCGCCTCGTCAGCAAAACAAGATGCGTCTGCCCAAGCTGGAAGAAGCAGACGAGGCAGACCACTGCGGGCGTATTGGCCCCCAGAGGAAGAGGCCCCGGTTGGCGGGGGTGGGAAGGGGGGAAGGAGGGCGTAAACGGCCCTCCTCCGTGGCCACCCCCTCCCCCCGGAGGAGGCTCACACGAAGCACTCCAGCTTGGCACACAGTTTGTACTCCGTCTCGGCCGCATTGTATAACTCGAGGCCCTGCGCAAGGGGCCACGAGTCAGTCGGGATGCCGCATGCCAAAGCGGACGCTCCAAAACAAACACCACTTCTCAGGAAACAAACTTGGCAACCTCCGATTCCGAGCCAGGCACAATGTTCCGGTAGTTTATAGTTCACCCTAGAGCGATTGAATAAGCCACACTTCAAAAACACTCAAGTGAAAAAAAAAAAAATATTTTTAAAGAGTTTATTAAACTTTTTGTTAATTAAAAAAAAATTTTTTAGCCATATTTAAATTGTTAGATGCAATTTAGGTGGGGGTAGCCCTGCTCTAGGCTCTGCCCGGTGCTTACAAAACTAAGCACCTTTTCTCAGCTTTTATTGTTTGGAGAGATGATTGACATGTGAAATGTTTGTTGTAAAATTGTTTCTCCGTGCCGTAATAGTATTTATATCAACAATATTTATATGTCTGATCCACAAATAATCTAGATAGAGTCATTTTTGTTTTAAAAATATCCAGAGATTGTTTTTCCGCTTCTGCTTGAAACGATAACATACATGCATGACTACCGGCATTTGCGGCATGCTCAATGAGCATAGCTCGTCGAACTCGTATATTTTTACGAGTGCGAGTCGTTCTGCGTTTACCGAAGTATTTAGAGGAAGATCTCTTCAACCAACTTAGTTTGCAGCAAACAGCTTGGAAGTGCTGTGCAGGTGCTTGGGTTCGTAGCGGGACTGGCTTAAGCTTAGCGTCTCACGTCAGCTATGTTGCTTGATCTAACTTGATTTGTTCCTTCACACGTGTTGGTGATGAATAAAAATGTTTGCACCTGTAAAAGTGACCCCGGTGCTCTGAGAATTGTGCAACCGTTGTGACTGCAACCATGATTCAATACCGAGAAGATACCTACGCAGGTAAGGATTTGCGAGCCATTTGGCTGGAGGCAAAAGGGTGTTTGGTAACTTACTAACTAACATTCGGTAACTCACATCAAGTTTGCCTATGTTCCCATCATTTTGCTTCGAAAGGCAAGCAGCCCTCAAGTTCTGCAGTGCACCTGGCCTACCAAAGCGAATATTTTTATGTTGCGTTTTTATTGTGTGTCAAGATGCTCACTCACTTTGCTCGCAAATGGCACGTGAAAAAAAAGGAAATAACAAGGACAGTAAAGCTGGAAGGACTGCATATTCATTTTGTTGATTTTCTTACTCCTTGGTCGCTTATTACCGCACATCGATAGACGCTGACAGACGCTTGTATTGGACCGTGGCTCGTGCGTGATGGAACGCTAGAACGCCGCTTTCATGGTCGCGTCTTCGGAGCATTGCAGAAGTTTTTAGACGAGGCTCGAATAGGAGACGGACGGAGCTGAAAACAGACGCCGACGTGCAACTCTCATGTCCACGTCTCGTGGACATCGCATACGACGATAGACGGCGGTGAAACGGCAGACGACGCTGGAGGCTACCTCGTGTCCGCTAGCACGACTAGCAGGCGGTGTCTGACGCCAGACTAGACGCACCGGATGTCACGAAAGGGAGACACTAGACTTCCGAGCATGCTTGGCTGAGCAGCCAAGTCAATCCAGTAGTAATCGGCAGGGCCACTGATCTGTGGGCAGGGCTTAAAGTGGACCGTGACCTCCACCTAATTTGCTTCTAACAAAAATATTTAAAAAAAAAAGGTTTTTCCGTGAAAAAATTTACAAAAACATATTAAATCTTTGAAAAACAATTTTTTTTGCACCTCAGTGTTCCCTCAAGAGTATGGGTTCTCAAATAGGATTCCTGGGAACCCAAGAGTTTCCCCACAGTACTCCCATGGGTCCCCCAAACTCCCTAATTTCCTCTACTGTCCCTGCCTCAAATTAAAGTGATTCCCCAGTTTGAGCACTACTTCAGTAGGGCTAAGCCATCAAGTGATGAATTAATCTAAATCAGTGATTCTCAAATGGGGAATGGACCCTTTCAAGTCCCGCTACATCTTCTTGGGACCCTTGAAGCCTGTCAATCAAGAGAAATGGTTGTTCTCCAGAATCAAAAAGTTTGAGAGCACCTGGCTTAGAGTCCCGACACTCCATTTCACGATTTTCTTGTAAGCATCGCCGTTTTGTTGCCAATGAATGCACTGAATGCAATGAATGCGACTTCCTGAGCTTTTTTTTTGAGGCGCTTGGAAGCTCCGAATATATAGTTCTGCTCCGTCGCAAACTGTTTTAACACTTCTGGAAAACGGAAGAGCGCTTCCTGCAATTTCAGTTAAAGCTTCAGATAAATGGCAACAATGATTTAAGGCAACAAGAAGGCTGAAGTGTCGCTACCCTCAAGCGTGGCTTAATCATTCGCTCCAGTTCGCCCTGCCTGCAAGGAAAGATCGCCTCGAAATTGGACAGTCATATTCTGCCAGTTAGCGGCGCGAATACGGTACGTGTAGCTCCCAGGCACGAGAGCAAGCTGCCCTTTGGACTCGGAAGGAGACGCAGTCCATTCCGAGGTCACTGTCGATCGTGGCCAGCGATATCACGGCGTGGCTGTTATCTCCTGCATGAAATTAACCACTACTGTAGTGACAGTTTACGTGCCGTGGCATTCGTTAGCTCTGGGTTGTGCGAATCGTGCCAGGGGGACCAATCGCTGCGGTGCATCGTGGGTGGCAAGGGCCGGCGTGCCGATCGCCCACACTCACGTTGTCGATCTCCCTCTGTAGGTCGTGGAGCTGTTTCTCGTGAATCTTCTTGAGTCGCTCGCGCTCCTTGCTCTGCTTGAGGGCGGCTGACTTGCGCTCCTCGATGAACTTCTTGGTGTTGTTGCTGTTCTTCTCGCGTAGACGCCTGCGCAACAAGATGGAATTTGCCCTGTACCACCTGACACCGAGACTATGCTGCTTCGCTTTTAAAATAATATGGCTGATTCGCTCATTTGTGACCGTTTGGGACGAACATGCTGGCACCATCTAGCAGGTGGCCCTTCAACACGTCATATCTGCATATATATATTTTCTAATATCATACGCATCGTTGTTTCCCTGTGGGCTTGAAATAAATAATGTTATCAGCAAACATATCCCATAGAGAGTGCCTGTGTTCGATCTCACGAACACTGCAAAACCTTCAGTCTAATTATACGCAGACTGAATGTGTTCTAGGGCTACCTAATGGGCGGCGCCAGTTTGCCACTGCCTTCTCTCGTCGTGAGTGGCCTTAAACGGGCACAATACACTTGGTCCCACTCGAGTGCAAATGCGCAAACCAGCCTCGACGGTTTGTGCCTTGTAAGTTTGTGAACTAGGAGAGACAACAGCGAACGGGGGTAACTGACCTCTCTCGCTCCGCCTTGTTGCGGAGAGTCTTGTCGCTGGACACCTCCCGGGCTGTCTCCACGGAGACCTTGGCCTGCTTCATCTTCATCTCCTTGTTCTCCCTGCCAGAGAGACAGACGAGGTAATGCTACGGAAGATGCACACCAAACTAGCACTGCGCACACGTGCGAACCCATGGCCTGCTGACCCTTTAGGGCCGTTGCTTTACCCCGTTTCGAACGTGGAAGTCTCGTTGTCAGTCTCACTGGCGAAAGCCTCACTGTCACGAGTCATTGAGTGACTTGAAAGTAGGCACGTGCGAATAGTGCATCGTGAGTTTGAAGCAAATAGTAAATTTGGCCGAATATTTTTTAATCAATAGTTTCTAGCCTTTCACTACCGTGCACCATGCAAAAATGAAAATTCCGCTGAATTCTCGTGAAGGTTGTTCCCAACCTCCCACCTGTACACTTCTAAGCTCAGTTAATTTGAATAAAAGTATACTCATGAACTGTGGCATATAAACATCAAATTTCTCGCGGCTATCCCAACCAAAGGAATTTATAAATCTACTCGCTATATGCAAATTTTTTTCCAATTTCAAATTAAAAAAAATTAAAAAAGGGCGATTGATGAGCGCATGCTGTCAAGACAATGCCACCTAACATATACACTTGCATAATTGCGGCGGGTTGGCGCCGTTGAGTGCGCTTCTTACCAAGCACCTGTGCATTGTGGGAAAGAAATCCCCATGGAGCCTGCGAGCTTTGGGACTACTCTCCATTTTTTGTTTAGACACAAACTCAGTGGTGCCATCTATTAGGTAGCACTGGCACACTTCGAGTCCCCGTATATTTAGTAATTTTTGCGCATTATTCTTTCGTCCTAAGAGCAAATTAGGTCTGACAGTGCTTTAAGCGACCATTTCCCAAAGACAGCGTATAGAGTTGGCCTCCCATATACTGCAAAACCTGCCGTCTACTTCAGAACCGGAAAGGTTTAAGGGCTCATACTGGTGCCACCACATTTCAACTAATGCGAGAAAGAGTGAATTGCTTCCCCGCAGTGCGCAGGTGCTCGGTGAGAAACAAACTCAAAGGGGCTCACATTACGCAATCGATGCTTCGAACAGTTCATCTCGCAGTGAACATCAAGTAGCATATTATTTGAAACAACTACAGTATAGACCACTTACAACGTAACCGCTTATAGTGCAGGACCGGGTATAACGCGGTTTTTTTAAACCACCGGTTTGCCTCCCATAGAGCTCCATGTAATTACATGCCGCTTAAAATGCAGGCGCGCGAAGGGAAATACCGGTTATAGTGCGGTTTCTGGCACAGCCCGCCGACCGCGCCGACGACCGGAGCGGCGAGCACGCTTCCCTGTGCGGCACTAGATAACGGCGCGAGCCGCAAACGGCACTCGCGGGGCAAGGAGGTTGCTCGGAGAAGCGAAGAAAGAGGCTTCATTTGCCATAGCGACGGAAGGACGCACGCACGTGTCGTTCATGTGCGTGCATCCCTCTGCTGCGTTGGAAACAAACAACCGAAACGACAGACCAATCGCAGGTCGAGAAGTGTTCGCGCGCGTTGCACAGCGTTGCATGCCAATCGCGGGCCGGCGGCTTCTGTCCGCAAACATGGCGTCGGTTGTAGCGTTCATCTCATCGTTCCGCGTAAGAACGCTATCCTTGACAGTGAATTTTCGTTGTGTGTCGCTATGATAACCCAGCACGTACTAGAAGGGAAGATCCACCTACTCGTGCGGCGATGTGGCGGCGCTCTCAAGACGGCAGAAACGCCCGTGTCGTCGTGTTTGTTTACTTCGGCTAAAGTGGTGCTTTCTAAGCATTTGTGTTTTCGAACATCGCCGGATTTCTTATTTGGAGCATTTCATGCCTGTGCTCAAGTTCAAAGTATTTTTCTGGCGCGTACCGTATGAAGGGTGCGAATTTTCACGCGTTTTCATCTCCGGAGAAAAGTGATTAGGGTTAGCAATCCTGAAAGCTCGCAACGTCCGTCCGCAACCCGCGACGCCGTTAAAAGGCTGCGCCAGGCAAAAGCCGCTTATTTCTTTCAAAATGTGTGACACACTTGAGAGAGATGTGTACTAGTCTGGTGAAATAAAGACTTTTCTCAAACTAAGCTTTATTTTTCATTTAACATAAAATAAATTCTTTTACAAAGGTAGGCTGTCTCATGGCATGTATTTTGGCCTGAAAAATTGATGCTTTGGTTATAACGCGGTACCGCTTATAGTGCGGATTTTCGCGACTCCCGCGACATACGTTATATGCGGTCTACACTGTACAGTGAAATCCACTTATAACGATACCACACATGACGATGTACCGCTACTAACGATCAGTTTATAGAGGACCATGCATTTTTGTGTGGGGTAGCCATTCCGGATACAAAAAGAATTGGTTATAACCACTGCCTCTTTGGGTTTTCTCACTATCGTTATAGGTGGATTGCACAGTATTCAAATATTTGCAGACTATTTGAAAGCAAAATGCATCTGCAGTGTTAAAATGTAGCATGACCACTACCGTCACATCTTTCCTGACTGCAACCCAAACGCCATCGATCACCGGTGATCGATGGTTTTCAAAAGGAGTGAAGAATGTAAATTTAGTGCGGAGAATTATGTTTCACAATCTCATGGATGGCCGAAGAGCTGGTGGGCTGTCAAAAACAATCCTAGAAACGGTGGTTGCACTTGTGTAACATGGCTAACTGCTTGCGTCAGTCTTGGCAACGAAGATGGCATCATTTACATAATTCAACTGTATTGTGGCACAGTGTGCACGTTTTATGGTCCCAACAAAGCGGACAAAAATGCTAAATATGAAGGAACTGCAATCGAGGCTATGACAAACCAAAGTAGAACACAAAGAAAGCATTCTGCCGTGGATGTGAGGTGTACTATCTGTGCTTGACCAATATAAGCATTCCTTCGTTGAAAAGCACACGTGTTGCAGAGGCTAACTCTCCGACGAATCAAAAAATAGACTTAAGCTAGACTGAACTAACTTTCAGAAGTAATAGCCGTAGGTGTTTGGCACGTCTTGTATATTCAAAGTTTTCACTTACTTGTCGTTTAGTTTGAAATAGCTGTAGAATTTTCGGCATATTGTATTTTCAAAATATAAAATTTTAAAATCTTTTTTTTTTTACATTATACTAACCTCTGTTACCTTTGAAAGAACAACTAATTGGCCAGATTTTGATGCATCATAACGCTTCATACACAAATTAATAAGGAAAATAAAAGCGTTTTCATGCGGATCCCTCGAAAATTGCAACTTTTCCCGTGGTCAGGAAGGAGTTAATACATGCAGCTCGTGGCATATTATTTTCATTCTTTGTCCTTCGTGGTTCGTTGGGTGGCGTTCTTGTCCACCAATGCCACAATTCCATTGGCTGCCGAGAAATAATGAGACGACTGGGGATCGCCACGCCCTGCTCTTCTTAAACTGCCAGTGACTATAAAAAGTTCTCGGCGGGATAATGGTGCCTGGAATGCGTTTCTGACTGGTGAGATTACCGCGTCCTAAAAAGAGGTCCCTCGATTTCTGCCCAATGATGTGATAAAAGTGTAATGCTGTCGCAAGCCACGATCCTGGTGTCATCGCATCGGCAGTGCTGGATGTAGTAGACGCACGATCTGCTGCAAGTCGCTCTCCAGCCTGACCATCCACGGAAGCACAGACAACCGGGAGTTGAGACACCGCGACGACGGTGACACTCGCGTTCTTGCGTGCTTTTTCCTGGAACTTCTACGCCAAACCACCAGGATCACGATGTTCGACCGCATGATGCTCCGGCCGATCGTGACATTGCTTGCGGCCACTCGGAAACCACTTTGGATGCACGGGCACAACGCTAAACACACCGGTCGGGGGTGCGCCTTCCAGGTGCCGTGGGTTCTGTTACCGTTCGAACTTGGCGTCGAGCTGCTTCATCTGCTGCGCCTGGGCCTTGAGCATGAGGCTCCTGAGCAGCTGTCCTTGGTTGGTGAGGTGCAGGCGCAGCAGGTCCCACTCCTGGGCCCGGTGGGTGCCTAGCAAGGACGACCACTGGTGCATCTGCTGCACCACCAGCGCCCGCACCCCGCCGTCCTCCGACTCCGACACCGGGCCCGGCGAGTCCTTGGGCACCAGCTTCTCCACGGCCAGGCACTGCTGCTTCTGCACCTGCAATGCAACGTTTGCACGCACACGATCGTCGTGCACCCGAGGAGAGGGCTGGCGCACGATGTAACGGGCACCGTTTTAATTTCAGAGCGTGTGGACTCGCTCCCAATTCTCGTGCGGCACCCACCACAGGCACTGACCCATATGAAGTTGTCTGCAAGACGTTTGTGAGACATACACGGGAAGTATGCGAAATGTCCAAGAAATGTCCACAAGAGGTAAGTGGGACATTTGAAGGACGTTCGTGGGTTGTGAGCAGGAAGTGTGAGGGACGGTCGCAGGATGTTCGTGAGAAGTATGCGGGACTGTCACAGGACATTCACAGGATATAAGCGAGAAATAATGTTTGTGGGATATGGGATGTTTGTAAAAAGTATGCGAGACATTTGCGATACTTTTGCAGGAAGTATGTGGGACCCCAAATGGGACATACGCGGGAAGTATGCGGGATGTTCGCAAAAAGTATGAGGGACGTTGCAACGACCTGGAGACCTCCTGAGGGACGTGCAAACAACGTGCATTCCTCCAAAGTGGCTCACCTGCTGCTTGTCCTTATGGTGCCGCTTGCGCAGCCCCTCCAGCTCCTTGATCTGCTTACGCCGAAGTTTCACATAGTCCTTCTCCGTCCGGAGGGCGTCCACCGTAATGGCTTCCATCCGCCACTCTTCTGCACGCCAGAAACATCCCACTTCGCACTCCGAGAAACACCTTCCATGCCTCACACAGTAAAACTTCACTTGTTGCGTAGATACATATGTACAATCTTATAGACTCATTTGTCCATACTGCCGACTCGTTTTGAGCAAGAGCAGGTGGAAAAACGTCAATAGAAATTAGCCACGATGGTTACAGCAGTCGGGTTCTCCAAGAACACTTGCAGCCATTTTGATAACCTTTTTATCTAAGAAACATTTAAAAAAATGTTAGAAGTAGTATGTGGAAACTGCGTTCATTATTTTGGAAGTGTGAAAAAAAAATTCATACCTGATATAGCTTTCTGGAAGTAGTTTCTAGCCAGCTACAAGCAGCAAGGTTCAATGTCATATATAGGAAGCAGTAACCTTTGCGTTTGTATTTACACCCGCTTAACAAACTTTACACACAAACACCCTTTCATGATGGCCACTGTAGCAGCCCTAAAAGGCAATTTACTGTCAGAAAATAATGCTGCATATCTCATCGTGGCAATTTCCCGCCACCCCAAAACTTTCCTTGCACCATAAATGTATATATGTGAATAAAACCATGATCCTATAGTCGCTGACAAGGTAACAACAGCAGGGCATCTTTTTTAAATGCCCGGCCTCCAGCAAGCACTCACTGCCTTTCGCATCGCTTTGGCCCTCCCATGTACCTTCGAGACTCACGAGACGCCAAAGCATTGTCGAAGGTAAGAAGCTCGCACCGAAGGCGCACCAACTGAAGCTCTTCCCTGCCTTTCTCATTCTGTCCATGGCTATAGCGGTGGCTTCACATAGCTGTCTCCCACCACAAAATCTGAATGCCTACAGAAACATAACGGAAGGGGATCAGTGGCCGAAAGGGATTAGCGCAAGTTATACTTGCCCGTTTCGACCTGGATGAGCATAGTACCTGTGCGCGCTCGTGTCATAACTATTTTGTGATGCACATTGAAGACCCCAGGTTAGCAGTCGCGCTGCACTGGCTAAATTTCTCATCAACAGTGGAGACATCAGATGCGTTTCAAAGCAGACTAACTTACCGCTGTCTAAATATCTGCAGCAAAAAGCGGAAACTTTTCTTGAGAACATAAAGTGCCAGCGGGAAATTAAGTTTAGAAAAGAAACACGAGTGCCATTCCTCGGTCAAGGCTAGACAGTTCTTCCATGACCACCGTTAGCATGAAACTGCTAAGCTTCTGTCACTGTCACTGAAGGACAATTAGTTTGACTAGGGTCTGTTTTTTTAAGCTGCTTTCATAAGAGAAGCCGTCGTGGCCATTCCCTGCAACTACCGAAGCAGGCCAGAAATCCTGAAACATCATGAGGTACTACCGGATTCAATATGAGCTGAACCAGTCTTTGATGCTTTTTTCGAATACCTGCCAATTTTGAGAGAGCTGTAGTCCAAACTAGGACTGGGATGCAAAGTTGAGATCCTACATTTCGGCATCTTTGACAAATTGACAAAAAATTTAGTTTGTGAAGACTGCAGATGTAGAAAAAGACCAGATTGGGTGTTCCAGGTCATACTGATTGCGACAGCACATGCTAGAACCCTGGAATCACCTGAAAAGTTTTTTTAAAGGCTGGTTCACGCACTTGCAACACCTTACAACCGTCTGCCTTAAAACCTCTTAGAAATATCTTACGACGAGACAACACACTGGCACCATCCCATCGGGTACCCACGGAACATTTTCAGTTTCTGAATATTTCATAGTTTTCGCACATCATTCTTTCTTCTTTGGTTAAAAAATCTTTTGCCAATGTTATAAAAAAACTGTTTCTCATAGATAGTATGTACATTTGATTTTGCAAATACCTCAAAACTTTTGCTCTAGTGAAATGCAGTTCCAGGGCCACCTCATAGGTGCCACCAGAGTGCCAGTGTGATTTCTCGTTGTAAGAGATCAAGAGAGCTCAGTCCTAAGCAAACGCAAGTGTGTGAACCAGCCTTTACACTGTTTTGTAGTGTTGTGCAAATATTCTACATTTTGAATAGTAGACTCTCATTAATTCAAACTCCAGGAAGCCACAAATTTTGTTTGAATTACCAGAAGTTTGAATTATCAGAAATTAATCTAAATATGATGCAAGATAAAATTATGATTTGCCATATGAACACATACAAAGCAGATATCTGATCATTTCTTCTACGTAGGCCTACTGGTCATAAGGAGGTATGCCACACAAAACATTTCTGAAACTTATGACATAAGCTTATTTATACCTCAAGAATGTTGTTTCTTCCGGACTGTTTAGACAGCACATGATAACTCAACACGAAATTAAGTTTGTTCATCAGGCGAAGAAGTTGTCCAGTGTGAACTATTAAGCAGGTGGCACACAAGCAATGAAAACGGGCATCGCACAGTAGTTTTCTTGCCAACTTGCGCAAATCCTGGGGAGCGGGCCTATGCCATGCCACCACGTCACAGGGTCCATGCAAGTTGCTATGGAGATTTCTGCATTAAGCCCATTTTAATAGCTCGTGTGTGCCCTGCTTGAGCTCTGTTGAGCGTGCTTCTCACCGAGCACTGGTGCAACGCGGAGAAGCAACACCAGCAAAAGCAAGCTCGGTGGCTGTTGCCTCTCTGCAGTGCACCGGTGCTGAGAAAGAAGTGCACTCAACGGGGTTGCGAGAACAAAAAGTATAAATTACATGAAAATGCCATTCGAAATAAGCGGCTTATGAAAATGCTAAAACATTAAAAACATAGCGGGACAACCAAATTTTTAACATTTGTTTGAATTAACCAGAAGTATGAAATATCAGATCTTAAATTATTGATACAGTAATGATACAGTATTGATACAGTATCCAATGATACAGTATTTAATTTTCACTTGGGCATGGACCACTATTTTCAGATTTTTGATAGCGGCGGGTTAGCCCCGTTGAGCGCATTTCTTGTTGAGCACCGGTGCACTGCAGAGAAGCAACACCTGTGGAGCCTCCTTCCACAGGCGTTGCTTCTCTGCAGCGCACTGGTGCTTGGTAAGAAGCATACTACACGGAGTAACCCGCTGCTATCAACACTTGGAAAAGCGTGAAAGTCACAATCCGGTGCTTGGGAGGAAAGCACTTTCAAAGCAGGATGGTGTATTTAAAAAGAAATTGAAACTTTGTGAATGATGATATCTACATTGCAGTAAACTTTTCTAAATTAAACTGTGGCTGCTATGCCACAGATGCACTTTTCTTTAATTTGAGTTTGATGAAAGAATGTTTGCATATTGCAAGATTTGTAAATCCACCCAATTAGATACAGCTGGTCATCTCTCTAGGTTTAATTTTATGTCAAAATCCATTGTTTGCTTGCCATCCCGTGGCGTCGGACTTTCTGAGGTTCCTGCATATACCGTATTTACTCACAGAATGAACACACTTTTTTTTTCCGAAAAATGGATGCGAAGTTAGGGGGAGCGTTCATTATGTGAAGTAAAATTTTTGCGTCCGTATTTACTCGCATAATGGTGGACGGACCTTTTATCCTGAAAATCGAAGTAACTTCTTATCTCTTTGCGCGCGGCGCCCCACCCCGTAACCAAACTAAGCTGTGCAAAAAAGAAAAACTCCTCCTCTTTGTTTTCTTTTCCCCTTAGTTCCTTGTTTGTTTGTTTGTTTTTTTTTTTGCCGCCTTTTGCAAGTTGTTTTGTTTGCTTAGACTTTGCTTAGACGAGGGGAGGGCTCTCCGCTTACCTTTCTTATCTCCTTGCGCCCGACGCACGACCCCCCGTAACCAAACTGCGCTGTGCAAAAAAAAGAAAAGAAAAAAAGCTCCTCCTTTTCTTTTTTTTTTTTCAGTTCCGTGGTTTTTTTGTTGTTTTTTTTGTTGCCTTTCGCAAGCCGTTTCGTTTGCTTAGAGGGCTTCTCCGCTCCTCTTTCTTACCTCCTTGCACACGATCCCCCGTAACCAAACTGCGCTGTGCAAAAAAAAAAAGGAGAAAAAAGCTCTTTGTTTTTGTTTTCTCTTAGTTCCGTGGGTCTTTTTTTTTTCTTTTTGCCGCCTTTCGCAAGCTGTTTCGTTTGCTTAGAGCGCTTCTCTTTCTTACCTCCTTGCGCGCGGCGGCGCGCAAACCCTAAAGTCCAGACTGTGCTGTGCAAAAAAAAGAAAAAGCTCCTCTTTATGTTTTTGTTTTTTCTTGCTTCCGTTGGATCTTTGCGAATTTTTTAACGCCTTTTGCAAGGCGTTTTGTTTGCCCACACTGCCCATGTATTCGCGACCTCGCTGCACCAGGATAGAAAAGTGCGTTCATTTCGCGCGCGTGGGGGGAGGGGGTCAAAATTTTTGTTGTCCGAGTTGGGGGTGCGTTTATTACGCGAGTGAAAAAAAAAGTCGAAATTTTGAGAGCCGACTTGGGGGGTGCGTTCATTACGCGAGTGTGTTCATTGTGCGAGTAAATACGGTAGTTAGATTAAACATAGCTGAAATGCGCTCTCCTCTCACCCCCCCCCCCCCCCCCCCCGGCCCCCGATAGAATATCATCCCACCTGAATAACTCTCGTCCAGTTAAACGAATATCCGGTAAAACTAGTGCATTGAATGAATCATTCCTTCCTCAAGCCATCGCTGAATGGAACCAGCTGCCATCCTCCATCGTTAGCGTCACTGATGCAGTGGAGTTTTATAACCTTCTACTCGCCCATTTAAATTGAGTACAAGTATAACTTCTGCTGTGTTTATTCTTGTATGTTTTATAATAGTTTCTGTGTTACTAATTGTATTATCTGACACATTGACCCCCCTTATGTAATGCCCTAACCAAGCCTCTAAGGGTAAAAATAAAATTAAATAAAATAATACGACAAGTGGAAGCTTGGGAACAACCTTCACGAGTTAAAAGCCGACCAACAAGCAGAAGGAAGGAAACTCTCCCTCAATTCCTCCTTTCCATACGAGAAAGAGGGAGACCCTCCTCCTCTCTACCGGGAGTAGTTGAGAGATCTGCTCCTGTGTGGAGAGGAGGGGAAACGGAGGCAAGTGAGAATGGAGAGAGAGAATCTGGGAACCGGTTTTTTTCCCCGGTAGAAGACGATTCTGTAGGTCTGACTTCAAGCTGGGTTTTCATTTAAGAATGGTGCAACAGTAGTGAAAGGCTTGAAGAAACTCTTTGACATTTGTAGAGAAAATATTCGGCCAAAACCACTATTCGGTTCCAACTCGATATCTACTACATGCACATGACTAGTGTTTTCACTTGCAGCGGAACAAACGCTCAACTTCTGAATGGTGCCAAAGAAAGACTGTCTCATGCAAGTGGAGCCCCCAAAAAGCGTGCAACTCCCAAAACGCCGAGTCCTGCGAAGGCGCTCACCCCTCTTGTCGTCGTCCTTTTTCTGTTGGGAGCCGAGGTCGGGCCGATTCACCAGGATGTCGGCCTCCTCGATGCCCATGGCCCGCATCTGCACCATGCGCTTTTCTTGGGCCGACAGGAAGGCTCGAGGGTCCGAGAGAGCGTCCATTAGGTCTGGACCAGGGGTGAAAGTGCACACTCTGCTCAGGGAGGGAAGAATTCTCCTTGGCCAGGGTGGCACCTACGGGAGACACTCATTTGATCGAATGACATTTTAGCAAACACCCATGTTTCACTGAATGATACTTTAGCGAATAGTCGGACGCCGCCAAGCGGCATTTTCGGGTGGGCCAAGTGGGTTCGCATTTTTGTAATGAACCGCCGCAGACTGTCGCCGTGAAGCGGCTTAAGCACAGCGCGGGGGGGTGGGTTAACGCGCTCCCCCGTTATTCACTAAAACGTTGATTCGCTCAAATGTCGCTGTTCACTCAAATGTCATTCGCTCACGTGATATAGACCCGCACCTACGTGCGTACCCTCGGGCCTCGACCAATGCCTAAAGAGACTCTGTGGTGATGCATGGTGCCACTGTGATACAAGGTAGCGGCAGAACTGGAGGCACTTGACAAAATTCATGAAAAGTCAAGAGACGCCGTTCTAATTGTGCTGGAGTGCATTCATCTAATTCTGAACGGATCCTGTCACAAGTACCATCTAGGCTCTAGCGACGGAATTGTAACTAGAGAAGACATTCAATCCTATTCCCATATAAACTTACAACTTATGTGGATTATTGTACAGTCGAATCCAGTTATAATGAAGTCGACGCGATTTCAAATTATGTTCACTATATCCATATTTTGCAATAAATGAAATTTGCCGAAAAAGTCACAGTTTTGCATATTTGAAGTGCAAAAGAGCCACAATAAAGCTTCGATGTTCGACAGCGTACGGCATGTTGAAGCTGTCTTTACAATTTGCGCTTCAATACGCCCTTCCTCAATTTCTCGGTTCAAGGGTTTTTTGGGTGGAAGATGTGTGGGCGTGGCACGAGCACGCATGCATATTTTTTCAATTAAGGACTCTAGAACCTGTTAAGGCCCGTTCACACTCTTGCGACTGCTTGCGACCTCTTAAACCTGGGTTCCTTAAAACTTCTTAAACCAGAGAACACACTGGCGCCATCTATTGGGAAGCAGTGTAAACTCGGCGGTCTGGCATATTTTTTTTTTATTTCTCGCGCAATATCCTTTCTTTTTTGGCTCGAAAAACTTTTGTCAATGTTATAAACGAGCCTTTCTATGGGTATTATGCACATTTGACCTCGGAAATCCCGCAAAACCTTCGCTTTTGTGAAATGCAGTTCTAGGGTCACCGCATAGATGGCGCCACAATGTCAGTGTGTTCCCTCATTCTAGAAACATTTAAGAAGTTGTAAGAGATCTCGTCTCTCTCAGTCATACTCGGTCGCAAGAGTGTGAACGGGCCTTTAGGTCCACTAAGCGACGCTGACCTAGGTTCAGTTCCAGAGACATCGCTTTGTGTCCATGGTGACTTTTCTTTTGCCCCCAAGTTAGCACAAAGAAGCTTGCCCCCTCTCCTTCCTGCTGGCGTTTTTTCATTCGACCCACAATAATCCTCTGACACAGGGCGTCACTTCTGCGGAAAGAGGTGGACTGCGTCCAACTGCAGGAAGACAGGGGTGCCAACGAAGTAAGCTCAGAGCACATATTTTGCTCAGGGCAAACAAAAGAAAAACAAAAAAGAAACAAAACAAAAAAAAAATTGACAGAGCAAAACAAAGGAATGTTTTAGACAGCATTTTGTTCATCCTCTTTTTGTTTAGCCTGTCCGGTTTCTTCTTTTATGTATGAGGAAAGAGAATTCATGTCCCTTCTCACACGCATGTCCCTTCCTGCACGCATGCCTCTTTCAAGCCAAGCCATACCACCCCCGCCCCACTTTCTGTTCCGCGACGAGTGATGTCGCAACCCAACAACCGCACACGAGATGGCTATCGCAACGCAGAGCGCAGAGTTGCATAATTTTTTCTGGAGAAAGTCACTCAGGGCCAGTGCGTGCCGCTGCAAGAGAAGTCAGCAAACATGTTTAATCGACTCCTGGGATTCTGGTCAACGCTATTTTATAGTAATTTTTGCAAAATAAAATAATTTCAGCGCCTTGAGGGGTTTCTTTTTGTTACATCCGCAACACCGCCTCCTCTTTGTTAAAAAAGTGGATAAATGTACATTAAAATAATAGCAGCAGGAGTGTGCAACAAACATTTGTTCGTTATATCCAATATTTCGCTATACCCGGACTCTTTATAAGTGGTTTCGACTGTACCTGGATAAAGAGCAAAACCAACCTTAGGCATAATTTTTTTTTTTTTTGACAGGGGTTTTTGGTACATGCAAAGACTTCATTAAGTCAGAACCGGATGGTCCCGAGACTACTTCTCTAAGTAAACTAGTAAAACGGTACAGGACCTTCCAGGAAGAACAGGAACAAGAAAAAAATTTGATCACACTGCAAATTTAATTAAATTGGGGTCTGTTACCTTGAGGTTAAACAGCTTCTTCATTCAAAGCACGCACAAGTGTAAATGCGAGGCATCATAACAAAGCAACGACCAAACATCAAACTGCAGCATGCAAGTAGTGGAGAATAGTCCTAGATGACGGGAGAGACGAGCACTCACCACCAAGACCATCAGGCACGTAAATCTTGAGCTCAATGCAGATAAACAACATGGCGAGAGACATGGGAAAATTCCCTTCGGTCCTCAAGGACACATGGCGGTAACCTGAAATGACAGACAGTGTAAAAGCCTGTTCACAAATTTGTGTTTGTTTACGAAGGAGCTCTTGTGATTTCTTACGAAGTGGCAACTGCGTTTCACCAGAGCAAAGGCTTTGCAGTATTTGCAAAATCAAATGTATAGTAGACCCCAATTACCTCAAAGTCATAAAAACTAGAAAAAAAAAAATGAGAGATAAGCTGAATATTCGAGATAAGCTAGGAACCAAATATTTATTGCACTGATCGTGCATTGTGCAAATGAACCATTTCCAACAATGGTGCCAGAGACTTGAGACTCACGTGGCACGGTGCAGCGAGAAACAACAAAACGACCGCAACAAAATTAACAAGCAACAGTCCTGAGACAAGACAGCAAAAAAAAAAAACAACTTAAAAAAATTTATAGTAAAAAAAAGAATGAAAGAAAAAGACAAAGGGTGGAAGGTAATGTTGAACAGGAGGGAGAGAGAAATCATATTGATTGCCAAGTAAAGATTTGGGGGAGAAAAATAAAAGTAAGACAACAAAGTCCTTGTGGTGCCTGCACACGCTGCTCCTCAAGTTGCTACGCACATGACACAAGACTTTTTTTTTTCCACAGTAATCAGTGCGCAGTAATACAAAACTTTTTCTTCTTTTTTTTTGTTTTTGGACTGCTGTTTCTTTGTCAACCAATATTTGGGCCACCACATTCATTGTTTGCAGTGCCCTACCCAGTTATTTTTTGTAATTTTTCTCAACAAGCTTTTGAGATATCGAGGTCCCTCCTGAAAACCTTTTGCTAGACGAGCGATAAGGAATTACATTGTGCCAATGAGAGTTCATTCCACGACAAGGAAATATTTCGACGTAACCAATATTTCGAGATAGTCAGGTTCGAGTTAAACCAGGGGTTACTGTACATATTTTCCAAGAGAAATTTTCGCTCACATTATTGTAAGAAACTTTCCAGGCCAATTAAAAAAGGATGATGAGCGAAAAAAAATACAAAACATAAATACAGAGTGTTTCACGGCGACCCAATAGATGGCACCAGTGTGTTCTCTCGTCGTAAGAGACTGCAAGAGGTTGTAAGCAGTCGCAAGTGTTTAAACGAGCCTTCAGGCACAAAACGAAAGTAAAAATGAAATGGGGATGGGGCACACACTCTTTGCAACAGGACCTCGCTCCAGAGCAGTAAAGCATGCAAAAATTGGCTGCCTTCAAGAAGCCCACAAGTCGTGAGGAGTCATAGCGAAAGCCTGCGTATGTAAAGACCGCTTCACACATTTGCACTTGAACGCTTGTGACTGCTCATGACGAGGGAACACACTGGCACCATTTATCGTGTAGAACACTTCCGGTCTATTTTATGCATCATTCTTTCACCGTATGCTTCAAATAATTCTGGGAATGTCATAGGCGACCCTCGTAGATGGTGCGTAGATCTGGTCTGGCAACATACTGCAAAACCTTGAGGCTAGTTGGATGGATGGATGGATAAACATTTCCCGAAACTGCAGAAGGGGAGCGGTTGCGCTACAGATGTGTTCCACGGCTGCCTGATAGATAACGCCATCATGGAAGTATGTTCTCTCGTCGTGAGCACTTACCAGAGATACGACGCAGTCGATCGCACTGTGGTACAAATGTGCGAATTAGCCTTATCTGTGCAAGGTATAATATTAAAGTAGTACAATTGAGCTACCAAAAACATTTCTTTTGCAAACAAGTGGATCGAATTTCCTACTCATTGCAGGTTAGGAATGGGAGGGGCCTCGATACCGGCGTCTCTTTGCTTAGCACGTACCAGCTTGCAACCCGTCCATGGGCAGAATGCGCTGCCCCAGCATTTTTCCGTTTTCATCGTAGACTGCGATGCGAATTACCGCTAGGTCGGGGAGGACCACCTGCAAAAAGTAAAAAATGATAGAGAAGCGACGGATGCTTCCCATACTCCAGACAGGTGTTGATTTCATCGCAAAATGGGTTTGGCGGCTGTTCTAGGTATAACCAATACCTGATTAGGTAATAGAGGTTGCACCTTGGATCTTGAATTAGGAATGTCAGATTCACCTCAAACTTTTACTAAGATCAATTTATCAACATTATTTCTACGCATAATGTGTTGAAAACCAAACAAAAATAAAAGTAAAGACTTTTAAAGTTAAGATCAAGTCATAGCTATTGTACTTGTCACACAAGTGCCCTGTCATTGCAATTAAAAGTGTTTCTAAGAGAGATAGAATTCAAAATTTAGATGTCCTTATGCAAAGACAACTTTCTTTTCTGCAGTGAAGCATAAGATGCTAGGTACTGAAAAGTAGTCGGAACACTTTTCTACAACGAGAAGTGGGAATCCAGCTAAATTCATTCTATGATAAAGAAGTCAGACATTGACAGCGATACTAATTAAAAAACAACCGCATCTCCACGTGGTGAATGATGTTAATTGGGGCGAAGCTCTGGTGGTGCTTGTCTGCGTAGACGGTGAGCCGCAGCATGCCGAGCCTTTCGTTCGTTTTCATCCATGTCACGCTGCGGTCAAATGCTCAAATGCATATATAACCACGTTCCATACCACACATTCTCTTTCTGACATGGATGAAAACGAACGAAAGGCTCGGCATGCTGCGGCTCACCGTCTACGCAGACAAGCACCACCAGAGCTTCGCCCCAATTAACATCATTCACCACGTGGAGATGCGGTTGTTTTTTTCCCTACACGAGCACGGGAGCACGAGCACCCGACGCCGGACATCGAACGGACATACGGACATGGCCAATCCCTAAGGAGCTTCACTCCTAAAAAAGAAAACCATAGACAATGCTTGTTGCTGCAGAGATCGCTGCATGTCTAGCTGTGAAAACGACACAAGACGGTGGCGGCGGAGGCACCAACGAGAGTCGGAAGAAGAGGAGGAGGGGGGCACCTTTCTGAAGACAAAGGGCTCCTCGTTGTAGACGGGGTTGAGGCCGTTGGCCGGCACCATGCGGGTGCGGAACTCCTTGCGGATGGTGTCCGTGGGCAGACCGTACATGTCCACCTCGACGTAGGTGCCCACCTTCTTGTCCGACAGGAACTGGCCTGACAGCACCCTCACCGAGCACTGGGCCGCTATCACCCCGTCCACGGGAGACTCCGCAAACGGGTCAAAGGTCTTGTCCGCACGCCGCATGAAGTCCGGCTTCAGCAGGTATCTGGGGGCCACGGATAAAGCTCTGGAACACTTGGCATTTTAGTAGATGCCCTATTCCTTTTGAGCATTATTCTCTATTTCTTGACACGAAAGACTTTTTGACACTGTTATAAACAACGATTTCTCGTAGACAATAGGTGTGTACATTTGATCTCACAGGTGCCGCAAAACCTTTGCTCTAGTGAAATACAGTCCCAGGGTCGTCTCATGGATGGCGCCAGTGTGCAAGTGTGTTCCCTCCTGAGAGATCAGAGGAACTCGGCCGTAAGCAAAGGCAAGTGTGTGAACAGGCCTTAAGACAGCAGGATGTCGATCAGCTTTGAAATGTCGTAGATTTTGTATCTTCAGCAAGAGAAGTGACTTGGCCGGCGCACTCCAAAAGCCCTAAACACAAAGTTGGGGCCGAAGTTGAGGGAGCGCACTGATTGGGCAATCACGACGATGACTTGGCGCTTTTGTCTCCAACATCCAATCGGCGCGCTCCGCGAACTTTCGGCTCCAACTTTGTGTCTGACGAGTTTAGGGCCCCAAATGTTCATCATGCAGTAGCGCTCACAGTACTGCGTGGTGTATGAATGTGATGTAATGAACAGTCCATCGGATCATATCCCATCAGAAAATGTGATGTGATGTGACTGGTGCAGTGTGACCACTAACCTGAGAGCCTTGAATGTGCCTCATGTGGTAGTGATTCCATGCCTCACGTGGTAGTAATTCCACTACCGCATGATGTATGAATGGCTGCATCATGATGGACAGTCCATCAGATCAGCTCACATCACATCATATCACAGGATGTGATGTGGTCAGTGCGGTATGAGTGCTAACGTGGAAGCCTTGAATGTGCATTGTGCAGTAGTGATTACACCACTGTGTGATGTATAAATGCAATGCGCCAAAACTGTCCATCACTAATTGATTGACATTTCATTTTGACACAAGTGTGGCGGACAGGCTCTAGTACAGTGCCTACTCATATTGAAAGTGGAAGGGAAAAAGTTTTCTTGAGATCTCCGCACCACTAGTGTAATGCCTGTATCTGACCATAAGGTTAAATAAATCATGATCATGATGATTACACACAATGCATGCTCCACAATTGTATTTTGCTGTCTGCTGCAACTGATACTGCCTGCATCAATCGGAAAAGTGGTTTATTTTCACAATGCAATAAAAACAAAGCAAAGAAACCAGCCTGTGACAGAAAGCTTATCTTGGAAATATATCCATTTTTTTCCCAACGGTCTACCGCCCAGATAACCACAACGGCTGCGTGAATTGATGCGTGGACGCAACCACTCACCCGCATCCACCGTTGTACTCAAACTTTCCCTGGTTGAGTTGCATGGGGAGGTCGGGAGTCTGGAAGTTCAGTGCTACCATCTGGCAACCAGCATTCCAAAAGATCTGGGCACCAGAGGGATGGAAAGTCAGGAGAGGGGCACGGTTCAGGACAGAAAACTGCTAGTATAGATTACATTAAAAAAAAAATGTTTACAATGGATACAGTTATGCAGGCATGCAATTAGTGTGAGGCACATAGCAAGGCCAAAGACATAGTTTAAACTGGGCAGTAAGTACCTAATCCCCTCCCAATTAAAATACTTCCACAGAGACTGTGTCCCAGAGCCACAGTACACCCACCTTTCAAGGGCACACATAGTGACACTATGGCATGCAACAAGTGCGATAAACTTGGTGCCAACATGCAATTGCCAGTCCTTCCGGTCTTTATCCTCTGAAAGGCTAAATAATAAAGCATAAATCAAAAATACCCAAGAGTTTTGAAGTCTACTGCACAGGTCTATGAGATGTATCCCACAATGACTCTTCAGAAAAATGAAATTTTTTTCATGCATTGCTACTGAGCAATGATTGGAGCTGTAGAAACATGCCAGTCGATATAGAATCTAGAATAAGGTATTTCAGATAGATGAATTTGTATAAGATAAACATGTATACGAAGAGTCATAGATAAAAGAACTCTAGCTCCTAGATCACAGACCCTACAAAGTTTGTCTTTCCTCCTCTGTCATCCTCTTCTTTGCTATCTCTTCTGCTATCGTTCACCACTTTCTTTTTAAACACAAAAACCCTGAGCGACATACATAATTATGACTTCCAGAGGTCGCTGTAAATATTCCCCATCCAGACTATGTGGCGCTACCGCCTTCAGATGAACGGTGTAGTAGTATACTTACAAAAAGCTGCATTTGTGTGCACCTAAAACTGAATGAATGACAATTATAAAAAAAACCACAACCTATCGAAAGGGTTTACTTAGGAAAGATGTGGAACATACCTGAGGAAGGAAATTGCTAGAATCAGCTCTGGTTCCCTTGGGGTAGATTCTACTCAGCTGTCGCTTGTTGTAGCTGGTTTCGTTGGGTCAAAGGTTCAACAAATCTAACCAAGTATACATGTAGGTAAAGTGTCTATCACATGCACATTCTTTAGTACTTTTCGTTGAGAACAGCTAACAAAACTTGCAATACAACAAAACCTTCAGAATGAGAAAAAGCCACAAAGTACACTAGTCTGTGGTCCCTTTCATCTTTAGAAAAGTTCTACTTTGTTGCTTCATGACATTATCGCCAGAGATTAAAAGACATTCTCCCTGATGTGCTTTTTATTCAATGACTGCAAAAGTTCTCCCTTTCTACATTTGCAGATTAAAAGTAAATTACTTAATGAAACGTCAAATGCCATTTCGGGGCTTCATAGAGGTTCCTTTTGAGACCTTTGTACCAGCTGCACTCCCTTCATTTTTTTGCTTCCATAATGTAGTAATCAGTAATCTTGCCAGAGTCTTAACAAATCCCATTAGATTCACATTGACTTTTCAATATTACAGCTTAATTTGCAGCCAACATTCTTGTGCCTGCACACAGCACCTGTGATGCAGAGCAACTCCAGAACAAAAAGCCCTATATGCAATATTTAATATATTACATTTATGACCATGGCCCAAGAAAGTTATATGCCTATATTGGGATGGCAAGTAGACGATGCAATTGACATAACATTAAACCATTAAAGCTGCCAGCTGTACCTAACCAAGAGGATTTCTAAATATTCTTGCTATCTACAAATATCTTTTCTTCAATCACGAATGATTAATGTTGTCAGAGCACCTCTGCCTAACATATACTGATACATAATAGCATAATTTTGAACATTTTGCTGCAAACGTTCACAAAGTTTGTTTCTTTTTAAAAACACCAGGAATGCACATGCACCATCCCGTTTTGAAAGTGTGCTTCCTTCTTCCTAAGTGCAAGACTGCGGTATCCATATTTTTCAAGGTGCTGATCACGGAAGGTTAGCCCCATTGAGTGCACTTCTTTCTGAGCACTAGTGCTTCGAGGAGAAGCAACACCCGCGAAAGCGAGCTCTGCGAGTGTCACTTCTCTGCAGTGGACCGGTGCTCGATATGAAGTGCACTTAACGCTTAGAAAATACAAATTTTGCATCAAAGTGGCGATGCAGGCGAGCCGATTCCCCATACAACCGCAAACAGTGCAAAAATAACAAAGATAAGGAAGGTGTAGACAGAACAAGTGCTGGACTTCAACTGAATATTTAAAAATATTAAACTGAATACTTAAATATTCAGTTGAAGTCCAGTGCTTGTCCTGCCTACACCTTCCTCGTCTTTGTTATTTGTGCACTGTTTCCAGTTGTAGCAAGTATTGCAACAAAATGGCGAGTTGGGCTTTTCGGTTCATTGCACACTAAAAGTGTCAAAAAAGAGGGCAAGAATTTACTCTGTTCCTGTCTTTTGGCACTTTTAGTGTGAATATTACAGTTAATCTAGAAGCGAGTATTGAATTGTTCAAAACTACTATTACAAAATTCAAACATGTGTGCAATCCTTTCACTACATGCTAGATGACAAGAATACTGAGAAAGTCGATGAGTACAAATATCTCTGTGTCAAACTAACTACTCATCTGACATGGATTAGCCATATTAACACCATTCCTTCTAACGCAGCAAGGACCCTTAGCAACATCTGGCGTTGCCTGAGTGCTCCCCTCCAAAACTTAGGAAGCTTGCCTAGAAAACTTTTATTCAATCAAAAATAGAATAGGCTGGCACAATCTGGAATCCTCACCAAAATTATTTAATCACTCAACTTGAAGCAGTTCAAAACCGAGTGGCCCACTACATCTCCACCAACTATGATTATACAGCTAGTGTCTCTTCAATGAAAATAAGCTTAAATCTATCTGCGCTTGAGGCACGCCGCAAGGTAAACACGCTTTTGCTTACTCCAAAAGCTTTATCATTGTCATCCCACCGTTAGAAGTTCATTCCTGGTTAATCCCACATGGTCATCTCGTCACCTCAAAAACTCCTGCAATTTTAAACGCATATCCGGTTTCAGTAACGCCTTTAACAAATCATTCCTTCCACTAACAATTGAGGACTGGAACGGTCTTCCAGAATCTCCCGTGTTAATCACTGACCCTGTGATTTTTAAAAGCTCCATCATCTAGCATTTTTGCTCTACTGATTAGGTTTCCAGCGTTGCTACTTTTCAGTTTTTGCTTGTGGTAGTATGCGTAATTTCTGTTCTTCTGTTGCATTTCCAAAATTTCATTGAGTAATTTCTCGCATGGCACCCTCCTTATGTAATGCCCTCACACAAAAGCTCTTAAGAAAAAAAAAGAAATGAAATGAAATGAAACACTATATAAGTTAAGCTTCATTTTAGGAGGGGGGGGCTTCAGTCCCATAAGCATTGTGAATGCAATCGCACATCATGACCCATAACTGTCCCAGTTAATTAGAATTTTCTACATCAAGGATACTTGACAAATTCGATTGCCTGCGACTTGAGGTATCCCAGGGCAGATGTCTCGGCGAAGGAGGACATGTTGAAGTGCACGCTGCGTTCCTCGGCCACGTCAAAGCCCTGGAACTTGACCGGCTGGGCGTAGTTGACGAGGGACGAGAGGAACGGATGTACGTGTACTGTGGCCCCCGTGTACTGGTAGTGGGCCATGGCCAGCTGCTCCTCCAGCTGCGCTTCCACCTGGACGGCGCCGTCCGCGCTCCGGGTCAGCGTCGAGTAGCGCGTACTCCAGCCGCGCCCGTCCCTTGGGCTGCTTACCTTCTTCTCTGAAAGAGCCACGGCACGGGGAAGGGCGTCAGACGAGACCCCGTTCACCCGTCGAGGCCACAACCGCGATTTCGAAGAGTAAATAAAGCACGAAGGAGCGGAAAACTGGTAGCCATAAATCTTTCAACCAGCAACAACGAATTTAAAGATGCCTACCACAATTGGACGGATCATTTTGGTAGTGATATAGTGATATTTATTTTAGCTCGGGAAAGCCGCAGCACCGCAGAAGGACAAGTCGTCTGTACCATGAAGGCTTGCGGTAAGGACGAACTGCAGGCCTTCATGGTACAGACATTTGGGAATGTCTGTCTAATTATGATGGGCATCAATAAATCGGTTCTTGCTACTTGAAAAATTTGTGGGTTTTTTTTTTTTTTGTGCGTCTTTTGTCGTCTTCTACATTCACCAACACACTCCCTTTCTCCTTACTAATCTTCAATGCACGCCAGCAACCTGAATTCTATCGTCTGCAAGGTTTCACCCTTGGTACTTGGACCGATAGCTACGACAAAATGGCAAACCCATTGTATTTGTAGTACTGTCACTGAATGGTACAATTACAATTTCATCTTATCGTGCCTGGGAAAAGCACAGGCTTTGCTTTAGCATTGGTCCGCCGGCTTTGGCCTAAATGTGCCAAGGTGTCGACCAGAAGGCTGAGTTCAGATCGGCGGCATGCATCTGCCGCACCAGAATGCTGTGCTAACAGAAGTGTTTTTTGTGTGCGCTGAGTTTAAAGTACAAAAACTTAAGACTCCTTTTCTCTTTTCAGGGTTTTCCTTTCATGCAAAGGAATGGTAGACAGTGATTACAGGGTGGTGCTCAGAAATGTTTCATGCATTACATGGGCTACATGGTCCTACTGAGTAATCAGAATTTTCTGGAGTGCATCATATGATGTAGAAATAAATGATATGGTTCTATGGTCACCTGCAAATTTAAATTGGCAAAGGGTGTCTCTCCATTGTAAATTAAGATTAGTGCCTTCTACAATGCTTTGACAGTGTAGGCACAACAGAAGTCCTGGGGAAGGCAGGGGAAAGACTCCTTCCGTTTCTTTGTGTCAGTTTTTACGACTTCTCCAAAGAAACAAGCTGTATACAGAAGCTCTAGCTTGTTTGTGACATTTTCATCTCTGGCACATGATCTTTTTATTTTATTTTTGTTTCTTAAGAAGGAATGGTGCCAAGATGATCTGAGTTCTATTTATGCAGTCCCTTCTCAACAAGACATATTAGAAGACATACTGAGCTTTATTCCGTGCTTCTTGCCATGCTTTTTGGACCGCAGATTTCCAGTACAATAAATCCAAAGTTCTAGTTTTATAGCAGCACTGCCTTTCCCCAGTAAAAATAAAACTTGATTCAAATGCACAATTAGGATCCCTATAAATTTGTTAAAATGTTTCTTCCCTCTGCACCCCCGTTACACTTAATCCAATACATGACAAAAGTGGACAAGAGACAACACATTTGAAGAGGTTTCTATCGTGAGCGACTAAGCCACTAACAAGACAGATATGTAATGAAAAAGCAGCACGTAATATCTACACAAAGGAGCGTTCACAGCAAATCTATGTGCAACGTGAAAGTGAAAGATTAGAAAAAAGATGTGCTTAGGATTGCAGCTTTGCCATGAAAGTGAGAAATGGAGCTCAGATTACAGAAGCAGAACACAGAGCGAGAAAAAGGCGAGTATTCTTTCATCGTGTCCGGGCCTTTCTCGAGTCCTACATGGACTAGGCACATGAGCTTGCCCTCAAGCAGCAGGCTCTTTCTCTAAATTTATATTAAAGAAAGAAACAGCTAAAAAAGTAGGCTCTCAAGTATTTTGCTAATCATAGACGAGACCATTCGAACACCCCCCATAAAAAAAATATATTACCTTGATCCTACATCTAAAGTCAAAGCTAAGTAGAATGCAGCCTTGAGGGGCTAGTGAGACACAATATTTTCCCGCTAAATTTAGTGGACGGTGGTCACATGACATCAACCCCATGATCACGTCGTGATGTCAGTGACACTGTGATGTCATACGACATCAGCACACATCGCAGTATCACCAGATTAACCGATGTCACTTGAGACTGCGACATCAAGTTACATAGCCACGTAACATTGCAACGTCAGGTCACGTGGTCAATTGTCACTGTGACGTCACGACGCGACGTGACCCCGTGATCTCAAGTTACATGGTCACGTGACACCGTGACATCATGTCAGGTGACCACGTTACCTATAGTGGCACCAACTGTGTGATCATTATACGCCCGTGTTATCACATTTTCGCTACAACCCTTCGTGACGCTATAAACTTACTAGAAACCAGCCCATAACAGCATTCTGCTTTAAAAGAGAGCACGATGCGGGGTTTGACAAACGAACATAGTATTACTACTACCCGCAAAACGCCCGATTCAGTTTGTTTGTGGTCATTTGTTACAAGCTCCCAGACTACCCACTGCAATCGGAGAAGTGATCTCCTCCAATTAGAGAAAGCGTGAAGGTTAATCCCGTCGCCCCAGAGTTAATCCTAGCTGAGGGAACCGACGACGGTCCCAGGAGACGCGGGAAACCCGCGGGGGTCCATCCAATCAGCCGACCGTCCGGTGTGCGCGAGGAGAGGCAGACGCAGCACACGACAGTCACAGGCTTACGTCTTTTGGGTGGAATCTCAACGACCGAGTCCTTTAATTAACGCGAGGGGGATTCGAGACGGCAGCCGAGGCGCCGTCGCAGCTGCCGACGGAATCTCGGCCGCACCTGAAAGAGCCTGGGGAAGAGAGGAGAGTTACTGCAAGCCCTCGGAGGCGAGGAGGAGGAGGAGAAGGAGGAACTGGCCAGACCCCGCCCCCACACGAAGCAGCCAATGAGGCAGAAAGAGACAAGAAGCGGCGGACGAGACAAAGCTTCGGGACTGTGCACGGAACCGACGAGCGGCTCGGCGGCGAGAAAAGGGACACGGGGGCAGACACCGAGAAGGACAAGCCACGACACGAATTCCAGCGAGAGAGAGAGAGAGCAACAGCAAGAGAGAGAGAGGAAGAGAAGAAGCGGAGCACAGGGAAGAGGCGGACAACACTCGGCTATCGGTGCCTAGCACGAGGACCACACGGAGGGTGAAGGTGATGAAAAACCACTGGAGCCTCACTTTTGGATCCTGGCATTTCCTGCGTGGGCGAATTTGGGTCGAGCATTTCTGAAAGTTGGGCCAGGGCGTTACAAGGAGGTTGCAAGTCCTCGGTGAAGAACCACATTCCAACAACATACGCTTACCGTCTATTACAAAAAGGCATTTGCAAAAAAAAAGAAAAGAAGATTGCATTTGGAAAAAAATGTGCTCTGGTACGGGCTCTTTAGAAAACACTGAGAGACACGCAACAGAAAGCAGACTTATAGAATAAAAGACTTCTTAACATACTACTCAAAAACATAGGTGAAGCTAAAAAACGCCTTAACAGAGCTGTTCGTAACAGTTCGTAGTCCCTACAGTAACTTAAAAAGCAAGTTTCACCAAGGTGCAGGATGTTTCCGGCCTAGCATAAAGAAGAGAATCTTATTCACCTGCCTACTGTTGAAACAAGGCTAGGTGCCCATTCACAGGCACAAAAAGAGATTTACTGGCAGAAGGCACATCATGTCACACCTTGATGAACTAAACCAACAGCAGCCAGATGTCGGACTAAAGTTGGATGCATTAGAGGAATTATCAAAAGTGTGCTTAACTATGTCACCAACGTCGGTCATCCAAGTGGGTGGGTATAATATGTAGAAACGCCTCGGTAAATGCAGGTGGCAAGGACCGAAAAAAAAAAAAGAAGATAAAAACTACACCCTGTGGAAACTATACCAAAATACTTCTCTAGAGTACTGAAGGCAGCCAAGAGGTAGTATATACCAACTCTTTTTAGCATTTACGAGACTCCTCTACGCAACCTAGCCACACCAATGGCTGTCCCACATTTCCTGACCAAGACAGCTACTAGGGAATGTTTGCCCACTCCATTTTTAGGGGCGAAGCTCCTTAGGGGCTAGCCATATCCATATGTCCGTCCGATGTTCGGTGTCGAGTGCTCGTGCTCACGAGGACGTGAGCACGTGCTCGTGTAGGGAAAAAAAAAACAACAACCGCATCTCCACATGGTGAATGATGTTGACTGGGGCGAAGCTCTGGTGGTGCTTGCCTGCGTAGACGCTGAGCCGCAGCATGCCGAGCCTTTCGTTCGTTTTCATCCATGTCAAGCTGCGGTCAAATGCTCAAATGCGTATATAACCCCGTTCCATACCACACATTCTCTTTCTGACATGGATAAAAAGGAACGAAAGGGTCGGCATGCTGCGGCTCACTACCTACACAGACAAGCACCACCGGAGCTTCGCCCAAATCAACATCATTCACTACGTGGAGATGCGGTTGTTTTTTGTTCAGCTTTCTCTTTTTAACAAAAGCACAGAGAGATAGCCTGGCCCTGAAAACCATGTTATCCGAGTATCAGGAGGGTTGTGCAATGAAGTAGGCCACACGTGTCCTGATAACAATGGTCTGTTCCTCTGACAATGTAGAAAGTAATGGAATACACAAACTTCACTTGTCTTTCAGGGAGTATGACACTTGGGATATGAACCAGGCTAGCTCATGTATCTATAAGTATGAGTATGACCAGCATATCTAGGTCGAACAATTTTTCTCTGCCTTTCTTGGGTCACACATCTAAAGGTCTCCCACTCTTTCGTTTTCAATCGTTCGGCCTCCGTAGGGGACTAGGCTATCTTTTGGGATGACCCAGGATTTAAATACCCCCCTGATTCGAAAACCTTGTAAGGCTTCCAACCTTCCACCAAAAAAAGAAAGGTTTTCCAGGTCTTGAGAAAAGGCTGGAAACAACGATGAGCCAGCAGGGTTGAACCGGGCAGCAAGGTTGCTGTGGGTCCCACGAAGGGAGAGGTTGCGGGAAACACTCACCCCCTTCTCCTTCCTCGGTGGGCGCCAGGATGGTGACGGAGGCGTCCTCTTTTTCCTCTTCGTCGTCGTCGTTCTGGAGCTGCCCTTTCTTCCACAGCTCAAGCTCTCCTGCAAAGCGAAAGTGCATGTCGTGAATCACTGTGTTTACTCAGAACCACATAGAAGACAAGGCCTGCGCGTGACATCATCATCAGTGGATACCGCGACCCGCCCCAACAGGCAAACCCGCTAAAGCTCGACGAGAGTCGCCGCAAAGCCGCAGACGAACGTGTTTTGCCGTTGTCACATGCTAGCTCCACGCTCGTTGTAAGATGCCGCAACAGACGTGAGCTAGGCGGCTCTGCGTGGACCCACCAGTGACGACGTTTGGGGGAGAAAGGCCTCGTCTTCCAAGTGGTAAGGGTTTGCTCGACCGAGCCGTGGCTGGCAACCGGCACTCACGCTTCTCGTCCTCTGGCTTGAGCCGCTTGTTCTTGATGAGAATCTTTCTCTTCAGCTCGTTGGGAGTGGGCAGGGAGACGCATGGCTCCAGCTGCGGCGGTGCATGCACGCATGTCCGACAATCCCATTAGTCGGTCCGACTAAAGCCTCAACATGGCATGTGCAGTAAGAAGTATGCTGGACTTCGTTAGCTGTGACACAAAGGCAAGGACTGCTCCATGGCGACAGCGCAGCATAGCAGACACTTCCAGATACAGTGTTAAAGGCGAGGGTTTGATCCCTCGCCTTTCACACTGTGGATGGAGTGTCCAGTGTTTTGAAAAGTCTGCTTTGGAGTGCTGGCAATATAGAGAGCCTGCTGCTTGCATGTTTCAGCCAAGAACGTTTGGCATGGCACAAAGTGTAAGACTTTTAAACCATAAAGATTTCAGAGAGAAGGTGGTACTGTGCAAACTTTATTTAAATGTTGCAGAATAGTCTATGGCACAGCACAAGAACAGTGTGCACGTTTGGTAAGGTTAAAACGGCACTGCAGTCAATGCTACCATTGTGAGCCATCAAAAGGCTTCCTATTATTAGCCATAATTTTAGTCAGTCTAATATGCTCATTAAGGACAGAAAAAATGAATGCCCTACAAACAAGTGTGACTGACATGCAGATTTTGTTTACTGACGGCACTAGCAACCAGAATTTTAAACTGTTCTCTCAATGAAAGCGATTCAGGTTTGCCACTGTCACACTTCTAGAGCAATATCGGAGAGTGCATGCCAAGAAGGGAACTAACTGTCCAGTCACAAAAATGGTACATATACAAGAATGATCCAACTAAACAGGATGCAATAAATGCTAGACTAGGTTCAAAAGCATTTGCTATACACGAAACAGATACATAATACGAAAACTTCTCATCTTCTAATTGCGAAACATGCCAAATGTTTGAAGAATGCTTCTATTTCTGCTCAAAGTAACTAATTAAAATATAAACCCTAAACAAAGTATAAACAATTCTATTTACGACACAGCATAAAGTAGCTACACATGCGTGCATGTCCAGCGATCTCAGCTAAGACAAAGATGTCCACTACACTACTGAGGCAGACGAAAACATACAAACCATTCTTGCCATATTTAGACTTCCATAAGCCTAGCTAGTGGACAACATAATGATGTTAAGCCCCGATACTTACATATTAATTACACAGTACTAGCTTCATAATCTATCCTTCCCTAGATAGCTTTCTGTTCAAGGTACATGGTGGGATACAATTAGTGATGTTCTTCTGTGTTTAGATCTGGCTTGAGGCACATTCAAGTAACAAAATAACCCAAAAAAGTGAAGGCCAAAAAGTCTTTGGAACATGACCACATAGCTGCTATCAATGTGAGAGCACATTCACAGTTATGAAGCTAGAAACAGTGTTAAATGAGCGACCTACACCATTCACATAAAACATAAATTGTTCAGGCTCAAGAAGCAAGGCAGCCGATGCCATAATACGAAGAATTTATGATGAGTCTTACTACTAATTCAAAAAGTTGTAAAAAGTAAAGAAAAAAATCCTCTCACTACCTATTTTTTTTTTTTAAAGTATAAATCTAAACCCATCAAAACTCAAACGATGAGTGCTGTTAGGAAGCTACACTCAAAATAAATGCACACAATAGAAAAAAGCAGTTCTAGATCACATCAAGCATGCACACCTGCAGCCAAATGAGGAATCTAAACTGCCGACAACAAAAAAAAGTTTCCTTAAGAAAGACAGTAGTAGTCAAGAAAAAAGAGCCACAAAGAAAAACAAAAAGGCTCAATAGCATCTGTCATCCAACAAGACAGCATGCAATTAAAATGACCAAAAGCCAGTAAGGGCAAAAACAAAAAGAAAAAAGACAGGCACATTCACTTCCAAGTGGCAGTCCAAAAAGAGGAAAGTCAAAAACAGGGTACCGGATAAGATGGCAGTGGTTCAGTGAGAAGCAAGTCACCAAAGATTTCTGAACAATACTTGGCCAGCTTATATTGCTGCTTCTTGCTGGAAAAATGGACACCAAAAACACCGGTTGAGAAAACTGAACAGCCACAGCGTACACAAATAGAGAAGGACACTGCTCATTTGTCATCTTGTGATCACCGATCACAAGGTGAGAATGGCAGGGAGGAGCTTCGGATGCCCCGCCTCCAGCACGAGCTTTCTACCTTCGACAATGCGTCGGCGTCTGGTGCATCTCAAGTGCGCAGCCAAAGCACGGCGGAAGGCATGTAGCACGTGCTGAAGGCCGGGCATTCGAAAAACGCTCCCCGCGGTTCTCATTCTGTCGGCGACCACGCCTAGCCTAGCGTCGTGCCGCTACGAGTATGGGCTAGAAAGACTCACCAGCAATGGTTCTCAAATGAAAGGATGACGGGGTAGTCGGATGTTACAAATGCACAGTCTCTGATGGCGTAGATGACGTCCTGAAATGTTGGGACGACAACTTAGAGGTTTGTCCGCTCTCTCGTCGAGGAACAACAGTTCCGTGGCGCTATTGTATCCTGCGCAGCACGTGCTAGTGTGCCGCTGGCCCAAAGAGCTGCTACATATTAATTTCCAACCTCAAAAGTATCACACTCTGCATTTCTGCAATTTCCTTGAAACTGCTTCCTCCTGAACACAAACAAGACCCGAAACCCCCAATCCCCCCAAAAGATCCCCCACACGAACCAATATTGGTGCAAAAAACCTCAAGAAAAATTAAAAAAAAAAAACAAAAAAAAAACCTGCCTACTGTTTCAATCTACACCATAAAATGTGCAACACAGGTAGCACAAACATTGTCATTTTTTTCCGTCTTAGTCGAGCATGACAACGACTTGAACTAAATTTTACCGCTTAAGTGTGGACCCCAAATACCACTAAGCACTTTCACCACAGCAGCAGCTTTGTTGACAGGATTTCAATCCTAGGGGAAATGCAAGGAAAACTGGCAAATTGTTCATTTAAGATAAAAGAAAAAAAAGGCAGTTGCTTCGTTTAAATATATATAAATGTATATTTTCCACACTTCTCCACAAAAAAAAAAAAAAAAGTTTTTTGCATTTTAGGTTGACATTGCAAAGCTGCCCTTGATGACACTCCACTGCACTGAGAGATTAATTACACATCATCAAACTGGACCCTCAGGGCACTGACTGCAAGCAAGTGCTTAGCTAAAGAATGTTTGCTAGAGTAGTGATTGTGCTTTCATGAAACGAATAGATGCACATCCTCGTGGGCACCTTGAAGAGGATGTCAGTGCACATGGCCTTCCCATGAGTGATGATAGGCTCTTCGTCTTCCCCCTTTCCGTCCCAGCAGTCCAGCTCCACACACCTGCAAACACGGGCACGGCTTGCAGATGGATTCCTTCAGGCAGCAAGCATGTTTTCGAGAAAACTTCTAGTTCGAGGAAAACACTCCAGCCTTACAGCATAAACACACATGGGCACATACAAGCTCCAAATCAATTCAAATAGCTGCAAAAAAAATTAAAATAATGCAGTCGTGTTAATTTACAGTACAGTCACAGCGATAGCCGCGACACGTCAAGGCGATGATGATGGGCTTCGGTGTCACGTTCACATAGTGTTACTGTGGGGTGCGTGAGCAAAAGTGTTTGAAACAAAATAGAGATCTGACCATTTTATTTTGAATGCTTCTTTCCTTTTTGCCCCAGAGCATTGTGAGTCTCACGGCACAAACTCTTGGCATTGACAGTGCTAGGACGGCATTTTGTTTTCAGCTATTTTTGTTTCTAGAGAGTGCATGCAGTGGGCATAGGGTACTACAAAAACCCAAATTATAGAGCGGGTTATTAACGATGCGGCGCAGCTCAGTGGTGAAGTCTCTACTCCGCACACAATGAACCCAGGTTCAACTCAAGCAGGCAATCTTTTTTAAGAAATTTGCGACATCGCAACGAACGCCCAACATCGCCAACTGCAACATCAACAACTACAACAATGGACGTCATTTCCAGTGGCGGGAAGAGGCCATAAAAGTCATCGCTGTAAAAGAAATTGCAAGTTGCCCCAAACATTGTGTATTATTGCTAACCAAGGATGAATTACAAACAGGAGCAGAATCACACCATGCAGAGTAGGACGGGTATTAACAGGCAGTGCATTTGGAAGATACACCTCTTTTCTAGTGAAAAGTCAGTGACAGTGAATTACACAGAAGTTTAGTTTCAGCTACTTCGACTTCCTACAGTTATGTTAGTAGTACTGCAGAACGCCCTACAGTCTGGTATAGTAAAGTTATGGATATACTGAAGAAAAGTTGAAATAGTATGCTTGCAATAACCATATTCCAGTCATTTGAGACACTAACAGAGTAAAGATACTAATCTAGTAATGATTTCTCAAAAAAAACAAAAAAACTTGACTTAGCTATACAGAAATTCTCTGTAGTATCAGCGCTAAATAGGAAAACATCAATGGCCACGAAAGGAGCCCCAAAACTATTTCGCACCTTGTGACAAACAACCAAGAAATTGATATATTTTTTATCATCTGCATTTTTTGCCTTACCAGCCTCCCGCCTGCTGCATGAGTGCTAATTTTAGTGCACCTCCATACTTGCCACATGCTTCAAGCCATCCTAAAATTGACTGATTTAGGGGTTTTTGATGATGCTCAGCAAGCCTATAATTGAAACCATGTTTATTTTCACTAATTAAAAAATTACTTAGTAAATTTTAGTTAATTAGTTTGATAATTTGTGTGCTTTTGCATTTGCAATCCTGATGTCCACCATGGCTGGTAGTTTGTTCCCTAAAAGTTGTCTTTTCGCAACCACTGTATTTGTAGGGATTTTGAATGCAGCTCTTAGGCGCCCGTTTCCGGCTTGAGCGGCGTCGCCGTCGCTGTCGGCATAACTACGCATTGCATTATGAGATGTTTCCCATAACAATGTCACACGGGACGTCACAAGGGTTACTAGGGTGATGAGTGACGCCACTCGTAACCGTGGTGTTGCATTATGGGACGTTTCCCATAATGACGTCACATGTGACGTCTCGAGGGTCAGGAGTGACGTCTCGAGGGTAGCGAGTGACGTCACAAAGGTCACTTGTGAAGGTCATGACCTTCACGAGCGATGCCAAGAGAGAGGAAGGGGGAGGAAGAAGGGAGGAGGAGGAGAGCAGAATGAGAGGAGGAGGAGGAGGGAAGTAGAGGCGGGAGGGGGGAAGGAGCAGAGGAGAGAGTATGGAGGAGGAGGAGGGGTATACCTTCCTCTCCATATCCTCCCTTCCTCCTCCCCAAGAGCTGCACTCTAATTCGGCATTACAAAAAGTGGTAAACGTCTTTCATTTTTTTTTTTAAATATTTGCAGAAACATTTGGTAGTAATAGGGTGATCGAGGATCGCACCTGCACCCAGCGAGGAGCACCTGTCGGTACATCTCGACGGAGGACTTTCCGCCGAACTGCCTGCCCGTCAGGTAGGTGTTGTGGGAGGAGTTGATGTAGTAGTGGGACAGGGGCTGGTCCATGTCCATGTACATGTCCAGCCGGTCCAGGAACACCGGGGCATTCTCGTCCGACATGAGGTAGCGCACCAGGCCCCCCTGGCTCAGGCGCCCCTCCTTCACCAGCTCCGGCGATGTCTCGTACGCACCCACAATCTCGCGCACCCGGCGTTCGTCGTAGAACGGGTGCAGGATTTCATTGAGACGTGGGTCACGCTGCTTCTGCGAAGGGAAACCCATACGACACTCAATCTGGCCTTTTGCTACGACTACGAATCTCCGACCGGTAAGTTTGCAATCCTGTCCCATTAATATGTCGAAGTGGTCCGCAAGTGGCAATGAACTGCATCACAGGCGCTGGCATGTCCTACTGTTGGATGTTGCAATCCTGGTGGCTAATCATAAAAGTGCTGGTGAAAAAGGTGAGCGCACCTAAGGGTCGCTGTTGTCGCGGCGCCCCAACTCTTTGCTGCGGAAGCTTCCATGGACCGTCGAGCTGAGAGCGAACAACGACAGAACAGGTGTCTGCCACCTCCACCTACGCTGCTGCGACTCTGCCAGAATCACGGCAGGCAACGGCACGGCCCTTTTATGATGTCGAGTGGAAAACGAAGAACCACTTTTGTAGACGCGGTAAACACACCGGTTGGAGATGAGCTCCGAGCACCGTGCTAGAGCTGCGGTCTCTCAATTTATCAAATGGTTTGGAAATCAGAATCTGAACTGAGAATTCCAGCCCTTGTTTGGACCCGAGCATCCTTAGAGACAGGCAGGTTCGCCTAAAAAGCATAACGGAGTGTCTATACCTATATTGCTTGTGGTGGTACACACGCTGAGCGAGTTCTGAGAAAAGAAGCACGCCGGTTACAGGTAGGGTTCCTTGTTTTCTGAGGGGTTTTTTCTTTTAATTCGAGGGTGTTTTTTTGGGGGGCATTTATTTTTCCTACACATTCATTGTTTTTCCGCATCTGTATTTGGCGTCGGACAAAAAGTTGCCATTCACCGGGGTGCTTATGTTGAAGAAAACAGGACACGAATGTCGGATTCCCCGACCCAAAGAATGCGCGGGTAACCCAAAGACCTGAAAACGTCCCAGTACAAATATGAGAAGGAAATCAGATAAGGGGTTTGGTTCACCAAAAAGAGAAGCAGCCTCATACTGTCCAGTGTGGCTGCATTTGAGGTGAACAAAAAGAAAAGCTGTAAACAAAGATTTCTTATTGGAAAGATTGGCTTTTAATTTTTTTTTAAGACAGCTCCGATTTGAGGTTTTTTGGTTTTCTCCAGTTTTTATGAGAGCAGCTAAAGGGTTACTGCCAGGTTTATCGGTATACACTGAAAACACAAAATCCTAGTTATAGGTAATGGCACGCACTGGGAAATATGCTGCCACACAATAAACCTGCAGTTTCTGTGAAACTTCTGGGTTGATAGCAAGTATTGTCAGTTTTGGAAGCATAGAAGTAACAGGCTGAACGTAATCGAGTCACGGCTGTTGCGATAGCGCGCGTCGCCATTTCCGCATGTTCTATAGCTGAGCAGCGTCTCTCTTACCTCGTTGAGAAATGAGATGAACTGCTTCAGGGTGATGTAATCAGTCTTTCCTTCCGTTCTAAGAAACAAAGAACAAAAAAAAAATTTTTGGTCAAATGTTTTCATTACATGATGCCAGCAAGCAGATTTTTAATATTACTGCCTGTGCGTAGTGCCCACACACAAAAAGTATGATTACTGCAGTAGGCTCGCAATAATAATTCAAACTCAAATACTTCATGCTTTTGGTTAATTCAAACAAATTTCAAAATTTGTGTTGTCCCGCTATGCTTTCAATGTATTTATAAGCCACTTAACTGGAACGACGTTTTTGCGTAATTCATACCTTTTGTTCTCGCAGCCCTGTTGAGTGTGCTTCTTTTCGAGCACCGGTGCACTGCGGAGAAACAACACCCGCAGAGATTGCTCCCGCGGGTGTTGCTTCTCTGCGGTGCGCCGGTGCTGGGTGAGAAGCGTGCTCAATGGGGCTTAGGCAGGAGAGACACGACAAAAACGGGTGCTGTGCATCAGTTTCCATAGCAACTTGCGCAGACGCTGTGACATTATGGCATGGCATAGGTCCACATCACAGCGTCCGTGCAAGCTGCTATGGGGACTGCCATGCCGCGGCGCCCGTTTTCATCGCTCATATTTTTTTCAGTATGAACAAATTTTGTTTTGAGGCGTCATGCGCTGTCTAAATAGTAAATAGTCCATGATAAACAACATTTTTGAGAGATGAATAAACTTTGTTATACAGCTCAACAATGTTTCATGTGTGGCATGCCTGCTTATGATTAATTGGCCTGTATAGATGAAATCATTAATTATCTCCTTAGTAAGTGTAGCCATTCATATAACAAATCATAATTTTACCTTGCATCATATTTAGATTACTTTTTGATAATTCAAACCTCTGGTAATGCAAACAAAATTTGTGGCTTCCTGAGTTTCAATTAATGAGTCTTGTGTATAAGAAAAGCATATAATGCACAAAAAAGCTGAGCTCCAAGACAGTGCTCTCACCAGCAACCTATGATATTACAGTTTAACTGCATCCAGGATAAAGCAGTGTCAAGCATGGTTAAAGGAGAATCAAGCCTCACTTTGCTCAAAGATCACAAAGTGCATGTTACAAAGAACATTCTGCAGTTTACACTGCAATTCAACAATTTCGTTAAGTCATTCAAAAAGCAAGTGGACAAAATAGTTCTAGTGAGCTAAAAAATGTGAGTAGCGAGGCTGTGCGATTGAAATATTTTAATTTTGAACCACCTCAAGTAAAACAACATTGCAGCGATTACGCAAGGTGCCCGAATCCAAAGCTATAAGATTCTTGCATTACTTTATATTCACTTTTTTCAGGTGCATTTTTTTAATCAGCCATCAAGTACAGACTGTTTTATACCAAGGTGCAGATGGCCTTTGTCCTGTTGTGCAGCAGAGTGCTTAGGTATTATCGAGAATGTGGCTGTCTGTATCGAAAATTCAAATTTGCAAAGGAATGATGGGTCTTGTTTCCCCAATGCATAGTAATAACCAACTGCCAGGCTCGTTTTCAAAACCAAGTAGCATTGACAGACCAATGCAGCAGTGGGTTTTTCCCTCAACTCACATGGTGTTGAAGAGCTCTTCGATGTCGTTTCGGGGGCACACTCGCTGGTACAGCTCTTGGAACTTCTCCAGTGTAAACTCCTTTGGTTCAATCACATCATTCTAAGATAGATAAAAAAAACAAAAAGGCAGTTGTGGCTTTGCAAAATTTCCCACAAATGACACAAACTTGCACAACCCAAAGCAAGCATCATGTTTGCCACATTATCTCCACGTAACCTGCCTGCACACATTTCGAAAAGGACCTCTGAATAACACTAGAATTCAAATTACTACTAAAGAAGCTGGGTACACAATTCAATAAACTTATATCACAAACTCCATCTGCCATTGAAAATGTATTGATAATTTAGCCATCTGTGTGCTAAAGATTAAATATCTTCTTGCTGGTCCTTAGCTCAAACCACTGCCACAATGTCGGCTGCACGGCATTACAAACCAATTTATTAATTGTAAAGCTACAACATTAGTCGTCATTTAAACACCCAGGTAACAGTCAGGGGGGGGGTAAGCTTGAAATTGTCTATAGATCAAGGCTCGTTCACACACTTGCATTTTCTTAGGACTTTGTGCCTTAAAACCTCTTCAGACCTCTTAGGACGAGAGAAAACACTGGTATGCTGGCCCCCCCATCTATGAGGTGACCCTGGAACTTCATTTCGCTAGAATGAAATTTTTGCGGCATTCGTGAGATCAGATGTCCGTACAATGAGAAATGGTCATTTATAACATTGTCAATTGACATAGTCAACATAATTGGCCCAAACCACTATTTGCTTCGAATTCCCTTCGAACTCAAAATCCACTACTTGTACGTGCCTAGTTATACCGTAAAATACCGGACAAGCGCCTACTTGAAATCTGGAGATAATCGCAAAAAAATGAGAAGGGAGCTTGTCCGGCCATCAATTTTACACATAAATGTACTGTGAATATTTTCTCAGATCTTATAAATTTGGGAATGGGAGCTTTGTGTGAAATGGGTGGATGCGCAATATTCTACGGTAGTGATTTTCTGAAAATCTCAATAAAATATGGGACCCGTTTTTGGTAACTGCCGCCATTTAGTTCCATGTGCTCGAGGGCTCCGTCGGCTGCCATTGTCCCATAGAAAATTGCAGAAAATCACTTATTACTTTATAATGAAATAATGGTTCGTTTTTGAAACTTTGGCAACTGGCTTGGACCACTAGTGCTACATTTGGGCGAAGAATGGGCGTTCGGCAATGCATAGTTTATTTTCTATGTAAAAAAAGATCCTGTAAATGTTTTTTTTTGGGACAGCCCGCACAACTGCCCCAAATGGAGAGAAGCCCTTCTGAAAGCTGTAAGCGTTAGGGAAGGGCACAGACGTTGCCTAAAGTGGTTAGGCTGGCCTCACCATCCTAATGAGTTTAATTAAGTGCAGTTAGGCTAAATCAATGACCAGACTAGTACACAATACGTAAAGCAATGACTGGAAACGAGAACAGGGCATTCATTAAACTGAGACAATGAATAACTGCGCTCACCTTTCCACCTGGCAGGCCCACGTCAGCTATGCACTGGTAGACCAACTTCTCCGTTTTGCCAGAGGCAAATGTTTGGGCTATTCTGTGGGAACGGAGGGGCAGGGTATATAAGAAAACAGTGTAGTGACGTGCACGCAACCTTATACCGCGTTGAACCGTTTATGAACTTCGAGAGCCCACGAAGACAGTAAAAATGCTTAACAGAGGATTGCAATGGTGAAGCAAAAAGTTTCTTTTTTTGGCTAGCATGCAAACCAACTCAAGTTCTTAGCAGTTCCATCAACTTGTTAACACAGTGTTTCGGATATACGGCCAATATGGCTGCAGACTCTAGTTTCTTTGGGTTTGCCGTTGTGGCAACACTTCCTATTTCGTGGCAAGTGGGGAGGTCACATTCAGGCACAGAAAATAACCACAAGTCAACAGTAGAGTGAAGAGACTAACCTTCGTACTGGAAGCTTTCCCTCAGGCTCAACTAGAAACCCCAACTTGATCCAGCTAAAGAAAAGCAGACAATGGTCATTTTGTAATGCAAAAGTTCGGACATAAAGGAGACATTTTTATTGCTGCCACTCTCTCCACAACCTTCATTTATTTTATTCCCTCTCTTTCCGCCTTTGTCAAGAACAAGGAAATTTCTAAGACAAGCAATTACCATTTAAACTACTGCCAAGACCGGTTACAACAAAGTCAATGGGAATCTGAAATCACTTTGCTATAGTATCAGCTTCTTCATTATATCTCGAGTCCATAAAAGTAACACGCAAAACAAAACAAAAAGATAATACGAGCTGTCACGGGCACATGTTTATTGTGCCTGCAAAAAGCGGTCGAGGATTCCCTGCATGCGCCATCTGCAAGGAGCCGCTTCTTCACAAATGTGAGAAGCTCCGATCGAAAGAAGATCCTGTGAGCTATGTACGAACCATGTTGACAGCTGCGACAGCCGCCGTCGAGGACGCCTGCGGTGGACGGCATTTTTTATGTTCATGCGCACTTCGTTGAGGATGGCGGCATGCTTTTGTTCAAGGAGATTGCCTTCGTCTTCCCCGTCGCGGTGCTGGCGGAGACGTGACTCGCCATTGTTGAGTGGCAACGAGTCGCCGAATCGGTGCTTAAGCAAAGCTAGACTTTTGTGCAGAGAGCGCTAGCGACGCCAACACGGAACACGAAGCAAACAAAGAAGCTCACAAAGTATTGAGTACGCACTAAGTTCGTGTTTCGTCGCTATAGAGAGCTTATATTTAAAAGAGGGGGCAACTGCTCTATTGGGGTCACGTGGTTTGTGGGCCATGTTTCCAAAACGACCTGTAGCCTGCAAGGAGTCAAAAGCGTTCACTGTCTGCAAATGTGTCCGCCTCTCCGTTCGGATTCTTCGCCACACTGGTTACAAGACAACAAATGTAGGGGCACTCCCGCCAATCTGCCCAGAAGGCATCCGCCATTAAATTGAAAATGCTCTCCATGGTTGGAGTTGCTCCCTCTCTTAGACCTAAGCTTTCTCTGTTGTCACCGTATCGGCACATTGTCGCTAGCACTCTGAACGCCCCTATTGGCATGTCACAACAGCCTCTCCGTATGCAATGTGAGAAAGCCGTTTCCTAGATAAGGAATGGGAAGCAGACGACGATGCAGAGGATGTTTCCAGCATCGTCTGCAGCCCGTTCTGGGTGGCTGCTCGGTCACGGCAGCAAAGTGTGGCAGTTTGTGACTTAATAAACTCTTTTCGAACTTGATAATATTAAAATTATCACAAAATTTATATTTCTGATAATTTAAAAATTATCAAAATTGATCAATTTACTTTGCTAAAACAGGCACAAATACATTAAAAAAAGTGCAAATGGGAATGGGAAATTGTGATTGCTTTGCTATAGCCGCTATTTCGTTACAAGTGACTTCGTTATAAACGGGCGCGACAGTAACAGAAAATAACCAACATATAAAACTGATGGATATATACTCTACTATTCATATAGCATGTTTATCTTTTCTGATTGGAAGTTGTGTTAAGCAATGCACTCATTTTTTCAGAGTTGTTGCCGCTAGTACGTGGAAAAACATTCCTTCATGCTTGCATAAACATATTTTATGTTTTTCTGTTTGCTGGGAAGCTCTGCAGTGGCACAAAACCCACACGGGTTTTGTGACATGAGTGACACATTTCAAAATGAATTGTGACTCACTGCTTCTCGAGGCAAGTGGCAGGGCAAACGTTGTTTGCCTTGATGTTGTTGGTGATGCTCCTCAGGCCAGCTTGCCACACCTGCAGGTACGGTCATCACGGTCACACAGACATACTCTCCGGTGCCAGGTGAGAGGATACAAAACAATTCAGGTGTCATTACAGTCCAGTGTTGCCAGATTGCTAGAGGATTCTGCCGTAATTTGACGGAATCCTCATTAGTCCCGTAACACTGAATCCGAACCATAAAGTCAAACTGACAGGGATTTCACCAAATCTAATTCCCCGACAGACTGGTAACACTGGGCCAAACTGCCTGATCCCCCAAAGGTCATCCTGGAGATATCCCACACTGCCTAGTGATAGTTACAAAAATGCAGAGGGAAAAGAAACTGGCTTGAAAGGTGTGGTCGGTTTGCCTTGCTGCATACCCGACCCGGAGGAATAACTTGGAGCCAACGGTTTCAACAACAAGAAACTACATTTAATAAGACAAAGACAATCACAATACTAACATGATTACTTCAGCTCGGCGGAAATCGGCCGACCACCTTCGCGCCGCTCCTGTCTCGCCTAATATAGGCGAGCGGCACGACGCGCGCGTGGCCGGCTGCTTGCCGCCACCTTGCGGCCGAATGATGGCCGCGGTATTTTGGGTACCGGGCAACCGTGTGCCCCCACAAAGGATAAAATAAAAAGGAATTATGTTTTCTTTTCGTTTTTAAGCTAGGTGGCACAAGCCACCGCCCTTCATAAAGGGTACAGCCGGTATCATTCATCCCGTTTCTGCTAGCTTGGGTGGTACAGTAAACCCTCGTCAACTCGAAGTCATAAAAACTAGAAAAAATTCGAGATATGCAGAGTTTTGAGATAAACAAGGTACCGAATTTTCATTGCACCGATCGCACATTGTGTGAATGGAACCCCTTCAACAACTGCGCCAATTGACTAAACACAAACACGGTGCCGCACGGCGCTGTGGAGAGAGCAAAATGACTGCAACGAAACTACCAACAAGCAACTCATAAGATGAGACAGCAAAACTAGAAAGAATACAAAAAAAAAAGAACCTACAAGAAAATAATGCAAGAAAAAGATGATGAGTGAAGATAACATTGAGCACGAGGGAGAGAGACAGTGGCACCAAGCCTTAGTGAGGAGAAAAAAAAGAAAGACAACAAACATTCTTGAGGCGCACGCTGCTCTGCACGTTGCCGCTCTCATGACATAGGTCTTTTTTTTTTGCTAGTCGCACGCGCGCACAATTATACACAAGTTTTATTCATTCTTAGGCGTGTTTTTGGATTGCTGTTTTTTCATCAATCAATGTTTAGGTCACCAGTTCAATGTTTGCTGTGTCCTGCCTGTTGACGCTAAGATTTTGAGATATCCAAGGTCGGTCCTGAAAGCTTATCGAGATATGCGACGAGTAAATGGATTGTGCCTATCATTATATGAGAAGGAAATGTTTCGACTTCATCGACATTTTGAGATAACCGAGTTTGAGTTAACGTGGGATATATTCCCTGGCAGCATAACTGGTTACGTTGCTGCTAAGTGCAAGCTTATAACGAGCTTCCTCACATATTCCACAACAGGCACTCCACACCATCAGTATTGAAGTTCTCACAAGGCAAGTTGGGACTCATCCTGAGCATGCACTGTGAACACTGTGCGCTCAAATATGGCACCCAGTGAACATCACCCATACAGTATAGATATCATGTCCGTGGTACTACAGCATGTTCTCGGCATGGCTGACACAAATCACGTTTTGGATCGAACATGTTCCAACCACGAAGTGGAAACAAGCCACGTGGTGCATGGAACACACACTGTCCCAGGGCAGCTCTACAGTCAGACATCCACTGGGCCCTGACCTTTGCGGTGTCCGGGTCTGGGCAGACGACGTGGGTGTAGTTGATGTTGACCATGTCGGTGCCCGAGCAGATGGTGAGGGACACCTCGTCCAGCCCATAGCGGTTCTTGCTGCTCAGCTCGGCCAGCAGGCGGACGTCCTGCACAAGCCGTCATGCAGACACTAGGCTGAACCCCTGCCTCTACCGGTACAAGGTCACTTTTCCTCTACTACCGCTTGCTCACGGGCACCAACAAGCCCAAACTGTACGTGTTTTTACCTGAATTCAAGTCAAGATAGCCCTTGATCCAACAGGCCAAGACAAAGCCAAAATAAAAATCATAAAACAATACAAGGACAAAATGAAGTATGCTACTAGCTCTCTCCATCCATACTTTGTGATGCACTTTTCTGAATTCACTTTTTATTAGTGCTGCATACATATTACAATTTTCAAATAGTTGTTCCGTATATTGCGCTATTCGATATTTGTTTTGAGGTGAACTGTGATATTCATACTTCTCGAAGTGTTCATCTTGGCAAGTTAGCCCCGTTGAGTGCGCTTCTCGGCGAGCACCTGTGCATTGCGGGGAAGCAATACCTGTGGAGTTCGCGGGATCCGCAGGTATTGATTCCCGGCAGTGCACAGGTGCTCGGCGAGAAGCGCACTCAACAGGACTAACCGAATGCGATTATGCAAAGGCATGCATGTTAGACAATGATCTTTTGACAGCACGCATTCATCATTCATGCCTTTTTTTTTCTTTTTTTTTGTACAATTTGAAATAGAAGAAATATTTGCACATAGCAAGCGGATTGATAAATCCCCTCAATTGGGATAAGTGTAAGAAATCTGTTGTTTACATACAGTTATATTAAAATAATCTGAGCTTAGAAGTGGATGAGTGGAAGGTTGGAAACAACCTTGGAATGTTAGAAACAACCTTCATGAGTTCAGCTGAATTTTTGTTTAGGCATAGTGCACGGTAGAGAGACTTGAAAAAAATATTTGATATTAAATTAAAATATATTCGACTGTACTAGTATTCTCTTTCACAGACATTAGTATTGTCTTTCTTTTATATCAGTGTAAGGTCTAAATATGTTATGCACATTCAGACGAGCATGTAAGATGTGTAAATACCAGTCTGCCTCAAGAGTGCATCTCGAGTAGCATGCCTACATAGAAGAGATGACTGCACGCACCTTGGGAATGCCACCAGCTCTGATGTCGTTCACCTGTGACAGCTCCAGTACCTGACCGTCCTGCAGGAAGAAGCAAAGAATTTTGCTCGTTAATTCAAGCAGACTCCTGGCATGCATCCATGTACAAGCCTTTGTCTATGAGGGCTACCGAATGGATTATTTACAGAAATGTGTGCCATGAACTCTGAGATTGTGTGTGGTACTATGCTTACTTTCACCTCAAGAACTGTAGTAAAATAAAGTATGGCTTCTTGCAGAGCATTACTAGTTTCCCTCTGTTTTGCTGAGAATTAAGTAAGTTACCTTATTAAGACATACACGCTTCAAACACCAAAAGCATCGCTTCTGCCTCCAACAACCAAATCTTGTAAGAACTACTTCGATCGGCGTATGAACATCGAGCAAAACTTTCTTTTTTCTTGGGGTGAAAACAGGTATAGATAATTTTTTTTTAATATTTATCCACGTAACAGTAGAATAATAGAGAACCTAGCTTGAACAGAGTATCAGGATCTATGTAAAAATCAAAAGCAAAACATTTTGAGGTTGTTGATTTTTTTCTTCAGGTGCCTCAAGGAGAGCAAGAAACTTCAACCTTTTTCAAGAGGTGTGGTTTTGAATTTTTGAATTTTCTTTGAGGATTCTGAAGAAAAAGTTATCCACCTCAAAACAGCCTGCCTCTGATTTCCACACAAATACTGATATTCCAAATGGGCTCCGAATTTCTCTGTTAATCCGTGTAATTTGAATGTTTTATTTACAGGTGAGCTTTGTCATTCTGTAACAGCGGAAAATCTTGACTATATGCACAGAAATGAGTGACACGCTCACCCTGCCCTCACTGTTCCAGTAGATGAAGAAGCCATATTCATCCACACGAAACAAGGCGCCGGGCTCATACACCACTTGTTCTTTTTCCTAGAGGAAGAAAACGAGCACCTCAGATGAAACGAGCATCCATCACACGAGGCAGAACTCAATTCTCAACGAAACAAAATAAATGCAATGGCACACCCATAAACAAACTGAAGGTGGTAAGGAACACAGAAGAAAGACATCACATTATGGCTCATGTATGCAGAGTCATCGCTCCTTTTTAGCGCACTTGTTTCTGTTCTTATGGAATAAAGTGGCTCTTGCCCAAGGAGGAGTTGGATTGCAGGCATAGAAACTTGTATCTGGGCATACGCACCTTCTCATATCGCAACTCAACAAAAATCTAACCATACACCCAGACTGCACAGTTTATTTTGGCTTAAATAAACTAGACAAGCCTTACTGAAAGAGAGAAACGAAAACTTGGCAAAAATTGGGGGTGTTTTTACAAAGGATCAATAAGTAATTAGAATGTTGTTACAGCCGCATCATATTTCACAGGTGCGCCATTTCGCACAAAACAATCGAGCACCTCGGATGTAAAAAGTAGGGATAGCAATCGTCACCTCCTCCCAGCGGTCAAAGATGCATCCCTTGAGCAGTGCGTCAGGGATGGTCCGTTGCCAGTTGAAGTCATAGGCCTTTGTCATGCTGGACCTGGAGGGAGACGCACAGACAAAAAATCTCTCTCTGCTCACAGGAGCACGGGGCAAGGCAGTCCCATCAGAAACGACAATGCACATTTCACAGACTATACTACTTATAGTTAGAGAAACGAATCCAAGTAGTTGCACACAGCATCCTAGAGCGTTATTCAAGTGTAAAATAAATTGCACGAATCGTTGGATGGACGCAGCCGGCTGCATCTGATTGCAAATGCGTCAGTAGCTTACCGTTTGTGGCACGTGTCGTCCTTCGTCTATTTCTGCAGTTGAAGCGTGTTGAATACGAAGCTATTCGAGGCTTAATGTCGTACCTGGCATGACTTGCACTCTTTGCTGTCAGTGCAAAGATGTGCGTGCCTGCATGCTTAGATGGTTGACACGCTTCATGTGTGTATATTCATGCAGCATTCATTTAAATATTATCCCTGACAAACAGTAGTTAATAAAGATATGCCAACAAGCTTGCAAAATACTTTAAAAACAAACATTGCAGTAAAAAAAATTCTGCCTTTTTTTAGTTTTTTTTTTGTTGTCACTCCATGCCACACTTGATCAATCATTGGTTTTCTCTTTCTTTGTCAAGCAAACGAAAATGAAAACACTGAGCAATATAAGCTCCTCGCAATATATATTTTTTTTTTTTTAATGTCAACATATTAAATATTAAAAATAGTGCTACAGAAAGTTCCAACATCCATCTTTCACACAATAAAAGAGCTGGTAATGACACCCAAATTCATTTTCACAGACAGGGACAAAACTCCTAGTTTAGAACGCAAAAGACTGCGGGCAATTTAGCAAACGTCGAACAGGGCAACTCTCCGTGGTCAGGTTGCGACAGTCTGGAGGTGACAAAAACAGATGGAAAGCTCTGGCCCATGGGAAAGTAACTACAATATATCTACCTTTAGCTCCTTAACACTGCAGAGCTCCAGCATAAGTATGGTGCCTGGAAAACACCTTCAACTGGCGCAATCAGCGTCCTACACCGCACACACATCGAAAGTGGTCCAGAAGTGGCAATGAATAACATCGCAGGAGCCACCGCGTCACGCCGTCGCGATCCTGGTGGTCTGTCGTAGAAGTTCCAGCAAAAAGCATGAGCGAACGGAAGTGTCGCCATCGTCGCGGCATCTCAGGTCGTGGCTGGTGAAGTTTCTGTGAACCATAAAGCAGAAAAGCGACCCACAGCGGAGCAAGCGCCTACCATATTCACCTCTGCAGCAATGCCACCACCAGAATCGCGGCGGGATACAGTGTGACACTACCACGACGATATCGGGCGGAAGTCGAGGGACCACATTTGACGGGCACCCTCACCTCAGCAGGAATTCCACCTCACGTGTTTACAGCCCGGCACCCCCGGCAACATCGCGAGAGGGGAGTACTCACCCTGGCAAGGAGACTCAGAGTGGGCGCATCTCTGCGAGGACTGCCCTGTCAGGGAGATCCCATTGGCGACCCTCCCGTCCTAAGGATTCCCTGCAGGAGAGAGGAGCCCCGTCAGGTCGATGCAGCGACGGGACGCTTGCGGGGCTTGTGCCGAGGGAAGCCCCGCTCGGTAATGTGCCCCTTTTCTGCGCTATCCCGACGACGAGAAACCTTCCGACCGGCCTTCCAGTGCAGCCTCCCACGCAACTGTGTTTACCGCTTTTGAAAAGGGAATCTGCCGCAGCCGGCGGTTCTGGACCACGCAGAAATTAAACCATTCACTGGTGCAAACTGGTTTTGAAGGTAAAGGCCCATTCACACACTTGCAACCGAGTATGACCGAGAGAAACAAGACCTGTTGGAACCTCTTAAAATTTCTTTGGACGAGAGAACACACTGGCACGCTGGCACCATCTATGCGCCTGGAACTGCATTTGACAAGAGCGAAGGTTTTGCGGGATTTCCGAGGTCAAATGTGCGTAATACCTATGAGAAAGGCTCGTTAATAACCTTGACAAAAGTTTTCTGAGCCAAGAAAGAAAAGATAATGCGCGAGAGAAATAAAAAATATGCCGGACTGCCAAGTTTACACTGCTACCCAACAGGTGGCGCCGGTGTGTCCTCTCGTCGTAAAAGATATTAAGAGGTTCCAAGGCACTCGGTTCTAAGAAGTCGCAAGTGTGTGAACAGGCCTTATCGCAAATTCTGTCTCCAGATATTGTGATAACGTAAAAGTTGTCTCCAGGTTTTGCGTTCTTTATTTTATAATGTTATTTTTTTGCTCGAGAACTATCCAACACTTTGTTCCAACAAATTCATGTACTTAAAAGCATTTTTCGTCCAAAAATAAAAGATGTTCAGAAAAATTAGAATAATAATAGAGACTTTAATTCAAAAATGGTTCGAAAAGGGTGATTCCTTCTTTAAGTGTGTACAAACTTGTACACAATCAAAAAAGCAAAGATTATTTCCGAAAATTTGCATATTAAAGTTTCTATTGTTATTCAAATGTCCCTGAACGTAACAAATGCTTAGACTACAGTTATAAAAATGAGATGTCTACTGCATGTGCTTTCCACAAACATTTGTGAGATCAGGTTGCAAGCTATTTGAAGCCTGAAACCTGATGTCACGAATGCGGCCGCCTTTTCTGACTTCCGTAATGTGCTGTTGTAGCAACTGCACCATGATCTAGTATATGTCTTTGTTACTGGCTACACACCTGCTACAATCTCAAACAAAATCAATAAAAAAGAGAATGCCTATTTTGTTTGCAATTCTGATAAAGATGTCCAGGTTTGGCCCCAAAAAACACAATAACACACAAAAAAAAAGAACCATAAAGGGTTCAAGGCTGTCTGCTCAGAATTTGAGTACCCCAGTGCTGTGCAGGCACGTCTACTGCATCCTGTGGGCTCCATTGAGCTGACGGGGACTAAGCTCATGCAAATAAAAAATAAATAGATCCATCCTGCTCTCAAATCCATATTTCTGCACAAAGTGGATAGAGTAAACAATTTATTTCGCATCACTCAGATTTGATCTCAACTGGGTTAAATTAATACATACTCCTTTTTATGTACTGTAAACAACTTTGTTTTTGCAAGCTCAATATTTTGCAAATTTCGCAAAATGTTGATTTCGGGAACATTTCGCGGGAAGTAGTAATGTTATATATTCGCTACTGTAGAGGATTAGAAGATACTGCATTCATGGGACCTATTTTTTGCAATATTACTTAAAGATTAGGTCCTCGCAAATTAAGTTGTTTACAGTAGATTTTCAATACAATTTCTCAAAACGTTTGCTTCAGATAACGAGTTGACCTGAGAATTTCGCATTCTTCATGACTTCTGGGGACTAGCTACCTTTTGATGAAGTTCCAGCATTCTATTTCTATCCTAACCAAAAAGAACTGAGAAACGTTTACGGCTCCAATGTCTACTTACACATTATTGAGTCGTTTAAATTACTTCCAATATTTTTATTTTTGTTTTCATCTCGACTGAAAATGTATTTGTTTTACGTTTGAACAAAATGGCTTCCAAATTTTTATGATAAACTAAATATAGGGTTCCAAGTTTTCAGAGTTTATTTTGCACAGCAAATTTTGTGTTTATCTGAGATTTTACTTCAGTTAAATTTGTGATTCTCAAAAGCCTGGCATAAATTAGAGCTCAATTTTGCTGCATTTTCAATTCTCTAAACAAATAAAAGGGGGCAATATGAACATGTAAATGCATCGAGAGACACAAGAAGCCACTTGAGTGATTGGCTTTTTGTGAACAAGGAGTCCGTAAAATTTGGCTTGTTTTAATGTCACAAAAAAACAAAAAAAACACTGACTTGTCCGTGGTATCCGTGTGAGAAGCCCTATCACCAACGTTGCCTATCACATAAACTCAAAGCCAAAACTGTGGCTAGCACAGTCGCACGCTTGGATTGGCTTCTACCTTGACCCAACAAAGCAGAAATGCTCGTGACCCATTGTCGTGGACAATGCTGATGATAAGCCCTTCTGTGTTAATCATATCTATGTTAGAAAAAAAAAAAGAAAAAAAAGAAAAACAGAATAGCCACAAATTGTTGACCTAATGTTCTACAAAAATGAATGTGTTCTGTTTTTGTTTTTTTCTTGTACTTTTTTTTATATTAGAGTTTTTTGTAAAAGTTTGAGCTGACAAAAAAGTACATTATGAGCATGTTAGGCTAACATTTGGGGTACATGTCAGTACATATTAAAGAAACGATAACATGGACAATAACAAGAATGATGATGTGTTGCAAAAGGGATAACATGCATGTTAGTGTATATGCTAGAAAGACAATAAACAGGGAAGAGGCGCTATGCTGTCATCTTTCGTATTGTACTGTCAAACATGTTAGTAGAAAGCGCTTTTTGGATTTTTTTGGTTTGATCGGAAAACTGAAACCCTGATGGTAATGTGTGCGTGTTGACAAACACTCAATTTTGATGAAAATGGCAATATAATTTGAGATCGGCATGCATAATTCAACTCCTTTTATGGTCGACATTGGGCCAATCAAAGTTTCCACACAATCCAGTCATTTCAGAAAGAAAATTAATGAAGAATTTTTGTATGATTCGTTACTTTGCAAACTGACGTTCTCAAGTGGAATGGCTCGTAATTTGTATTACTGTAATAAATCCTCTACAACCAAGATGATGATTGTGCAGTGCACAAATAAACATTAATATATGCGTACCATCTAAATTACCTACACATCTACCAGTTGATTATACACACCATGGATGGAACACATATAAAGGAAGATATATGTTGCCAATTATTACTATATTGCGTATCCATATATGTTTCTTTTCCTGTAAAAAGGACAATTAAGGAGGTAATGCCACTACCATTTAGCAATTGTTTTGATGCTGGGCAAATGCTCGATCAAAGCAAATTGGGAAAACAGTCGGCAGTTTTTTTTGGTTTTTTTACTACAGCTTTAATTTTGATTTCAAACTTCGTCAACGACATGTACCTCGTAATGCAATGCAGCAGTTTTAACATTGTGTGGCTGGTTTTACCGAAGTACGTGGAGCACAACAGCTGTCCACATACGAGTACATACCCACTGTTTACGGCAACGATAAAATGCTACTCTGCCGAGGTCAGTGGTCCAATTAGGTCCGAGATTTATACGCTGCGCGGTGCGGCGTATTTTTATCTCGCCGGCAATTTGCAGCTCCAAACAGCCTCATCCGTTCCGATCGGCTGGAGATCGCCAAATTGTTCGTCGTCATCGGATTTAACGAAGGAGGCTGCCGGTCCGCGATAAACCGCGATGATTACCACCGCGAGCCCCATCGCGCAATAAAGCGAACGCGTTTGTTTTGAAAGTTTTGTGTATCTTTTCTTTTTTTTCCTCCGTCGAGAATACCGTTATAGTCGGGTTCGCGCAGGAAGATGCCGATGCGCTTCTGCGTACCACCGCGGACCGAAAATAAATAAATAAAAAAAGAGGGACCTTTTAGACGTAAACCGCCAAGCCGCCAACTCTGGTATCGGAACCGAATTCCACCGACCCCACGAGATAGCTTGAAAAAACGTTGCAACGAGCGTGGGGTTTAGCTAGACGAACGTCGGTATTCCAAGCGCGTATGGAGAGCCAAGCAGCCCAAGGCGTCAGTCGGTGCAGCGAGAAAAGAAAAAAAGAAAAGGCAGCCCCCTCCCCACTAAAGCACGGCTACCGTTTTCGTGATAGGCTACCGGTGGAAATCTCAGCAGCGGCAGCGTTATGAGACCCGTGGGGCGGCGGTTTTGGGGGGAGGCGGGAGGGATCGGAGAAGCTTACCGAGGAATCGGAGACGATCGGTGAACAATCCGCACATCCGAACGACTTCGGTATGCCGCAGTGGCGGCGGTGGTGGCGGAGACGACGGTGACGGTGATCGCCGGGAAGGCGATGACACTGATGCCGCCGCCGATTCGTTCTTCAGCGCGAGCTCTTCCGCGGACTGTTTAACCGGCGACTTCGACGAAGAGGTTCGTCGAGTTCGGAAGTGATCTCCGCGCGTCCGTGCTAGTCCGTGCCGTAAAGCTACATGGGGAGAGAGGACGAAGGAGAACGCGAGAACGCAGCAACGCAGCCGGCAGCGTCGGCAACGGCGGCAACCAACGGCGGTAAGCGCGACGGATGGGCGAAGAGAGAAGGCGCTTTTCCTTCGCCGCCTTCCCTTCCCTCATTCGATTGGCTCGCGCGAGCTTGCGCAGGCAGCGCAGGCTTGCGCTCGCGCAAGTCCGCTAGCTCGCGCTTTGCTCCGAAGCGCCGAAGCCAAGAGAGGCGGAGATGATTTGATGTTGCCTTGGCATACGGCACAGACCCTTGCCCTCTGTGAACTGCGAACCTTGAACTTGATGGAAAGCAGGCAAGCAATTGCAGCGACGTATAATTGCAAGATCGTGCGATTCTTTTTTTTTTTTTTTTTCTTCCGAAGCGAACAGGATTTTCCGTCCGGCAGGGACGTAGGAGAAACAAGAAAACGTCCGCTCGCATAGACAAGCAGACCTAAAGAGTTCTTCTAATCATAGATATGAATAGCACCTGCGCTGCGCACATTTGAGGTAGAGGAAATGATATGCCTAGAAAGCTGACTGAGCCGCCAAGACAAAACTGAGTTTATGCGGAAGGTTTTCACGTATAATTAGCGCGAGGTTTCCCAACAAAACTGGTTGAAATAGTTACCTTTACGACACTTGGCAGCACCTGCCACTCTGCGATACTCACTGCGACGAGGCTAACAGGACAATAATATGAGCTATCTTTGGGATCGAATTCCGGGTAGTACACCAATCAATAGAGCACCGGATTGCCAAGTTTAGAACCACCTTATTGAATACATTGATTGAATACACTGACCTTCAGCCCTGAAGCATAGCACAGGAGCGGGCTATATTTGCGTACAAGGATATTAATGACATGTTCTTTTACGATAGAGTTCAATCCCTACACCTTAAAAAAGACGTCACAAACCTAAAACTTAACTAAAAAAAAGAAAAAGCTAAAGGGAAAATTTTTTTCTTTGCCTTCTTAAAATAAGTTTCATGATGTAGAATATTTGTCGCACTACAACTAAAAATAAAAAAAAACCAAAGCGTGTGCATAAAAACAACATTCCGCAGCAGACTCAGCTTTAAAAAAAGCTTGAGTGTTGTTTCTGCGTTCCAAACACCTGGGAAACATTAAAAAAAAATGTACGCCTAGGCACATGCAATATATTCCCAGGATCTGGCGAAACACCTGCTACAAAACGCATTAAATGGAGGTGCTGTTGTCATGGGCCCCAATATGCGATTGCAGTCTTAGTGCGAGCGAAACCACTGGAACGAAGAACCCAAAGCCGGCCGACGCATGCAGCATCTGCCAGGCCAAAAGAAAACGTCCAATTGCTCAAGGGTTGCTACGTGACAAAATATTTATTTACAGAACCACCGGTTCCCCCCCCACGCCGACGGGAGGGGGGTAGAGGGGGGGGGGGGCACCTTGCAAGGGGAGAAAACAGTGTCACACGAGACAACACAGACACAGTGCATAGATCTGTGTCACTTGCAGTGTCACAAGCATTGCCACAACAACGGCCGCCGAGAGCCGAGAGACAAGGGAGGAGGTAGGAACAAGGGTCGCGTGGGGCCCCCAAACGGGCCCCGACCTCCTCCCCCCACCTTTTTTGAGCAAGACGGAGCCTGTACAAAAGAAAGGAAAGTACAACTCCTAACTACCTACCTAGCTATATATATAAATATGTACACACAGGCAGACCACGCTCAGCTCTTTTTATTCTCTCCTCTCTTCACAACAAGGGGGAGAGAGGCGGTCTGCCGTATACACCCAGACAACAACGTAGTGGTGGTATACACGTGACAGCTTAGAAACAACAACCAATGGAATGGAAAACATGGCCTTTCACAATGTGCAGACAACCGTTGTGTGGTGCGCACAAACTTCTAGAGAAAGTAGGGGGTAACAATGTGGGCTTGGTCTGCCAGTCCTCGCAAGGCCTAGGCCTCCGTGGAAGCACCACGCTGGGCTCCGGACCCCCCGGGCTCGTGGTCTACCCGATTCTCGTCGCTACGCATGCTTGGCATCTAGACCGTGCAGAAGCCGCCAAACGCTAGTTCTGCCCGGCTCCTAGGCCCAACTGGCACTGTGCTTACGACGCGACACTAACTATTCGTAGTAGCTTCTCGAAGCATCTATACTGCGCGGGTTGGTACGGCTCGATGCGTCGCTAGGTCTCCCTTCCGGGCACGCAAGGAAAAGCGACGTCCCGGCAAAAGTGGCGCCGAACCCCATCGGCAGCAGACTCGAAGAAACAGGGGCTCGACTTTTTCTTCCGACAGTTTGCGCAAATTATGTTTAGAATGAGAGATGCCTTAATCGTAATAACGTCAGTTTTGCCGGGCGTTCCTAAGCTCCCTTCTAGTAGTAGCTGCTCTGTCGGAATTCACACGTAAGAACAGCCCCTTCGATCGAAAATGGAGCGGACAGAAATCAAAGTTAGCTTTTATGCCGCTGGGGCAATTACTTGTTCAACGATTCCCCCGAATGAAATGGCAGAGCAAACGGATCCATCCCTGGCAAGGAGGTTGTCCCGCGTGGCTGGGGCGAGCTGAGCATTCCTAGTCGCCGTCGTCGCGCTCTCCCAATAACGACTGCTGGCGGCGTCTTACTATACCCTAAACTGATCCTCACTAGCGCACATCTGGAAGACACAGAAGCCACGACGGAGAAGTGAATCTCGCTGCACTAGGTATGCGCCACAACGCGCTCAGCAACTGCCCGAAGCGATCGGCACGAACAACAGCTAGTGACTAGAGGCCGGATGTTGGGGCCGCCGGACAGTTAGCCTCAAATGCCGCAATCTATGTGGAGACCCATGGCGGTCATGTGCAGATAAGATTGAAGGAAGTTTATGGAGCGTCACGTAAAAGAAACAATGATGAAACTTGTCACTCTATTGCTATGTTGTTGGAGGCTGACCCACTCTCCTCCTGCTTTGAAGGGCTATCTTTCGTCGTCTTCTTTTGATCATTAGATGGGGTTTCGCATTTGTGAAGTTCATAAAAGTTTGGAGCTTTCATTCCCGTAAATTCTGAGTTGGTGTATTCTAAACAAAAATCCCTTTTTGTGTGTGGCCGCCCAGAACAGTGCCACCCAATAATGACATCCTCGTATTGGACGAATGCAAACTGGACAAATTTTTCCCCGTCTCTTCGAGCAAAGGAAAAGTCGGACGTTAACTCGCGCAACTGAGGAATGTCGACTGTCCTGCTGGCAAACCACAATGCCAGAAACTAGATTTTGCGGATGAATCTCGATGTAGAAAAGAGGCGAGATTCTGTCCCCTTATTTGTAAGGATATGCAGGACCTTAGTTTGGGTGACCACACTGAGGATCTTCCTTCCAGGCATCTAAGGGGTTCCAAGTATTACGGATTTAGTGTGTCAAGCAAATGAATTTGACACGGCGACAGGGCAGAGAATATGAGAAAGTTAAGCTAGTTAATAACTATATATATATATAACGATGGGATGCAATAAAATGCACTGCAGTAAGAACTGTGTAAGTTCTAGGCATCTGGTTTTTGCATGTGGCCAATCATTTGTAGTGCTTCAAAGAAGCCGTATTCTGTCTTCCAACATGCTCCTTAATGGCGAATTCAGGTGGTCATTTGCCATATCTTCACCAAAGGCATTCACATGGTCAAAAGCTGGCGAGTGCAAGCTGTTCGGGTGGCGCTTTTCAGGCACAAGCTGGCAATTTTCCGACACAATTTTTGCCTGAGCTCCAAGAGACTGGGCAGCTTGTCTACCAGACTGTGTCCCGCATTGTAACATCCAAATCGGAAGAGGGGACCAGACGAAACAATTCTCGCTGAAAGCGGCAAATAGTGGGTTCGAGTTTCAAACGAAGTCGTCGAGACAGACAATTATTTGTGCTCCGAGACAAGATGGCAAAAACTACGAAGATAAAGATGATTAATGTTTTAAACGAAGCCAAAATTTTTGGAAGGATTTGTCTCGCATGGGCAAGGACAGTTTGCTCTAGGACATGGTCTACATCACTATCCATACATTATTCTTTACAGCGGTGTAATAACGCATTATTACACCGCTGTAAAATAAGTAAAATAATATATGGGTAGTGATGCAGCTTCACATTTGAACACACATTACGATTTCAAGGGGTGTGGTCGCAATGAGAAGACTGAGGGTTCTAAACAAAGGTAATAACAATAAAACAAAACATAGGCTACGCCGGCAAGTCTCCTTGGGATCCTTGTAAAGTGGCAGAAGTTCCTCGTAAATTCAAACAAAATATACAGAAATCTGATGCGTGAATGGGCGACACCACATCGATTAATTAACCTGCCCTTTCATTAATTTTATAATTTAAGATCCTCTAAGTTGTGCGGACTGTGATAATGTTAATATTTCAAACATTATTGTCAAGCCGCTTGTGTTTGCACACATCTCAGAGAGTCGGAATTTTTTGCTCATTGTACCATAGATTAAAAGAGGAAGAAGTCAACAAAGCTCACGCGTGATCCAGGCAAATAAAAGTGCCAGTTACCGGCGCTTTGTGTTCGGGTGGAGAGGGTCACGTGGTGCGCCGGTGGCGCGTTTTTGGTCGCCGGTGCCCAATGCAAGGGCTCACCAACGAATGACCACGTGAATTTGCCATAAGCATCCTCCAACCTTGCCTTTACGTGCCCACCGTCTAAACCCTTGGCGGACATTTTAGGCGCCTGAGCATCCGACCCCTACTAAGGACACCCACCCCGAAGGGGGGTGTCACTGTGCAAGCTATCGCGCGCCACGACGCTTCTACGCGAGTACCCCACACTAACGAGGTGTCTACAGGTGCCACACGGAAGGAAGGGTGACGACTTTTCACCAATCTGGCGCTTCCCTGGAATGTGATTGGTCGAAGTCAACGGACGCAACCCTGGGTCGACCGCACACGAAAAACAACCGACTCGAGAATCACACTTCTGCACCGATACACACACAACTGACAAGAATTCATGCAAACGGAATGCTCGGAAATGGTGCGCGCCGGTCACGACGTGCCACCAGACTCCCGCGTCGGCTTTGACGTTTCTAAAACCAAAGAGTGTCCTCTTGTGCAAGCTAAAGTCACCGGCTACATCTTCGGGGTTGAGAGACTCACGAATTTGTGGCGAGCCCGTAACGAGCTCTGCTAATGACGGGCGTAATTTGTTGCGGAACCAGGCAAGACGGCCTGGTGCGGAAGATTTTGCGCTCGGTGCCCATAACCCATTCTCCATGTGAACCTGGTAAGGTTCACATGGAGATTGAGGCAGACTGAAAAGAAAGCTGCGAGATAGCCGAGCCGATTGCATCACGCCGTGCCGCCATTTTTGACTAAACGGTAGAAAAATCGATCGATTGCCGAGCGAGCCTTCGCCTTTACATCTTGAGGGAGCATCGTCAGATGCACGCCTTTGCTTTCTTGTCTTTCGGATGAAACTGAAGTGGACTGCTTCACGCATATCTTGTCTATACGGTGTTTACCCCTAAGCTGACAGTGCAGTGGAAGCTACATGCTTGTTAGACCAGTAATGGATTACCTTTCGCCACGTGATCACACCCTCTCCGATACCCACGCGCAGAGGGCAGGGTCAACGAAAGGGAAGTGCTGAATGGCTCTTGAGAACGTGTGGCTCCCACCACATTGTCAACTTGGGGGTGAACGAAGCATAAAAGCGTATAGCCGATTTCTAGAAAGACCTCTGCGAGCAATCGACGTCGGCCTGCAAGAAGGTTAAAGATTTGGGAAATATGGGCTCCCTTTCTCTATCCGGTGACCTTAGCTATTGTGTAACGGACACTTCGGTAGTACCAGTGCCACAACCGTCTGCCATGTTCACTGCTCGTGCAGTAATTGAATGAGTGCAGTGAATGCAAGGTTCTTTGTGAAACAACCGCAGAGAACATTTCTTTACAGTAGGAAATGCATATTGTGAATAAAACAGTAAAATAGAAAGTGTTTTTGTATAGCATTGCACTTTGCAGACATTACAATTGAGACCATAAGGTGAGCGCAGGGCAACTAAACGAGGAATACGGAGTGTGACACAATATCATCAAACAATATTACACATGGCTCATAATCTATTCACTCTACCTCTCACTTAAATCTAAACAATATATATTTATATATATATATATCTTTTTTTTAAATACCTCAAGTCCACCTTACCAACACTTTTATAAATTCGAGTCAGTTTTTCGGCGTATTCCTTGTAAATATTGGTAAATTCCATCAAGCACTACAATATCTAACCCAATACTGTCACATTGGCACAGAGGACGACATGATTTCCGCCACAACATCTCACACTTCCACTGGCGACAACACTGCCACTTAGGAAGAAGTCAAGGAAACCTAAAATCTAGATCAGATGCTTCACACATGTACACACCTTTCTTTGCTCGCTAACCAGAGAGTGCTGTGACCAAAGTAAAAGCAAAAAAAACAAAAAAGCCAAGTGTAATTGAACGAGACCAGACTACGTCTAGCATGTCGGACCAGTCACCTCTCGTGGTCAAACTAAATGAGAAAATTTACAAAGACAACGTAAACCAAGTTCATGGTGCAATAAAACACAAACATTGTGCCAGACAACACTAGGCCACAAACTTTTACCGGGCTTGGCGACAAACTCCTTTCAGAAGTACCTGCCATCTAGTAGCTGCTGCGTCGATCATCCGAGGGCGCCAGGTATTGGGCATGTGCGCCGAGCAGGAACTACAAACGAGTGCTGCGTCGACGTACGGCTTAGACTCGGGACCAATCACGCGCTTCGCGCTGGAAACGATGCCCACAAAATGGCGGCCGTCAATGTTGCTCGATAGGATCTTGAAAAGGGCCTAATACCCCCACCCGGCACCGATGATACAAAAATTTAAAAAAAATATACAATGCACTAAAGTTTAACAAAAACATCTTACTAAAACGTCGACACCGTAATCAACAAGAATACTCGCATGTAATTCGCACGACCCAAGGGGGGAAAGCTTTGTAAAGAAGGCAAGACAATATGGGACGCCGCACGTGGGCCCCAACGTCCCCAGATCGAGGGACTTTAGTGGGCCAGAGCTCCCGGCGCGATTACGGGGAAGTCACGTCGATAGAGAGCGAACAATGTACCCTGCAGACGTCAAACAAGCTTACCGAGGAAAGGCGTCATCGAAGTACAACGTGCCAAAAATTTGCGGGAAAGGAGAGGAAAAGCGACAATTGCAACGTGTTCTGATCACGGTAGTCTCCAAAATGGCGTGGGCTTTTCAGCGTGCCTAAGTAACCATACAAAAAGGCAAGAAAAAAAAAAGTTCTGTCTACACTCGTTCTCATCTCAGGAACAACAGCGAAAGAAGGTTGGCTTTTTGTGAAGCGTTACGAATTTCGCCCTTTTATGTGGTGAATTAAGATACTTGTAGAGTCAACGAGCTAATATGAACATATTCATCCCCCCCGAATCGTTCGTAATGAGAGTTGCTCATAAAAACAAGAAACAAATGCTTGCATTTAGCCCATTCGTTGCTTAAAAGCTTGTCTACATAGCGTCGTATCTTTAATACCAGCATTCAAATTAATGAGACACAACCGTATGTGCATTTGAGATCACTTATTGGTTAACTCGTCCAGACATACGTGTTTCAAGAGGCAGAACAAGTATTTTTTTTTTTTAATAGCCAAATCTCGCAAGAACTACTTTGTGCAGCATATGAACATGCACCAAACTTATTTTTTCTTTTTCCCTAGATGACCACGAACATAGATGCCAAACGTCACTCTGGCTCAGTGAAATCACAAAGTTCTCTCTCCCCTCAACGACGCAATTAAAAATTGGCATCTATCACAACGACAATCGGTCCTTGGAGACGGTGAAGAAAAGCCTCGCCTCATTCTACGCGTCTACGCTGCACCGCCTCGGGACGTGATGCAGAGATTAAAATCCGAAGTCGCAACTACCAATCGACACGTCCCACAACCCGAAAACATAGAGATAGAGGACTACTGAGCTGGCAAGGCACAAACTAGCTTTTTCTCGTCACTGGCGCCGGTAATACAAACTCCCGCTAGCTCGCTAAGTCGAAGCCGGCACCTGGCAATGTGTTTCCTTTCCTGGAAATACGGGCGTCTTGATTTAGGATGGAGTGAAGTTACGCGAGCGTTGCGGCGGCAAGCTCGGGCTAGATGATGACATCTCCGACGACGTTTCTTCTTATAGAAAACAAGAATGCGTCTTTTACGTTTCTGGCGGTCCTACCTACACGCACCCTTCCGTTGGCTCCAACCACTCGCTTAGCCGGAAGCGGCCCGGAATGTGCACCAGACGAAGCCCGCTTAGAAGTGTGGAATGTGCACATGTTCACTAGTGAGCGGAGGAAAAGGTGGGATGCGCCTCGCCGCCACCTTTCGACGAGGGGAGGGGGGCACTCCAACTGCGAGGGGAACGCTTCTCCCCGATTCACTGGCCCGAAGGAACGACACGCGCGCCGTTAGAGGGAACCACACGCAAAAGAACGATCGGTCGAGCGTTGGGGAAACAGTTTGGCACAGGGAAGGCCGAGCTCCGCAGCAGCAGTGCCGCCCGACATCGCTACGCCTCTTTTTTTTTGCAGCACGACAAACTCCGTCAAGGTGCGAGTGCTTGGTGCTCCAAAATACGCTTCAAAACACGACGACAAAGTGCTTGGCCTCATAATACTGACCGCTGTTTTCGTTCGGTGGGTTCTCAGAACGGACCTACCCTAGGGTTTCGTTGAGCGCCCCGTGCCAAGTACGCGTGGCTCCAAAAAATAAACCTTTCTGTAGCTCTCGGAGGTGCATCCTTTTATGTAAACGGTCGTCCCCAAAAAATATCTCGATAATGAGCAAGCAAGAGCTTTCACACGGAGACTTGATTTGCCCGTTGCGAATCGCCGAAGTGTCGTAAGCGTAAATTTTACTAAAATAATTTTTGCCCACATTGCTCGTGGGCAGGTTTTATCGCAGATACCCTAATAGGCTGACGTCGAGTGTAATATACGAGTTAAAACGCTTTCTGGAGGCTAATATGCTAATATTCGTTTTGTTCCGACCGCACAATAGGTCGTCAAGAAAAGATGGCTTAATTTCTTTTTTAAGACAAATGCCGCATCCCGACTCACTTGGCAGAGGCAGCTTCAGCTGCCTAATACGGAAAAAAAAATCTGAGAAGAGCCTTTCCAAGACATTCGAACACCAGTAGTCGGCGTCCTTGCACGTCCCGAGCACAGTGCGACAAGTTAAAGAAATTTTCTCGCTTCAAAGCGGGGCAAGGAAGGGGTGTGAGCCATCGGTTAACTTCCTGCCACCGAAGCAGCATCCGTCCCGCATCTAACAGGACAGTAAATTTTCTCGAGAGTGCGAGCAAAAACAAAAGCGCTTTTCTTGAAAGGATAACATTTTCCTTGTCTTAATGGCGGTGCGAAACAATGACAAGACCCGAATTCGAACGCCGCGTTAGCCAGACGTTGGGGGGCCGTCACTCCATCGCACGCGGAGCCTACGCGTCGAGTGCTGCGCTAGAAAACAAACTACCTGACCGTCCTCCGGTGCTGGTAACAGCGTGGAAGCCTTCCGCCGTTTACGGTTGCGTCGCTCGCCTGGCTGAGACGGAGGACGTTCGGCCCTTGTGTTTGTGACCCGAGCAGGGAGCCTAAAGCCCTGCGTTGGCAGTGTGGACACTCGAAGGAGAGCGGCTGTGGCGACGAGCGTGCCGGAGGAAGGTGCAACGGGAAAGGGCGAGGGAGCGTCCGCGGGTCCTGACGGCTCTCCACGGACTCTCGTATCACAAAGGTGGGCCAGACTCGGAATGCTGCCGTGTCCGCCCAACCGTGGCACGACTTTTCGGGAAGCGAAAGGCCCGTATGCCTGCTTTTCCGCGGGAAAATGCGGGGTGCCGATCGTTGCGAATCCACGAAGAGTATGCCCAATGAACGAGGAGGCCCAAAGAATGCCCTCTAAAAAAAGAAAAAAGAGACGTTTGTAAAGAGTATACCTCGGCACAGATCACATTGTAAGATCGGGCATCGTCCTCCTCCCCTACTGTAGATCGCAGCGACTGGATCTTCGCGTTTTCCACGGGAGTAAAGGCGGGCATTGTTCACGAAGGGATCGTGCCACCATCGAGCAAGTACGGCACGAAACTCGAAAGCGACCGCACATGGTCGCGATCGGACGAGAGGGTTTCTCATCCGCCGAGTTTCGAACTAACTAACTGGCAAGCTTCCCACGTCGAGAACACAGATATTCGTTTTGCGGGGCTGAGGCTAGCGGTACCCGACGAGCGAATGGAATGAATGGGTGTTGTGCACGGCCTCTCCGCCCGGTAGCCATTCTCGCGCCTCCCGATGGCTACGGCTCCGCCCGCTCGGCTCGCCTGGAGCGAATACGAAGACGCAGAGTCACAGGTGCAGACGTCGCCGCCACGCTTCCACGGCGGGTCCCATGGCCTTGTCCGGCCCACCGGAAAACGAGAGCGCTGCCCGTGGCACTTCAGCAAGCTGGTGCCGTTGAACGATGGGCTCGCTCGACCAACTGCGGAGGCGCCTATCGTCGGGTCGAGGCGTTGCGGGTGCTCCGCTAGAGCGCAGTGCTCTGCCGGCGGTGGTCGCTCGATTCGGCGAACAGGGCTGGGTTGTCGCTCAACGAGCTTGACAGCTGGCTGCACTTGAGCTCGTACTCCTGCTGCTGCTTTACAATGGCCTGCGTGCAAGCATACGGAATGAGCAACAGCATGAGCAACTTCATCAGCAACTGCATGAACAGCAGCAAAAGCAACTTCATGAGCAACGCTATGAGCAACTTTCTGAAAACGGTTCTATGGCAAGTAAAAGGAGTGCCAAAAACAGTCCTGAAAACCCATCGCAGCCATCATAAAGTCAGGATTGGAGCTGTCTTAGGAAATCGTTTTACAACACTGCATTTCGCTGTTGTTTTTTTCTCTATAAAAGCCTCGTCGTCTCACCTGGCTCTTCTCCTCCTCCAATGATTTCTTGACGTCCTCGTGCTGTTTTTCCAGCTCTGCCTTCTTCTTGTCGAGCAGGCCGCTGATCTGCAAGTGGATCGTAACAGCGGATCAGATGCTGAAGCACGACGCTTACATCCGCTAGAGGGTCGACCTGCGTCGTCTCGGAGATGTTGCGGCTCGCATTGAAAAGACTGAGCATGACGCACAGCTGGTGCTTCTACGTATGACGTTACACGAAATTCCCAAAACGTCGAGTTTCCGACGGGCAACCCAGAAAAAAGAACGGCCGAAGCGGGAAGCGAGGCTCACCCTCTGTCGTTCCGACACCGCTTCACCGATCATCTTCTGGTGTAGTTCCCTCTTAATCCTGCGGGAAAAGGGAACCGTCAGGAGCGAGATCATGAGGGTGCGGAGGGGGAGGCATCACCTGTCGAGTTCGTTCTTGTCTTTGTGCTTCTTGTTGAGGCTGCGCATCTCCTCCTTGGTCTGTGCCTCGAGGCGCTTCATCAGCTCACTCACCTCCCTGGAAGACAGAGAATGATGGAATGGCAAGACAGTGGAGACCAGTGTGACACAACTGCCACCGTCATTGCAGACCGAGAGACCAAAAGTCTCGTCCAGGAAAAGACAAGCGCGCAAAAAGCATACTTCTGCGCAATATGAATCCCAGAAAGATACCTTATTTACCCAAATCTAAGGTAATGTGTATTTGCCAAAAAAAAAAAGAAAGCTTTCGAGGAAAGCGCGAGTCTACAAGCCTGTAAACTTTTCTTGTATCGCTCAACAGCTTCAGACTGTGCTCATTTAAAAGATGAGAGGAAATGCCAAGATTATATTCTACATTACAAAAACCTCGAAGCAATGACAACTTTACTCTTTCTTAATGGCTGCATAGTTAGCTGAGGTTTAACTAAAAACAAAAGGTATTTATTCCGTCTCCTTATTAACTGGGATGTCGTCCTAAGGCTGCTTCACACACTTGCAACGGCTTACGACCGTTGTGCCTTAAAACCTTTTGCGACCAGAGAACACACTGGCGCCATCTATCAGGTAGCCGTGGATCAGCTAGCATTTCCGTATATCTTATTTTTTTCGTGCCCGATTCTTTCCTTCTTGGCTTCAAAATCTTTTGACAACTTTATAAGCAACTATTTCTCACGAATACATAGTGCAAAACACTAGATCTCACAAACACTGCAAAATCTTCGCTCTAGTGAAATGCAGTTCCAGGACCACCTCGTAGGTGGTGCCAGCACGTTTCCTCGTAGGATATCGCAAGGACTTGGTCGTAAGTCAACGCAAATGTGTGAATGGGCCTTTAGGTTAAAAAATATGCTAACAGGGCACTATAGAAGAGAAATGTTTGTCCGGTGGCACAAGATGGGGAGACACAGCAGCCTGACGGAGTGCATCTCCTCTCCAGGGACCTTGAACACAATGGTTCCAGGATGACAAACTCAAAGCCCGAAGAAAAGGAATGCGTAGGTAGTTTTATCGATGCTTCGTTGTCTAGACTACGTACCTTGGTGTAATGACCATCCTATGGGGAAGACGTATTGGTGCGAGGGTATTTAAAAGCGGGTGTGTCGGAACACTACAAATACTTTGGTGCACCAATCTCAAGAAATAAAAGAGGCTTACTTGTCATGTAAGTCCTGTAGTTGCTGCATCTGGGCTGCTTGTGATCCTTGCATTGTCTTTTCCATGGCATTAAAGAGCTGGGAAGTGCAAAAAAGAACACAAAAGTTACAATACTTTTTCTGGAAAAAGGAGCGCACAGTACCGCCTGCTTGCAAAGTCGGTCTCAAAAAGTTTCTTGCCTTCCCATGCTGCAAAGTAGGGATCCTCGAACTAATTCGATACTGAGGAACTCTCATCTCTCTTGGATGGCAGCTGAAGAACTCTTATTGTTCTTGGCATTGATGTAGTAAACTACACGAGGCTACAGGCCTCAAAAACAACAATGCACACGCTAGGGAGTGCTTGGCACATAGCTACACGTCAATGAGTAGCTCTGATCTGCTAAAGTAGTACTCAAACTAGAAAACCACTTTATGTAAGGGGAGGGACAGTTAAGGAAATTCGGGAGCTCAGGGAATGCCTAGCTTCCTAGGTGCCTAGTTTGAGAACCCTCGCGTAAAGATGCACTTTAGTAGCAGGACAACAGCGATGGAACCCTGAGTCCCCAATGGGAGAGTGTGTTTTCGCTTGATGTGGGCAAGCGGGCAACTCACGGAGTCCAGGTATTTGTGCTGAATGTCCATCTCGGCCTTGTATTGCTCCTTGGTGATGTTCATCATGGCTAGGTTGTGGCTCTGCTGCAGTTCTTCTTGCTGCCATGAGAAACAACAAATGGAGACACCCAATCCCCTCCCGGGGGCAGGGCACTCCATCTATCCACTCACCTTCGCTCTGTGTTCTGCATCCAAAACTTGGATCTGCGATTCATTCTGCTGTTTGAGTGCCATACTGCCAAAGAAAGGGCATGGAAATGAGCACTGGACCATTGCAATAACACAAAATTTTGCCACACAGCAAGGATTGCGCAAATACCATATTTACTCGCAAAATGAACACACTTTTTTTTTTTTTCCAAAAATCGATGCAAAGTTGGGGGGAGCGTCCATTACGCAAAATAAAATTTTTGCATCCGTATTTACTCGCATAATGAACGGACCTTTTATCCTGAAAATTCGACGTTGCTTCTTATCTCTTTGCGCGCGGTGCGCGACCCGTAGCCAAACTGGGCTGTGCAAAAAAAAAAAGCTCCTCTTTGTTTTTTTTCTCTTAGTTCCGTGGGTTTTTTTTTCTTTTTGCCGCCTTTCGCAAGCTGTTTTGTTTGCTTAGGCGTTGCTTAGGCGAGGGCTTCTCCGCTTCTCTTTCTTACCTCCTTGCGCGCAGCGCGCGACCTCAAAATCCAGACTGCGCTGTGCAAAAAAAAAGCTCCCCTCCATGTTTGTTTTTTTCTTGCTTCCGTTAGATCTTTTTTATTTTTTTAACGCCTTTTGCAAGGCGTTTTGTTCGCCCACGCTGCCCATGCATTTGCAACCTCGCTGCACCAGGATAGAAAAGTGCGTTCATTTCGTGCGCGTGGGGGGAGGGGGTCAAAATTTTGACGTCCGAGTCGGGGGAGCATTTAATAGCGAGTGAAAATAAAGTCAAAATTTTGAGAGCCGACTTGGGGGGTGCGTTCATTACGCAAGTGCGTTCATTGTGCGAGTAAATACAATATTCAAATTTTCACATCGCAGTTTCCAATAGTGCACTATTTGTATTTTTGAAACTTGATCACGGCAGGTTAGCCTTGTTGAGTGCACTTCTTACCGAGCACTGATGCACTGCAGAGAAGCAACACCTGCAGAGTTGCTTCTCCACTGCGCACCGGTGCTCGGTAAGAAGCACGCTCACTGGGGCCAACCCACCGTGGTCAATACATAGAGAAGTACAGTCGCCGACCGATTATTCGAACTTCGCTGGGACCCAAAAAACGTCCGAATAATAGAGCAGTGTGAAAAATCAACAGATTGAAAAACTTGCCTTTATTACTTCCAAGTGGGCTTAAAAAAGCCGTAAATAGTGCCTTGGTTCAGGTTACGCCTGCGTGCCTTGTTTTAGGTTACGCCTCCGTTTCCGTTCGACAGCTTTCTGTTAGCTTGAGAATCGCTGCCTCCTTTTCTAGCGTTATGGTCGAGTAGCAGAAGAACAGATGGGGCCATGACGTCCAAGCCAGCGTTATCCGAATGAGATCAGGGGGGCTAAGCTCGGCTCGGAGAAATCAAGGCGAGTTCTCCACCGAACTCGCCGCTCGCCAAATTGGTCGGTGCCGTGCATGACGACACGCGCCGTCACTCCCTAGATTGTGACGTCAGAACGGAGGGTTTGAGGCGGTCGGAGAGTGGCATATTCGGAACTCGCGGCGAGATGCTGTGACGTCATTCTGACGTGGCAAAAGCCGCCGCGGATAGGAAAAGCTTGCCGGCTCCGACCTAGGCGAGGTTGGGCGAGTTGGGCGCGAGATGAGGGAGGCGCGTCCGAAATGGCAGCGTTTTTGTGCGTGTTTCGCCGTCGGTGTAGGTACTTAAGCCACGCCACTGTGTTTGACATAGACGACGTTGATTTTCAACAACACTATCGCCTCTCGAAATACGTGGTAAGGTGGCTGTGCGATGAACTGCGTGGCGAACTGGGCTTGAGGCGATGGAGCCGTGAATGAACCGTCGTCCCCGTCGTAAAACCGACAAATTCTACAAAGTGAATCCTAGAAACAAATGTGTTTTTACGGCAATCTGCAACCAGGAACGCAATTTATCATTACCTACAGGCTTTTACAATTATTGTGATGGTTTGCTGCGCTGCGTAGATGCAAAAGAAACACACTTGATAAGATTTAAACTAAAAGAGGATAGAAGAAAAGCAATCTACATGAATGGCGCAAACTAACAACTGTGTAATTTTTTTCTCATCTTTCTCCCTCCACAGCGTATTTTGACAAACAAATCGGTCGTTAGTTGTTTATACGGCAGAACATGCCAGAACATGGCGACATTGTAGCCTGTAGATAAGCGATTTAGCCAGTGCGGTACAACCGCTAGCCTGGGGTCTTTAACGTGCACCACGCAGTAGTGATACACGACCGCACGCCAGTGCGATGCTCATTAAGATCGACACGGGCAGGGGTGGGGATTGAACCCAGGCCCCTGGGTTCTGCAGCGCGAGCTTTCGCTCCACGTGCACCCTTTTCTGAAAAACATATTGTGGCTGTGTGGCGACGTGGGGGGACAAAGATGAGAAAGAAATTACACAGTTGTTAGTCTGCGTCATTCCTGTATGTTGTTTTTTGCCTATTCTCTGCTTTAGTTTAAATCTTTATCAAGTGCGTTGTTCTTGCACCTACGCAGCGCAGCAAACCATCACAATGTCTAAACACCTAGCCCATATCCAAGCAATATTTGTATAATTAGGATCCGTGCTGTTACCGATTCTTATGTCATTTACGATTCAAATACTAAAATTTGGTCTACCTCAATGGGCGACTTGTCTCCCAGCTGTAGATGAGAAATTTAGCCAGTGCAGTACAACCGCTAACCTGGGGTCTTTGACGCGCACCTCGCAGTAGTGAGTGATACACGACCGCACGCCGGTGCGATGATCATCAAGATTTAAAGGGGCAGGGGTGAGGATTGAACCCAGGAGCGGAGCGTAGGGACAAATCGGAGCTACGCTGGTGAACTCGCCGCCGCCGCCGGGGGGGTCGGAAATGTAAGAGGAGGAGTGGGAAACTCGCCGGGGCAGAGTCAAAAGAAGCTCCTCCCCTCCCTCGCGATGTCGCATCGGAGAAATTCCCGCCGAAGGCGAGCTTAGCCCCCCAGAAGCGCAAATCCACGAGCGCACAATGGCGACTGGCGACGCGAAGGAACGAAAAACAAAGCAAAATGATAATAATGATGATGATGATGATGTGCAACTAAATGGGGAAAAAAGGGCTAGCATAGCGTCACCTAGCGGTAGGACTCAGGAGTGCTCAAGTAGCACTGCCAAACCAAGCCAATCCATTGGCAGCCAACATAGAATTCAAAATGGCCGCTTCTCAATGGTGTTTTCCGCTGATCGCTCGCGACGATTTTGTCCGAATAATCAAACTTTCGGACTTCAAGCTGTCTGAAACATTGGTCGTGAATATACACTATTTCTATGGGGTAAGTCACGGTTCTGCCTTTAGGTCCGAAATATAGAACAAGTCCGAAATATCGGAGTCCGAAAAAACGGTTGGCGACTGCACAAATATTGAATCCGCATGCTTAGGAGAAAAGCACACTTTCAAAGCGGGATGGTGCACACACGTGCATGGACTATATCAAAAGACAAAAAACTTTGTGAATCTTAATATCTACATTACAGTAAAATTTTCAGAATGAAACAAAACAAAAAAAAAGCATGAGTACATTTATGCTAGGCAGATATGTCGTGACAACCTGCAGAGTTCATTCCTGATTGAAGAAAAAATATTTGTATATAGCAAGAATATTTATCAACCCCCTCAATCAGGCATAGCTGGGCATCTCTATAGGTTTAATTATATGTCAAATGAGTTATTTACTTGCCATCCCAATGTAGGCAATGTACTTTCTGAGGCGACAGTTCATATATTAATATTAGCTTAGAAATGGACAAGTGCGAGCTTGGGAGCAACCTTCGTGAGTTCAGCTGGATTAATGTTAAAACATGGTGCAGTAGTGAAAATTTTGTTTGAAACTATTCTATATTCACTTCAAAACTATTTGGCCAAAACCACTATTCGCTTCGAACTCAAAATTCGCTATTTACACATGCCTAAAGAATGCAGAAACTGTAACGTAACAGATGAATGATGAATCGTAAAGGCTGGACTAACGCTCGCTGCAAGATATCCAGCGCAGCCAGCCACCAGTGCACTCGCATAAGTGACCAAAAGCACAAGGCCCGCAACCTGGACAGGGACAGAGGGAGAGGGAAGGTGGCTCACACATCCCCGCATGAGAACTTCTTGCCCAGCTTGGAGTGCGACTTGCTGAGCTGAGCGCGGTGCTTCTCGTTGGCCTGGGAGAGCTTGTCGGCCCGCTGGGTCTGCATCTCCCGCTCCTTGTCGCGCAGCTTGTCAAAGCGCTTGCGCACCACGCTCAGGTCCTTGTCCAGCTTGCTCAGCACCTTCTGCACTGTCTTGTGCTCCCGCAGCTTGCCAAGGGGCTCCGCCGAGAGCTGCGCCTCGGGGGACTCTGCAGGGGGACACGTGGTGCACCCCTGTGACGCACCTTTGCAACACATTCCTGTCATGCACTCCTGTGACACACCCCTGTGATACACACTTGTGCCGTGCCCATGTGACACATATTATGCGCTCATGTGACATCCCTGTAACACACTCCTGCAATGTGCCCATGTGATACACACATGTGATTCACCCCTGTGACCTACCCCTGTGATTCGCCACACCCTTGTGACACGCGCATATTACACACTCTTGTGACAGATCCCTGTAACACACTCCTGCAATGTGCCCATGTGATACACACATTTGATTCACCCCTGTGACGTACCCATGTGATACGGCCACACCGCGACGTGCCCGTATCATGCACCTTGTAACACACCTTATGTGACACCTCCATGTGATGCACTCCAGTGAAGCACTCTTGCGATGGACCTGTGTGATACACCCCTATGATGCACCCTCGTGATGTGCCCGTGTGACGCACATCTGTGATGCACCCCTGTGACATGCCCCCTAACTCACCCCTGTAATGTGCACGTGCGCTCCCTCGAGCTTCTGGAATCATTTGCTGTTCAAAGATAGTCTGTTCAAGGCCAGAACTGAAAGGGCCACAGTGATCCCTGGCAGCATGTCCTAACAATACCTCGATACTACAAAGGTTCTCGAAACGCGTCTCTGACTGGCGGGCTTACCGCATCTTTTTTTGATCGGTGGACTTTGTAATGCACTATATCGCTGCAATCCTGGCAGTGTCACAGCAGAGGAGGCGGGCACGGCAGATGTTTCTCCTCCAGCAGCAGCTGGCCAGTCGACAAAAACTTTGTCATCTGGGTACTCTCATCTTCTTCAGAGGCACTTCTTCAACCAGCCTCCAGGATCGTGGCAACCCGTGCCATTACACAATGGTTTTTCTGACATATTAAGTTGTACTTTCTCGAGGACATTTTGGCGCATGGGTGGAACAAGACACTAAACATACAAGTTGTAAATAGGTTCCAGGCATCATAATTCTGCTTAGAAATATCTGGCATTTGTGAACAATGGCAAAGCCACAATTCAAAATCGAAAACGGGAGGCTTGGGTTCTTTGGATGACTCCGAGGAAGTTCCGTCACAAGTGCAGGTTACTCACCCAGTAGAGAGAGCGTCTTTTCCTGGGTGCATTCATCTGACAGACTCCTCGACGTTGGGTCCATTTTTCCTGCAATGACGACAAGAAAGCTCTAAAGAATGCTCAGCACAAACAACCTCTTACAGGAGTGACTTGGTAGAACCTCCCAAGGCAGAACTCTGACAAAAAAAAACTTCCGAATAAGACTTCTCAAAATGTTTTATTAAGACCTCAAACTATGGTCTTTAAATTAAGACTTCAAACTAGGATCTTCTCGTTTTTCGATAAATAAAACTTTCAAGGAACGGAACAGTCTTTTTTAGTCCCTTTGAGCTCCATTTAACAAGTTCAACAGCGCACAGTGCCCTCCACTACAACAGCCACGTTTACAATAGTACAAGCAGTAATGAGGTGGCAAAAACTAAGAGCGTCTCCAAGCTTTGCTCAGTCTCTTTGCCCACTGTCCTCCTCACCACGTGACAATGCATACATATGCACACGCAATGCTCTCCAAATGCTCTCCGTGATTAGAGCTGCTCCGACCACCGACCATTCAAGTTTTATGTGTGACGAACGCTCACGTGTGAGGGTGTCCTGGCGCGCAAGGGGCGGCGCGGGGCTGCGTGGCTGCAATCCCCCGTTGTTGAGCGCTGCAGCGACTGGCAGCGTCGCCGAGGGGGCCGCCGTGTCGGCCGCGTCGATTCCGCAGGCAGCACTGGGTCGCGCATCCCCGGACGACGCCCCCGGGGACGGGGACGAGGCCCCCTGGGGGCACGCTCCCAGGGTGCTGGTGGCCGGGGCCTGGGTCTGCACTGGACTGCGGCTCTCTGCAGCCAGGCCCTGTGGACGATGCACCCATCAGTTTCTTCGCGTTGCAACCCGCATATCGTCACTCAAAAAAACAAAAATTCACAGGGTCTCTTAGGTTACCTCTAAGACGACTTGAAGGCGAAAGCCCAAACGCCGATCTAAACATGATAACGATCCTCCGAAGAAGACAGCGCGCTCTCTGACGACACACTTTTGGCGCCATTTTATTGGCTCACTCGGATCGTGGCGTGGCTGTGGTCTAGGTGATGGCGAACTTCCGAAGACAGCGCGCTCTCTGACGGCGCACTTTTGGGGCCGTTTCATTGACTCACTCGAATCGTGGCGTCAGCTGTGGTCCCAGTGATAGCAAACCTCCGAAGACAGTGTACTCTCTGACGACGCACTTTTGGCGCCGTTTCATGGGTACTTTTTGTTTTGGTACCTTTCGTGTCGCCGACGTTTTTTCATACTTTTCGTGATGCCGACATGTTTTCGTTTAAAGACATTTAAGGTCGACTGAACAATAAGAAATATAAGGCCGTAAAAAAAAAAAGAAGCTCCCGAAAGCTTACTAACAACAACTTGGCTTCTTCGTTGCCTTAGCACGAGGGTTCCCAAAATGGGTTCCTAGAAACCCAGGGGTTTCGCCTAAAAAGCCTTGTGGGTCCCCCGAGCTCATAAATTTCCTCAATCATCCCAGCACCTAAGTAAAGTGTTCTAGCAGTTTCAACACTAAATAAAAAAAATATTTAAAGACATTTACAAATCTTTGTAACGCAAAATTAGAGTGCAGCTCTTGAAGAGGTGGGGAGGGTACAGAGGAGAGGGTATGCCCTTCCTCCTCTTCTGTACCCTCCCCTCCTCCTCGTCCTCCCCTTATTTCCTCCTCCTCTCCCCTACTCCTCCTTTCCTCCTCCTCCTTCGCACCTTCCCCTTCTCCTTTTCAGCATGTGACGTCAAGTTTCCCGCTAAATCTAGCGGAGAAACTGAATTTGTTCATAGGTAAAGTGATACCAAATCATGTGACGTCATTTTCCCCGCTAAATTTAGCGGGGAAACTGAATTGGTGTTGAGGTCACGCGACTTGTGACCTCAACACACTTGCATTTGCTTACGACCGAGTTCTTGTGACCTCTCACGACACCCACCCAGTAGATGACCAGCACCATCTACGAGGTGGTGCTGGAACTGCATTCTACAAGAGCGAAGGTTTTGCAGTATTTGCGAGATTGATTATGCATACTATCTATGAGAAATGGTCGTTTATAACATTGTCAAAAGATTTTCAAGCCACGCAAGGAAGAGCGATGCGCCAAGAAAATAGGAAATATACGGAAAGGCCACGTGTTCCAAAACCACCCGATAGATGGCGCCGGTGTGTTCTCTCGTCGTAGGAGATCCCAAGAGGTTTTAATGCGCTCGGTCGTAAGTAGTCGCAAGCGTGTGAACCACTCATTATGCTTCCGGCCCGATGCCGGAGAGACGTCGAGGTCCAGAGATGTGCAGAGAAGGTACCTCGTCGAGGTCGTCGGTGAGCGCCCTGAGCTGGGTGGCATGCTTCTCGATGCGGGACTGGTACTTGATGGGGTTAGCCAGGGCGTCGGCCAGCTCCGAGAGGCCATCCGGCACGTAGTCCTTGACCGTCACGTGCACAAAGAGCGTCTGGAGCAGCAGGGGCTGGCCGGACTCGTTGCGCAGCGAGATGTGCCGGTAGCCCGGGCGTAGCCCCACCACGGGCAAGATGCGGTGGCCCAGCAGCTTGCCGCTGTCGTCGCACACCTGCCGCCAGGCGCGGATGCCGAAATAAAATTGGGGGGTTTTATGCGCCAAAATAACGAACGGCATCTGGCACACCTCAGCGAAAGAGTGAGGATTAATTCCGACCAACTGAAGATCTTTTGACGCGCAACCGGAAGCTTGGTTACACGGCAACTTCTCCGCAATGAGCCTCCGTCGAATTAGGGCCTCTCGGCCGGGATTCAAACCAGCCACCTGGGCATACGTTGGCTGGCACTTTGCCTCTGAACTACCGAGACGGCGGCGACGCAGACGCCGATAACGCGTCACCGCTGTTAATGCGTCACCCCAAGCTGGCAAGTATTAGTACTTCTACGGCCATTTTACAGAAAGTCTGGTGCAAATCTAAGACCGTTTTATAGAAAGTCCAGCAGCAATCTACAACCATCTTATACGAAGCCCGACGACAAGCTGCGACAGTCTTATGAAAGCCCAGTGGCAATCTACGACCGTTTTATAGAAATTACAACGACCATCTACAACCGTCTTAAGGAAAAAATGGCAGCAACCGACAACTATCCTATGGAAAGACCAAAACCAATCTAGGGCCGTTGTACGGAAGGACCGTCAAGAGCCTCACCGAGATGCGCAGCACTGCCAGGTCGGGCAGCACGACCTTCTTGAAGATGAAGGGCTCCTCGTCGTAGACCGGGTTGATGCCGTTGGCCGGCACGGTGCGTGTGCGGAACCGCCGTCGCACCGTGTCTGCGGGCAGGCCGTACATGTCCACCTCCACGTAGGTGCCCACGTGCTTGTCCGTCAGAAACTGACCCGAGATTATCTGCAGCAAGGGGCCGAGGCCGGTCATGCCGTCAGAGCCACAACTAAAAAAATCAGAATCTATCGTATTACGTGTGTCACAGCGATAGCAGCTTGCTTTCATTGTGGCTTCACTGTCGTTTTGGCCCCTCTTCAAAAACACAATTCTGAGGATTTTCGTGCCATTTTCACTTTCGCTCTCGACTGCATTCCCGTGCCTCGTCCATACTCTGTCTACGACGAGCCTCTTCAGTGTGGCGTAACTGAAAGTCGCATTCTTTGGACCGTGGATAAACTTTCCCAGTTTGTCTGCTCTGGTGGTTGCATGCACGCGTCGGCACAACGAGATGTCGGCCATGTTGGCTGCAGCCACTGTCAAAGTGAGAAAGACAGGGCATCCCCTAGTGCAGCTACGCAGCGCTGCATAGCTTACGTCAACATCGCAAACCCGCACAGCTTGCTTCAGAGCGGGTTTGCTTCACCACAGCGCACCGGTGCTTGATAAGAAGCACGCTCAACAGGGCTAACCCACTGTGATCAATACATAGAAAAGTACAAATATTGCGTGCTTAGGAGGAAAGCACACTTTTAAAGTGGGATGGCGCACGCATGTCCCTGGTTTATTTAAAAAGAAACGGAAAAGTTTGTGAATGTTAATATCTAGACTACTGTAAAATTTTCAAAATTAAATCAAACTGTAGCTACTATGCAAAAGTATAGTTTAGGCGGAGGTGTTCTGACAACTTGCGCTCATCATTTATGATTGTCTTTTTTCCTTACTCAAATTCAAGATTTAAGAAAGCATATTTGGACATAGCAAGAAGATTTATAAATTTCCTCGATTAGGTATACCTGGGCATCGTTATAGGATTATTTCGATGTTAAATATGTCGTCTACTTGCCATCCGAAAGGGCTTTTTGAGGCCACAGGTCATAAATATAGTGAGATTAAAATTAGCTTAGAAATGGACAAGATGAAGCTTGGGAACAACTTTCACAAGTTTAGCTCAGGGTTGGGCAGTATCGCGATACAAATGTATCGCGATAGTATTTCAGAAATACATTTCGTATCTCTATTTCTGTATCGCGATACATTTTTTTCACCAGTATCTGTATTCCTGTATCGAAATACATTTTGAATGTTCCTTTGTATCGCGATACAATCACGATGAAGTGTATTTCGTTACAATTCTTGAGAAAAACTCCCTCTCCTCCTCTCCCTCTCCCCCTCCCCTCCCCTCCCCTCCCCCCCCCCCCGAAAAAAAAAAAAAAAGAAACAAGTTCGAAAGCATTTTTTTTTTTTTTTTTACTTCTAAGGGCACCAGAGTCAAGGAGATGCTGGGGTATTGTTACTATGCTGACCAATTAGTTCCTTTTGATTCTGCGAACTATTTTTCTATTAGTCCTCTTCTCTCTTCTGAGAAGTGTTGCGTAGTGGGAAACTCGAACCAGGTGGCGTGCCAGGAGTGGAGTCAGAGCATCTTCTGCTGCAGGTCTTTAGGTAGGGATTTCTTGAGTCATTGTATGCTGGCATCCAATGCCCGCTGCTAACCGTCTCTCTCGCCTTAGCGTACAGAGTACACCCTGCCGGCAAAGCTGAGTCACATTCCGTTGCAGCACGAGCCAGGCGGTGGCTGACTTGAAATAGTAGGAAGACTCATGCTGTGAAGTTCAACACATATCCGAATGCATCTGCGGCTGCGCCCGTAATATTGCACGGCTCAAGGGTACGTCATCAGTCGACGTGAACGTGACCCGCTGCTCTGGTGATCCGAAACCCAGAAGGAGGCCAGAAGTGGCATCGCTGTGCCATCCCAGACTACGCACTCCCGCAACTAGTCTCGAGACCGCCGTTTCTTGGACAGCTCGCACCTGTGCCGGCAATATCAGCTCGTAATCCACGAGGTCTCTGTTTGGATAATGCTAGGCAAAACTTGAGGACTGCAATCCGTGCGTCGGTGGCGGAGGGTCGGTAGTAAGGACCTTCAGAACAGGGATGCTACCGTATCGTTTTTTTCAACTGTAAAACAGAAGATAAGACATGTATTCCAAGATTCTCCAGGTGGTCCACTATTCTCAAAAATTCCAAATGACACTGCATGCACGATCTTCAGCTAGGTAGCCTACAACGAAAGTGCGCATTGTCCTTTCATACAGCAGCGTGGTAAAGTTTCATGTTCAAGGCCACACCTACAGATAAAGAATTCTAGTTCATTCCACCGTGACATAATGTGATCAATGTTGACAGGATTCCCTCGTCAGACAGAGAGGATGTCGTGGAAGGGACCGCGGTCAGCAATTGTTGGAATGTTTTTTGGGCCCATTGAAGACTCCTTGTCGTCCGAAACCACTACCTGCAACGCAAAGTGCCAAGCCTACGGGAACGTAATTTCGGGATCGAAAACATCCACTTCAAACTTCAAGCTTCATCTCAGTTGGTGTCTCAAAAAATTTGAAAAATGTATTTCAGTATCAGTATTTCTGTATTTGTATTTCTGCCCTCCCTAAAATGTATTCCTGTATTTGTATTTCCAAATACTTTTTGCCTCTTTTTAAAATGTAATTCCGATATGTATCGCGATACATTTTTACAGATGTATCTTAGAATCAGTATTTTAGCTACTATTTCAATGTATCCCAGTATTTGTATTTCCAAATACATTTTTGAGTATTTCTGCCCAACCCTGGTTTAGCTGGGTTTTTGTTTAAGCATGGTGCAGTAGTAAAAGGTTTGCAGAAACTATTCAATATTTGATTCACCAATATTTGGCCAGAACCGCTATTCACATCGAACTTAAAATCTACAATTCACACATGCCTAATATTCATACACAAATGCACAAACAGATCAAGAGTGAGGACTCGGCATCTTCAGCAGTTCGAAAACGGGGCATGCTTTTACCAAACAGAGGGCCGTTATGCGAGCACGGATGAAAACAAAAATGTTCATACAATTCTCTGAATGTGTTCACTTTAAGAAGATGAATGTATGCTTTTGTTCACGTATGAGAACATTATAAAATACACAACCACACAGTTTGTGTTGGTCCAAAGAATAATAAAAGAAGTTTCTGAACTGTGTCAATAAGCAAATGTAGGCTTATCTCAGGTTTCAATTATTAGTACTTATTACTGTATATATTTCAAAACAAGTTGACTTTTTTTATGAACAGACCTGTTTGTCTACTTTTCAGCAGAACCGACAGAGACCAACTATTCAGACTTATAGAAGGAGCTAGGCAATGGTGAAGGGGAGATAAAGTTTGGAAAATATAGAAATGCGATCCATACAGATCTCACTCCTGCGTTCCGACGTTATCGGTACCGTTATCGGTCATTAGCCGGGCCTCTACCGTATATCGCAACGAATGACTCTTTTTGACCGTTGCAGAGAAGAAGCACGTGCAGGCATTGTTCACAAAGAGGTCGACCTATTTTCGAATAAATACGGTAGTTTCGGAAAAAAAACCACCTGGCAGCTTATACACTCAACGCAGTGCTTTTATCACTACTAAAAAAGAAACAGCCATCAAACTCCTCTTTTGATCATTTTTTCAGATTCCTCTTTAATTCTGCCCGCATTATTTCAATACGTTAGAATCTTGGTGAACATTAAAAAGTTTCAGGATGGGGGGATAGGTTAGGACAGTTAAACCCAACGAGTCCTGAAAACGATTCCCTCGAGATGAAAAAAATAGCTCCACAAAAGAAAGCTGTTCTTTATGGCATTGATTTTTCCGTAGAAAAGGTTATAATGCACCCAAACACAAATCAAGACTAGAAAGTGTTTGGATTGTCAATGTGAGACTCACTACCACCCCGACGGCAGTGGAACTAAGCCCGGACGGTGCCACGCGCGGCGAGTACCGTGAAACGTTCCGATCACACCTCGCACGTGGAGCCGTGAAAATGAGAATGAGATGCACTCACCCTGATGGAAACAGTACCTGCAATTATCCCATCTACAGTAGATTCGGTGAAGGGATCGAATTTGCGATCCGCTCGCCTCATGAAATCTGGCTTTAGCAAGTAACCGCTGCGTCCGTTGAACTCAAAGATGCCCAGGTTCAGCTGCATCCCGAGATCTGCCGACAGAGTCACGACGCCGTATTATCACTCAACCGCTTTGCGGCACAGTTTTGAGAGTTTAGAAAGCTGTTACGTTGCCGCATCTTAATGCGCCACCGCAACTTTCACAGGCATTATTGCTGTTAATGTATAATGTACAGCTAAAAACTCGTTAAAAAAAGCGTGCAAGCAAGCCAGACCAATGTTTTGAAGTTACATCATACCACGAGACTGAGTAACCTAGCCAACTGGTTAATCCGCAGCTACCACTGAAACTCCTCTACAATAATAATTCATATAGCAAAGAAAAGATAGTTTGTTTCTAATACTAACAAAGGCATTAAAGACCCCGATATAGTGAAAAAGAAATACTAATACTTATAACGATCGCATCAGAAAAAACTTGCTTTACTAGAGATCTTACTGCGAGTGGAGGCTATTCCATCGCCAGAAACTCAGTAAAACGAGTCAATTTCTGTCTGTACAACTGCACCACAGCGAGAAAGATGTAAAATAAGAAAGAGCACAGTCTGAAAACATGCAATGGCTTACCTAGAGTTTGAAAGTTTAAGGCTATGAGTTGGCAGCCTGCATTCCAAAACACCTGCATCGTGGAAAGCAAGAAACAAAGGAGTGCGTTTGTTACACCAGCTTCTCTCGTAAAGTTCTGCAACTACCTATACAGGAAACATGCTGAGTGTCATAAATGAAAAGACAGTATCTTAAAACCACTAGACATTCCCACCTTCAAATAGGGCCCACAAATTACTCCCGTGCTTGTCTCAAACCTGAGGATTCGCAGCACCTAAGTATTCTGTTTGATAGCCACTTCTAGCTGTTTTTACATTATGTGTAACATTACTACTATTCGATTCAATATTTGAAGTCAGCTTTCTGTACTATTCCTATTCAAATTGTATTCAAACCTTTTTCTATTAGTTTTGCGCATTTACTTGCGTTAAGACCAAAATCTTGAAATGAAATCATGTAAAATCAAATTGAGCGTGCTGATGGAGTATGTCTTAAACGCTCACCTGTGGCATGTAGTTGCTAGACGAAACACGTGTGCCGCTGGGGTATATCCTACTCAGTTGGCGCTTATTGTAACTGGCACACAGTCAAGGCAAAAGAACAGGTAATAAGATAAGAACAGCATACATTAAAATGAAATTATCACAATGACAAATTCAAACACCCCAAACAAACTTTCATCACAGCCCACAAGACTGAAAATATTGACCGATCTGAAACATGCATGCTAAACAGGTGCTTGTGTAAAAAAAAAAAAAAAAGCTTGTATTTTTGTTTTTCTTCATATATAAAAAGGTACAAAAAAAAGTTGTTCAGCCCTTCCTCTCTCGTGAAGAAGGAAGACCAGCGGAGCTGTACTCGATACACTGAGCGCTTCTTCTTCGTTGTCGTCATCTGTTTTTCGCGCTGTTTTCTACGATGAATTCCCACCAACGCGCCCAACTATCCATTCTTCTATTATAGCTGGAAAGGTTGGCGCCATCTACGAGCGACGTCGGAAACCATACTGGTTGTGCGCTTGTCGCCGTCGCTTATAGATGGCGGTAGCTGTCCAGGTCGGTTTGTGCCGACATACACAGACACGATCCTGGGGAACCCTTAACAGCTCCACTGTAAAAAAGGTCAGGGTGCTTATAGCAATGAAACCTGCAGAAATCAATTTCTTGCAATGCTTCATTAACATTTCTGTCATGTGCTTTGTGTTGACCAATCATATAAAACGATAAAGCAAACGCTGTAACTACTAAGGGCATATGAGAGACACTAAGCTTTTAGGTTGGAAAGCTGACAGATCAGAGGATACTTGACAAATTCTACAGGGTGTTCCTTGAGCAAATTGGTGGCTTGAGTCTCGACGAACGATGAAATCTCGTAACTGCGATCTCGTTCTGAAAATAGACAAGTGCTCAGTTAACGGCCATCCCCAGAACAACCAAACAAAGATGCACAACATCAAACAAACAAAGAGACAAACAAAAACTAAGAGACAACGACGCCCAAGTGTTGTCTTCTTCCTCTTGTCCTTGTTCATTAGGCGTTCAGTTCAGATAGAAAACCAACTAGCCCAACTTATTATTTTGATGCATCCCTATTAATCAACACTTGAGGTTACATAACTGAACGTGTGATTAAAGTTCCATTTTTCCAGACAAAACAAAATGATAAAAATCTGAGAAACAGTCGCCACTCAAATTTCTGTAATTTCGGCGGAAAAACTCTAATATTTGAAATCACAATGACAACAAAAAAACCTGGGACACTGCGCACTAGTCCCCACAGAGTGCCAGATCAACAATGATTTTGAGAGACGCCATTCCAGTCTGCTTTCTAACCTAGAAAGACTGGCAAAGGGGAGCTCATCATCAGTGCCTATTCAGGAAAAGTGGTCAAAGTTGCTGTATGTCTGAGTCACAAAAGAGGTCAACCAAGAACGAGGCTTTATATTTAGACAAGAAGCAGTGTGTTTATATCAGTGAAAGCGATAATTAAGCAGATTTTTAGTAAATGTTGATCACAACTAAAATGGCTTTTTGTGTTTTTTTGATGCATTTGTGTACAGATCAGGGGCTCTCAAACTGGGTTCCGCGAGCTGTTCTCATGGGTTCTGCGAGCACCCAAACTGCAGTGCCCCCCTGTTTTAACCTTTCACGAAGTGAGCAATGGATTAAGTTGGTGTTGCAAACAAAGCAACCTTAACCTTCACACTAATACTATGTATATATATTTTACACTGGACGCCAGGTTAACCTCCTGCCTCCTTATTCTGTTCGTAGTTCCCCCATTTTGTCTTATTCTGTCAGTGCAATAAACTCTTGTTCACTATCTAATGTAAACACCTTTATTGCCCAGTATGATCGATTGGCAGAGTAGATAAATATTTTTATGCATAATCATAAATAACTAGAAGTACAACAAAACCAGACTTTGATAAACACATTATTTCTCTGAACAGAGATTTTAATAAAAGAAATCTATGACACACACTGACTTTGCGAGAAACAACTAAATCCAAAAAACACTCGCTGAATTTCGCAAATACAAACTCCAAAAACATGAAACCTTAGCTATACTCCATCTTCAGCTGCACCGAGAAAAAGTCACAAGCACACTGTTGCAAAAAAAGGCCTATGCTGTGAAAGCACTACTAGGTAGTCTTGACAGAGGTGCTTGTTGCAGCCAAAATTACAAGTCACAATAACTATTTTTCGAGAAGCGAATGAATTTCGACATTTGTTCCAAGAGGCTGAGAGGATCTACTGGCAACACTGAAAACGTGACATCAAATGTTGTAACATGGGGGCAGTACAACTTGCTCCCAACAGGTTGCAAGTCTGACTGTGAAATAAATGCTAATCAAACTCGCACCTGAAAAAAAAAAAAGAAATCCATAAAATACTATGTTCCAAAACTTGGGAACTCTGAAAAATATACGTTAAGCGCCCGATTTGACTTGACAAGTGCCCATGCTTAGACCAACCCAGTTTTCAGTAAAAGTGGGCTGGGCGCTCCCCCGGTATTTTACGTAAGTTTGGTTGGCTCAAAAAAGTGGTGGAGCTCCCCTTTACAATAATGTGCTGAGATGGCTGAAAAGACTGTCTCTGGCGATGAGAGGTGAGGGCAGCACTCACTCTCGGCATGTTCGAAGGAGTGGAACCGCACCGGCTGGATGTAGTTGACGAGCGCGGACATCTCGGCCACAGCCTCGGACTCCTTGGCAGCGGTGCCCTGAAACCGAGAACATGCTCTCAGGAGGCGGTGGGAGGACCGGCAAAACTCGGGCACCGTCAACACTGCACGCAGTTCTTTCCCGCAAGTCGATTCTTACACTCCTTGCCGGGTGCAAAGGGAGAACTCTGGAATGTCTCTAACACTTCTGGAACCAAAGACCAACTAATGAAAACGATGTAAGAAATATTTCACCAACCTCTATTGCATTGTACGTTGTACCAATATAATTCAATTGTGCTCCCGACTCTAGATGTCGAAACAAGCGGTTTGCTGTCTACGTCACCACACCGATAACGCCCTACGTATGTGAGAGGGAACTGCGCCGGTTTACGGTTTAGGCACTTGGACCCAACCGAAACGCAAGCACGATTTTAAACCCTGGTCGAAAAAATGTATGCATTAAAATTGCGCAAATACAATATGTTTTACCGGTCTTCAACGTGCGTGTCTAGTTCCAAACAATGGATTTTTATTTCAACTGTCGTATTGTCACCTCGCCACGACTCCCTCGGACCAGTAATGCTGAGACTTTGCTGTCCTACCCTGAAATTCTGTTATTTCCCCGTGCAATTCGCAGATTCCCTCCCATGCCTTTGTAAACGGTTGGTCATAAAGGTCAATTCACACACTTGCGACGGCTTACTACCGAGTGCCTTAAAAACTTTTGGAACCTCTCACGACAAAAGAACTGCGGGACACTTGGCATTTCCGTATATTCCCTATATTTTTTGCGCATCATTCTTTCCTTATTGGCTCACAATCTTTTGACAAAAATATAAATGACCATTTCTCATTGATTGTACTACATCCATTTCATCTCGCAAATACAGCGCAACCTTTGTTCTAGTGACACACGTCTTTAGGGTCACCTCACAGATATGATGGTGCCAGTGTGTCAGCGTGCTCTCTGGAAAGCCTAGATTTAAGAAAGCCTTCGCAATTTAATGGCGGATGCCTCCTCGGCAGATTGGTTGCAAGTGCGCATGCGTTGCGTCGTTGCGTGGTGGGGGAAAAAGCGTGTGGAAAGGCAGAGACGCTCGCAGACGCTAAGCTTTTTTTTGCAGCTTGTATTGCAAATGCGGCCCAGACACCGCGTGACCCTGATCGAGCAGTCAAAAACACTCCAAAATCTAGGCACACTAGCATACTTTCGCCGTACGAGATCGGGAGAACTCGATCAAAAGCAGACACAAGTGTGCGAACCACCCTCAAGCGTGCACCGGACAATCCTCGGGGCCGAACGCATTCGCACCTCGTTCTGGTCCTCGGCCGACCTCTCCGGTGCCTCCTCCTCCTCCGTGCCGGAGTCCGTGTCCCAGTCGTCCGCCTCCGACCCCTTGGCGTCCCCGTTGAGGTCGTCGGGTCCCTCCCCGGGCGACGCATCGTCCTCCCCGCCGCCCCCCGGGGCCACGGCCGCGGCCGCAGCGGCCGCCGCCGCCACCGAAGGCGAGGCCAGCGGCTTGTGCGGCCGCGCGTGGTGCTTCTTCTTGTTCTTGATGATGATCTTGCGCAGGAGCTGCTGGGGCGAGGGCAGGGGCTGCCCCGGCCGCAGCGGGTGGCTCAGCATGGGCTCCGTGACCAGCATGTCGCCAAACAGCTTGCGGCAGTAGTTGGCCATCTTGGCCTGCTGCTTGGGCGAACAGTGGTTCTCGAAGGACAGCACCACGGGGAAGTCCGAGGTCTTGAAGGCGCTCTCGGCAATGGCCTCGATCACTTCTCGCAGGAGCACCTCCGTCACCACGGTGTAGCCGTGCGTGATGATGGGCTCCTCGTCCGAGTTGCGCCCCGTCCAGCAGTCCAGCTCGATGCAACGGCAGCCTGCCAGCAGGCACTGCCGGTACATCTCCACCGACGACTTGCCTGCACGTGCGATCCATGGAGTTAATAAAGTAGTTTCGAGAGAACATCACTGGCAACATCTGTATCTAGTGCTTTTCAAGGATTATTTTGCGCAACAACACCAGCGTGACGCATTGTACAAAACTAAATAAAGTTGACGAGCACTCAAACCACTTCAACTTGCCGCGGAAGAACAAAGACGTCTAACCTATTGTCTGCACTCTTTCTTGTCTGTCTCTCCAGCCAGCAATGTAGGCACTTACTATTTGGCGCGTTCTGCTCCCGTCTTTACCACCAGGGCGAGAGCAGACGACGGTCAGGGAATGCAGCATTTGCTGGTTGTGCAGTGTTGCAGGGTAGGATGGCGAAGCCTCTTTTTCGAGCGTGCGAGTTTAAGCAAAGACGGCAGAGGAGTTGTTTTGATTTTGCGCAGAAGGGGCCCTGCTGAAGAGGTGGAGCATACCTAGTATAATGTTTGACCAGAGTAAGCAGAGGTGCTTTGCTGCTAGTCTGCACCAGATTGGTAGGTTCACAGAGGCATTGCAACATAAAAAAGGCTTAGTGGTTGGGAATCAAACATCTGCAAATGGTGGGCCAGCTCCAAGATCGAGCTCAACAAGGCATTGCCTTAGAGATGTCTGTTTGTGCAAGAACAGCAGTTACGTGATACAGTGCAACCTCGTTGATACACTTTTCAGGGGATTGGGGAAAAAAAAGTATGACCTGGGACGATGTAAGGAATGAGAATGCCCTTGGAGGGGACACTAGAGATCAGTCAGATAGCAACTGTCACAAAACAATTTATTTCAAGTAAACCTTCGTAAGTGCAAACTCAAATTGGCCCAGAAAAGGTTTGTAAACATTCATAGATCTAGCCTGAAATAAATGTGCCATAAAATCCCGTAAGGACGCCTACCCAAAATGAAGAGATAAATGGTGAAAAATATAGGCTGGGCGATCTTAGAAAATTAACGGCAAAACATTATGAAAAATTAGTAATAAAACTGACCCCCCTTCCCCCATACTCCGTTCACTGCTAAGCTGATAATGTGGTTGAAGTTACAAGCATGTTGGACCAGTCGTACGTCTATCTTTCGCCACACGACAAAGCTCTCACCCACACACACGAGCGGAGAGCTGGATCAGGTGATAAAAGGGAGGCGGCAGATTGATTCAGCGTGAAACCGGAACTGATACCACAGATTACAAAATGGAAAATTTGCGTTCCACTGTGCAATAAACGTCTGGGAATTCACTATGAATTTGCCTGTCATGGGAACGGACACCGCAGGACGCGGACACAGCAGATTCGCGCTTCACGGTGCGATAAACACGCGAGAACCAGCTAATATCTTGGGTGTCACGGGAACCAAAATGATGGAAGCAGGTCGCGATAAAAGAGCGCGGGAACGCGCTACAAACTCGCATGTCAAGGGGACGGATATTGCAGATTGCAGCTGAGCAAATTACCATTGGACAAACACGTCTCTATTCAAATACGTTCAGAAAAAAATGTGTATAAATATTCTACGAAAAACAACACTCGTAATTTCCACTTGATGCCTTTAAGCAACTGACCGACGGGCGAGCGACAGAGTTCTGGGCTCGCGGAGGGGCGCTTGCTGATGTTTTCGTCCCAGCGCACTCCACAGCAGCAAAAGAAGTCTCACTGAATGAAAGGCTGTAGTCGGCGTGCAGGAAGTTTCGCGGCATGCTGGACAAGTTTTGACATAAGTTTTGTGACACAGACTGGGAGGAGTACTGGAACCTGCAGCACATCAGCCAAGAACAGTTTCTGCAGCTTCACACACAACCCTTATTTTTTTTTTTTTTTTCAGAAGCAAGAAAAAAGAAAAAGGCACTTGTTTTTTGTGCATTCACTAGTTAGTTTTGTTGTGCAATTCTCGGTTCTACGCATGAAGGAAGCTGCAGGAAGTGTTCCTGACTGACGCACTGCAGGTTCGGCACTCCTCTGGGTCCGAGTCAAGGTGCTTCTGTGAAAACTCGTCTAGCATGCCGCGATTTTTCCTAGGCAAGAAGGAGTAGGAATGACCACAAGTGACCACCAGCACGAGGCAATGATGTCGCATGCAAGGCATGTATTACATGGCTCGAGGCATAGCTCGATTCACTATACCAGATGTTTCAGCGAAGACTCAAAAAGCCTGCTGGTTGAGAAAAAAAAAACATCTTTTTGGGAACAAACTGCCAACCACGCCGGTCGTCAGGGATTGAAAAACACATACTAACAGCTAAGCGATTAACTAAAATATACTAATTAGTTTTTTAATTAGTGAAAATAAACATATGGATCCAATCAAAAACATGCTGAGCATCATCGAAAACCCCTAAATCAGTCAATTTTAGAAAGTCTTAAAGCGCGCGTGAAGAGAAGGAATGCGCTAAGGTTTCCACTCGTCCAGTGGGCGCAAGGCTGGCGACGTGGAAAAGCAGAGAGTCTTCGCTGAACCATCAGCAAATGTTTCGGCATGTCACTCACCAGTGAGCTGGTGCCCGGTCAGGTAGGTGTTGTGCGAGGAGTTGATGAAGTAGTGGTTCAGGGGCTGGTCCATGTCCAGGCTGAGGTCAAACTTCTCCGGGGAGACGATGGGGTTGTCGGCGCTCATCAGGTAGCGCAGGAAGCCCTCCACCGAGAACAGGCCCTTGGCCACGTAGCTCTTGTTTGGCTCGTACTGGGCTGCAGTGAATAGAAAGAAAAGAAAGGGAGGTAAAGAGCAAAAGAAGAGGGGAGAAAGGGAGAAGATGGGAGTGGAGAGCAACTAATCGCAAATGCTGACAGCGGTAGTCCCGATAGAAAGAATGTGAAAGGAATCAAACAAAGAGCGAAGAAAAGAAGCAGATGCAACATTAAGGCTGGTTTGCATACTTGTGTTGGAGTATGCTCGAGTGTATTGAATTCCCTCGTAGCTACATAACCCACTGGCGCCATCTATCGGGTAACACCGGAACACTTCCAACTTGTGTATAACTGGACTGAGGGTTTAGCAGTGTTTGCAAGACCAAATGTATGTGCCATCTATGAGGAATGGTTGTTTATCATAATCTGATGCCTGCTAATTTTAGACCTAATGTCGTACGTCTGCTCTTTAGAAAGTAAAGCTAAGGAAGACTCGTTAATCACGTCCCAAGTTGTGTTTACAAAGTATAACAGCCGTAGAAGTAGACATTTTTTGTTGCTTGAAAACGAGCGGCTCTCGCGGGGGGAGGAGAGCGCTCCCGCGCTGCGGCTTCCCCGCAACAATCCTCCATGTGCGGCGAAGCACGCTTTACAGGGGCAGCGGTCAAGGGGGCTCGCTTCGCGATCGTGCCAAGAATGCGTGGTTCACGACAAACGTATCACGTCATTTCAAGCGGTTGGAAGTAAGTCTTCAGCTATTCCATCCCTTTAGATATCGAGAAAACCAATCATCTTGGCTGTACAAGTGTAATATCGCGATAAGAACATTTTAGTCGACCGTCACATTATGCCACGTTGCCGGGCAAAAAAAAAAAGTGATGGTGACAGTTAAAGCGCCGCGGATCCCTTGCGCTATGTTACCGGCTTGATGCTGGCATGACGGTAACGCTTACAGTATTACGATAGCCCTTGGATAAAACGTTTTAATAAAAAAAGCCAAACTGCGCTCAAATTAAAAAAAAAAAAAAAAAAAAAAAACTCCGAAGACAAAAAAAAAAGGTCGAATGTCTGGTGATTATGCGTTTAAATGCGGTAGACTTATAGGGTGGGTGGTGCTCAAAGTTCGGGTAGTGCCCAGGGCAGGATGACCCTTAGCTTTTCGGAGCCTGGGGTGGGTAATGCTCTTAGTTCAGGCGGTGCCTAGTGCAGGGTTTCGTGTGGAAGCAGATTACGTCACACCGTTGTCTCTTTGTGACGCTGCACGCGCTTCCCTTCACCACCACCCAGATACAAAGCCTTTGCGCTTAATTTTCTGGGTCACCAAGGGAGGAGAAGCGCGCTTTCCTGTCCGTTCCACAACCTCGTTCCGTGCGCTCTTTCTACACCACCTGTTTCTGCTCCTCTCTTTCCTGCCCTTCCCACCCCTCTCCGCTCCGCGCTCTTTCTGTCACCACCTGGTTCTTCTCCTCCCGTTTCTGCCTGCCCGGTCCGTAGATCAGTCAGCAGCGCACTTGGCTTCCACGCCGGTGATCAGGTTTCAATCCCTAACACCGGTTGTCGTTTTTTGTTTTTTTTTTTTAACGTTGTTTTCCGGTTGCGCACTGACCGACCTACACATTTCGTGCTATCGCCGCTCCTGAGGTTGATTGGCCCTATAACTCTACCGCTTTAAAAGGATGATGATCTTTACTTTCGTCAGGGTGGCGCCACCGCCCGCACTAAACTGTCCGCTAGGCTGCTTTTTTCCGCGGGAACACCACACCGCATCTTGCGTCCCTCTCTTATGGGAACCGAGACGTATCCCAAGCATTCGGGACACGTACATGTTCCCCGCAAGTTAAAGAATCCTACGCCCGTGCCCATTTTCCTTCAGCACGAGCCCCGATAAACACCGACTCCTAATTTGGTCAGAAAAGAAAAACAAAAACAAATTAACACCGAAAAATACCGAATTTCTCGGTAAAAAAAGAAAAAAGAAACCCCGTAAACACGGAACCTTACCTATGATGTCCTTGGCTCTGGCAGGGTTTGCATACGGGTAGAGGATCTCGTTGAGCCTGGGGTCCCGCTGCTCCTTGTTGAGGAAGTCGACCAGTTGGTCCACCGTCATGGCCTTCTTCTTGGCACCGCCGCACAGGCGCTCAAAGATGGCGTCCACCTGGGCACGCGGAAGCGCACGTGACACCCTGTCCCACCTCACGGGGTGAGAGAACCGCGTTTTAGGGGCGGAGGCTGGAAGAAGACCAGATCGCTACGGATAGACCTCTAACACGAGTCGAGTGCGTGCAACGAGACAGTTTCCGACCTCACTGGACACAAGTTAAGGAGCGACGCTAGGAGAACGCCAAGGCGTTCCTTCGATCTACAACACCCGAAACTTGCGCGGAATGCATAAGGGACAAACAGGCAAATCTCGACAGCGTGGCAGTGTCACTGTGTCAAGTCGTGGAGTCACGTGAGACCGTCGCATGACCCGACGTCAAGCGACGTAATCACGTGACGTCCCCTTACCCCCACGAGACCCAACGCCACGAATCTAGTCAAGCCGTTCACGCCGTCGCGGGACACCACGAAGCGACACTGCGACGTGCCGTCCCCTGGCACGTGGTCCCACGACCCATAGTGGCACCAACCACGCCACCAAGTGACCCCTTAGTGGCGTCTAGCCGAATGCAAGCGGGACGTTTGCCCGCTAAATTTAGACCGGTGACGGCCCGGTAGGGCGACGCGATACGTATCCCCCAAAGTGAAGGAGAGAGGGAGGAGGCACCTCCTGGCGGCCGACGAGCTGGCGGTAGAAGCGCAGGAAGACGTCGAAGCAGAGCCGGTCTGGAGCCAGGGTGTCGTTCTTGCCGGCCGCGAGGCCCACGGCGTCCAGGGCGCGCTCCACGCGGCGCCGGTCGTCCCGATGCTGGGCGAACATGCGGAGCACGCCCTTGACCGGGAGCCGGCCCTCCCGGTCGGTGGTGAGCAGCAGCTTCGTGTGCGCCTTCTCCAGGAACCTCGAGGCCGGCGCGTTCAGGGAGAGCAGGTTGTACGCCATGCGCAGCAGCTCGTCCGTCCACAGCTGCGCCGTCTCGCGGCTGTTGCAGCAGAAGTTGATCACGCTCACGTTCACCAGGTCCGGGCCGTACACCACCGTCAGCGTCTTCTCCTCCAGCGGCGTGTCCGAGGCGCCCATCGACACGGAGTCCCGCAGCTTGCCCTCCTGCAGAGAAAGGAGGAAACGCCGTGCGTCCCCGCAACCGTCACCGCGGGACTACACGACGAGCGAGACACCTAAAACTCGTCCCTCCGCGCGGGAGGGAGAAGGCGCGGAGCTTGCCACAACACGCCACCCGAAATGGTCATCTCGGAACTATTGAATGAATGGATTCAAGCGGACTAACTTTTTGAATTATGCGGCGACTCGCGCCACCTAGCCAGTGTTTTCTTTAACAACAGTTAGCCTACAGCGGGAAGCTAGTCAAACCCCATGGGTGGTAGTCTCTGGTGTACACAGCGCGCAAAAGTGTTAGCCCGAACAAGGAATACCCTGTCTTGTTTTGTTTGCATCTTAGAGTTGAATAGCTTTCACGAAAAATGCTTGCGTGGTGGAAAGTGCTCAATGAAAACACTTAAAAAAGAAAAGAGAAGGAGAAAAGTGTACGCAAACACTGCACAGCCGATGGATGCCCGAGTTAACGGGCGTAGCGGCAGATCCGAAGGTCCCGTGGTACCGAAACCACGTCGACAGATTTTCGGGTCTAAGCCTAAAATTCACGTGCAATCCTATGTATGTCGCACTTAAGTGTCCTCGTCTGTTGTATCTATTGCATGTTGTCAGCAGCAGTTCTATCCTTCTCATCAGTTTTCTACCCTAGTGAAACATGCCCAAGTTCCCATCCGCTTTGATTTATGCCCTGGTGAGTTTTCTGGGTCTCCATTATTGTTGCGTAACGTCAGTTTTCAGCTGAATACAAGATTGAAAAATAAAGTATGTGTATTCATTCACGTTAGATTCTTTTTCTTCCCCTCTAACTTTTAATTCTGTATTTATTAATTGCTTACTGAGGATCATTTATTCAATTTTTTTCTTTCTCATTTATATTTACTTATCTATTTTCCGGCCCTCGATTCAGCTACTGATACCTGATCCGGCCCCGTAGCGAAAACGTTCAGAAAACCCTGGTTTCGATTACGATGCCTTCATTAGCGTCGCTTTCAGTGTTGACAGACCTCGGAAGCTGGTACGGTGGCTTCGCGCTCACGGGGGACTTGAGAAGCGGGATCGGGGACATATTTTGAGTCACACAAAAGTTCACTCACCCCGTCACAAAATTATCATTCCTAGAATCGTCTTTTTTCTTTTCTTTTTTTTTTTTTGTTCTTAAAATTACGTTGCAAAATTTTGTTTTTTTGTTGTTTTTTTTTGGGGGGGGGGGGCGGGGTGTTAGTTTTAAGCGTATTTTAAACATGCTTCTATTTCGAACAGTAATTTAAAAAAAAAAAAAAAATTGTTAATGACACCAAAACGTTGCAAATATAAACATATATATATATATATATATATATATATATATATATATATATATATATATATATATATATATATATATATATATATATATATATATATGAGGGATTTCATCTAAATCGGGCAGGCTAAAAGTGTCTAATTTTTAATTTTGACGAAAAAAAAATATGTTTTGGGGGCATTTCTCAAATGAAGGAGGGTGCAAACCGCATGTTCCCCAGAATTTTTGTTCTCGAGTTACGAAGCGTAGAAGCCGCAGTGGCAGAAACTAGTGTTTTTGCCGGCCGTCGCAGGTCGCGTGTTTGACACCCTCTACTGGCGCTAGTGTTTTTCCTACACCTTTTTAACTTTTCTCGCTCATTTAATAAATACTATAAAGATACCTTGACGCATTCAAATATTTCTAATAATTTAATTGTTTTCTAAACAAAATGTCAAACTCGTCACTGAGGTCGATTTCTGGTGAACTTTGACAGATCATTACTTTGTCTGTACTTAGGGTACATTTTATTTCTTTAGCTCCATAGAAATCCCTAAGCATGCCTAGTATAGATATAACAATGTCATTATGATCTGCTGAGTAGCCGCTCCGCTACCTTCACGTAAACGTTGCGAAAAATAACAAATGTTCACACATTTCACGCGATTGCGGCTCAAACAGGGGACATAAAACCAAAAGATTACATTTCTAGACTGCCTTTTCTTGCAGTCGACTAATATGTCTAAACAATTTTTTAAAAATTTACAAAAATGGGATTTTTGAGAAAATCGACCTCAAACTTTCAACATTTGTTAATTGTTACAGCGTTTACGTGAAGGTAGCAGAGCGGCTAGTCAATAGATCATAATGATATTATTATATCTATAATAGGCTTGCTTTGGGCGGCTTTCTGTAGAGCCAAAGAAAGAAAATTTACCTTAAGTACAGACAAAGTAATGACCTGTCAAAGTTGACCAAAAAGCGACCGGAGGGACGAGTTTGACATCTTTTTTAGAAAACAATCAAATTCCTAAAAATATCTGAATACGTCAAGGTATCTTTATAATACCTATTAAATGAGGGGAAAAAGTTAAAATCGTGTAGAAAAAACACTAGCGCCAGCAGAGGGTGTCAAACACGCGACCTGCGACGGCACGCAAAAAAAGCTAGTTTCTGCCGCTGCGGCTTCTACGGCTCATAACTCGAGAACAAAAAATCTGAGGAACATGCGGTTTGCGTTCTCCTTCTGTCGAGAAATGCCCCCAAAACATATATTTTGTTCGTAAAAATTAAAAATTAGACCTTTTTAGCCTGCCCGACTTTTTTTTTTTTTTTTTTTCCTTTGGGGGGGGGGGGGGGGGGGGGGGATTTGACGTTGTATTCACAGCGGCGGTTAACCCGCTCTCTCAAAGCGGTTGCGAACGCGGTTGTATAAAGATCCAATACCATTTCACGCGCGTTTGATGATGAAAAGGAGCGGATCCGCTTCGCGGCTGTGGTTCGAACGCCAGTGCGAATGCAGCTTAAGAACGGTCGCGACGAAATCGAATAGCCGAAGCTCTTTTACGCCGCCGACTCTTCCGCTGCCCACCTCGTCAATCACAACCTAAAGAAAACCAAGCGGAAATGTCTTAGCAGTCGGGGTTCCCGCGATAGTTGGGACCGAGACTGCTCGCGTGAAACCGGCCCCCAGATGGCCGAGCGCTCCCTCGCGACCGTGTCAGACAAGCTCGCCCGATATGGCCCGTTCGGCGAGCGAATCCCGTCGGCCGTGCAAACGGGCGGGACGACCTCCCCCAAAAAAGGGCACCCGGGGGACGCGTGGGGGGACGATACGAGGCCCATATTGGAGGGAGAGCTCGGGGCGGGCCTGGCGCGTGTCACCGGAGACGTCCATTCGATATTCCGTTCGACCCTAAGCTCGCAGTGTGCTGGAACTTAACGCCTACGCCTGACCAATGGCGCGCCTATATCTCGCCACGTGATCGCACCCACACCCACGAGCAGAGAGCCAGGCCGGCCGATGAAGAAAGGGCGCCTAGCTTCCACCGCAGTGTCAGCTTAGGGATGATCGGGGTGTAGTCGCCACTCGGAGAAAGAGAGCCACGACTTATATGCGAACCCTCTAACGATTAGACGGGGGTCTCGCCTCGTTCAATTATTCTTCGGGGTTCTTGGAGACTGATACGGCAACGCTCTACGTTTCGCCTTGCGGTGGGTCCCCAGCCAATCCAGAGCCTCTATGACGTCACGTACCGCGGTGGCGCTGCAGTCGGTACTGCGCACTAGTGCGCACGCGCAGGGAAGGATTAAGTTACGGGATAAGTGGACTGCAGCCCAGAAACCTTGGAAATTCGAAAAAAAAAAAAAGAGGCTAAGTAGGTTTAAGTTAAAATCAGCTCAAACCTAAAGATATTTTTTAATCCTTTAATCGCTAATGGACCCAAATAAGGAGTTACTGGCAGGTGCCACCTTTCGAGCTGTGCACGGCGCGTCCCTTTCCGAAGCGACGAATACGCAGGAGCGGGTCTGCAGCTAAAGTCAGCGACTACGGCGGGGAGTAGTCTCGCCTCCAGCGCCAGGTGCTTCGGCGTCTCGGGAGCCTCGAGTGTGCGCGCGCAGTCCAAGCACGGCGGAAGACAATTCCAGCGCGTGCAGGAGGCGCTCTCGAAAGACGCCCCACCGTTCCCATCCTTCCAACCACGTCGGGGCGAGCTGCTCGTCCACGGGGAACCGCCATCAAAACAAACGACTCTCGCCACACTGATCGGCGTCCGCCATTTTTTTTTTTCTTAGAAAGATGGCGAAGCCGGCAGCTGTCTTCCTCCGGAGGAGAAATGAATGGAAAAGCGTGGTTCGTGTTGCGCAAGCAGATCATTCCGGACAACATGCTCGTGCTTGTCTCTTCGACTTCCAATAAAGTGTCTAAAAATATATATATATATATAATTTTTTTTTTTTTCTGGGGAGGGGGGGGGGGGGGGGGCAGACGCTGTATGCTTGTAAAGTTGACGCTCGCCCTTATTACAGTCCAGCCGTGCAATAAAATTTTCATTACAAAACTCCTAGTGGCAGCTACGGGGCAAGACATGTCACTTTTGTACAGGGTGCGGTCGTGAGGACTAAAGGCCCCTGCGCACAGTTGCGTTTGAGAGCGCTTGAGTGCGTTTGACTGCGTTGCGGCTGCGAGAAACCGAGACAACCCTGCTTCTTACGTCGCGTGCCATGATATGATTCCTTGAATTTGACTCCACGCTTCATACAAAGCACAGATGGGGCTCGCTGTCGCCTCTCGACGCAACGTAGTCGAACGCAGTCAAACGCTCTCAAACGCAAATGTGCGAAGGGGCCTTAAAGGGCAGCTCCGGTCAAATTTCCATGTAGAGAAAACAACGCAGTCCTGCGCCGTATCATCTGAAAAGCCTACACGTAAAATGTTACGACGCATTTCCGCCTAAAAGTTTATTAAACCGGCCAGGGAAGTCGGAGCGGCTCCACGGTCACCAAAATCCGCCCAATCTATCGGGCGACGCGCCGCGCGCGGAGAAGCGCAGTCCACGCCACTGTGTGAACAGCAAACACTGCGCGGAACGTCAACAACTGGAAGAACTGTTTTCGTCTTGAAACAGCGCGAATGTTACACGGACGGAGGAAAGAAGTGGACGATACAAGAGCCGACTAAAAACGGGGGGTTTATTCTGGATAAACCGCG